GGCCTTAAAAGAGAGAAGCAATAAAGGAGTTTCAATTAATAAAAACTGCATTTTGGATAAAACACAGAACCTATTGGGACCACCATAAAACAACTAAGTCAGAATTTCATTTCAAAAAGGCAGATAAAAATTTTACTTTATCCTTGTCCCTAAGTATTTCTCAAGATCAGCTCTTCTTAAATTCTATTTCTGAGCAGCAGAATTTCTTTTTAAGACTGGCCTGTACCCAAGTTCTCAGTGCATGAGATGTCTCTAAGGACATTTCAGAAACATCTGAAAGTCACTGCACTAGGTAACTGTGTTATCTAAAAAACTAACAACACAATAAAAAACAGTTAAAAAAGCATTCAGATGTAAGTAACTCTAAGATTCCTGGGTGGTAAAATATACTGTGATTCTTGTGAGACATCTGACAAGAACAATTTCTGAGCCTTAATTTTTCCATATATATAAAATGATGATCTTATGCTAGAAGACATGATGGCCTGTCAACACTAAAATTACACTATGATGAAGACTATAATAAAATTAGTAGTGGCCATTTCTGAATTTAGGATAGACACATTATGAGAGTATACATTTACATGTCTACAGAGCTTAATTTCAAGCTTATGTAACCATGTGCTTTAGATTTAATGCCATCTTTAAATTATTACTATCACATACCTTTTCCCCAGATCACTAGGAACTAGATGGAAAGTGTTTTTTAATGCACTTCAATACTTATGAAGTATTGAGTGTGTGTGTGTGTGTGTGTCGGGAGTGGGCATGTTGACAACTCTGCTTAGGCTTTTTTTTTTCATAGTAGCATTTATTCCTTTCCAACAAAAGCTGTACCTACCACTGATGAATTCTCAATCCACATTATGTCAACAAGAATATCTTGGTGTCCTTGACCATGACTCAGGAAATGATTATTTAAGGTTATTAAAATCAATGTTTGATTTATTAAAGTTACAAATTTAAAAAGTTGTTTCTTCCTAAGCTTTTAACTTCACTGTAACTCAAACTATTAATTTATAAATCTGATAAAATTTAATAATTACTTTTAAGAGGTTTTTGATTACTATTTAGTCTCATTTATAATTTTAGTTAAATATTTCAATTGTCTGGTTGGCAAAACTTCCTAAGTATCCACATAACTCCTGGATCTAGAAAATTAAGTATGTCCATATATTTATATTGAATCTCAGGTTATTTTAAAAGTAAAAATGCTTTTTATAACCTTAACTTTGTCTTATGCCTTTCAGCTTAAAATTGCAAACATAAATCAATGAAACTTTTTATATAATCATAAGAATCATTTGTAAAATATTAAACATGCCAAACTTCTTAAAGCAGTAAAACATAAAACAGTAAAATAAACCAATGACAAACAGCTTATTCCCTAACCTACCATGAAAATATTAACATTGTAATTTTGGTTTGCTTCATCATCTTAAGATGTTTTTTTTTTTAAATTGATATATAGTTGATTGACAATGTTGTGTTAGTTTCAGGTAAACAGCAAACTGATTCAGTTATATATACATATATATTTATTCTTTTTCAGATTCTTTTTCATTACAGGTTACTATAAGATACTGAGTATAGTTTCCTGTGCTACACAGTAGGCCCTTGTTGATTACCTATTTTATATATAGTAGTGTGTATATGAAAATCCCAACCAAGCGTAGGCTTTTTGTTTTGCCTAAATCTGAAAGGGGATGCTGTCTATTGTCTGCATGGTGAATAGAAGATGGAAAAAACTAAATGTACCAAAGGAGGAAAAGAGCGGGACTAAAACAAAAAATTCTCAATGACTAGGAAAATAATCCAAGCCTTTGAAATACAGTAATTTCCTAATTATAAAAATATTCATGCTTCTTATAAAAATCATAATTCAAAGATATATATACACATACATACAATTATCTCGATTCTCTGTTCTACATTTTACCTCCTCTAATTGATTAGTTTAAGTTAGTTATACCAGAATACCAGACTAATGAAAGGTAAAATGTTACAGAGGCAATTTTATCAAACTGAATTCCAAAAATATTCCATACTAATTGTAAGTTATGAGTATATTTTTAGAAATCATACTTTTCATCTCCAAGTGCTTGTTATAAAGTTTAACCTCTTTATAATTAAAAAAAAAAGCCAGAGAATATATTTCTGTGTATTCTTCTGCTAAATAATCTAGATGATGAGTCATATTCTGCTGGAAGTGGCAGCCCTGAGGAACAAGGTCTGGAAAATTAAAGGGCAACCTTTAGTTATATGATGAAGAAAAAGCATTATAAAATCAGCAATTCAGTTCTTTTCATCCTTGATCTCTCACACACACAAAAAGCACCTTCAACATAAAGAGGTGTGAACTATTAGATTCTGCACCAGAAAAGCATTTGTTTTACAGAGACTGGTGCTAAAGAAGTCAGAGTTCTGTAATTACAAACCACTTGTACATAACGATAAACTGTTAAGTCTTTTTTAGTAATAAGGGTCATAAGAAAATCACACTATGGTTAAAAAAAAGAAAAAGAAAAAAGAAAATAACACTATGGATGACTTCAAGTGCTCAAGGATTCCACTCCATGACATTCCTAAATTCTGAAGGAGGTTCACATTTAACCCCGTTCTTACATACGACAAGTCTCCTGCCTACCTGGCTGACAAAAATGAGATATTTCTCATCCACGGTTTCCCTAGCAAGTGCCTTTAGAAAGGCTTTCCTTAACTGTTTTTCACATAACCCAAGACATTATCAATTTTAAGCCTCATCATTAAATTCTGTACCTTAAGAATGTTACAAATTAAAATAGTATTTTTCTATCACTAATTTTAGGATGTGTATTTCAGAGATGTTAAGATCTGTAAAAATGTGCTTCTTATAAATCCACTAGCAAGAATTTTACAAGGAGAGTCCAAAACCAACCACTTATCCTTTTTATTTAACATGATGAAGGATTAAGTATCACTTAAAGAGTAGAAAACATGGTGAATAAAACTACAGCTCAGAAAATTGGAGTTTAGCCCCAGTTTTGCTTTTTTTTATTATTATTATTTTTTAAAGTCTTTATTTCATTTGTTTTTGAAGATATTTTAACTTGATATAAAATTCTAGGTTGACAACTTTTTTTGTTTGTTTTTGTTTATTTTGGCGGGGAGGGAATTAGGTTTATTTATTTATGTTTAGAGGAGGTACTGGGGATTGAACCCAGGACCTCATGCATGCTAAGCATTCACTCTACCACTTGAGCTATAACCTCCCCTCCGGTTTTGCTTTAAATCAATAGAAGTGAATGATTTTGAGTAAGTCACTTAAATACAGTAATATCACTAAGGCTAACTCTGGAACATACAGCCAAGAGAATCGTTTTAGAAATAAATGAGCATTAACTGCATTGTGTGCATACAAAATATAAAAGCACAATTGTGATGTCAGACTTTTTTTTTTAACTATTAATGCCAAACCTGAAGAATATAATAATATGTCGAAGTCCTGCTATGATTGGTTTTAAAGTATTGAAAAATTAAAAATTTAAATTCTGCCACTTATTAACTAATCTTGTTCTCAAAATTTATTTGAAGTGATAATTTAGCCATTAAATATCTTTAACTGTGAAATTTAACAGTAAATGTGTAGAATCAAAGTATACTACAAATAATTACATATTTTATAGAGTTAAATCATACAACACCATAGAAAATACTTTAAGTACAGAAACTCTGAAGAATAGATGTAAGTGTTAATCACCTGTCATAGTCCTAGGCTGCCTCTCTTGCTCCCTCATCTTCAGAGACGGCCTGCACTCTGTCTATGAAGTGTGTATCTACTTTTACCTTAACCTGAGCACCCAACCCCTACGACGGACGCTCTTTCACGTTCTGAAACAGCCTACGCTCTATGCAGTATGTATCTCTCTAGATGAACCTACCTTTACTTAAAAAAAAAATTACCTGTCATAGTCCTAAATCATGTGCTCAGAAACTAGATTTCTTGCCTTGTAATATTAAACTCTAAAAAAATGCAGGTATTATATATTTTTTAAATGTTGGCTCTTTTATTCCTTTTAATATAATACAGTTCTAACAGCCTTTCCTACTGGAGAAAGACAGAGGTGTTTCCCATTGTAAATGCCTTGATATCTATTTATTTGGGGTATTTAACTCTTCCTATCAAGAAGAAACCACCTATCAAGACATCTTTAACTAAGGGAACTCACCGCATCTGCAAATAGAAGTTCTAAATCTTTTCTTCATTTCAATCATTTCTGACAAATGACAAAGTCAGCTATATGTTTAGGCCCTACCAGCCCTCCTCTGCCATCCCTGTGAAAGAAAGCTCTTGCAGTGAGTAATCATTTCAATTAAATCCAAAAGTCAAGGAATCAAATCCTTTGTCCCATTTAAATAGGTCCATCATCTTGTGATTTATCTACAAAATTAAAGTGATCATACTCCAAGATTAATCAACATCACTACATGTAGAATCTAAATAAGTGAGCTTTACATCAGGAGTAAGCAATATAAATGAACTTTAACTGACAACACTACTCACAAATTAAACTGTGAATTTAAGTATTTACCAATATATTTTCCCCACAATGATTTCTATAATATAAAGGTGCACAAATCTCAGTAAAAATGCATACTGTTTGGGATAATAGTCTACTCTGCTCAAAAGTAAACAATTTAAAAAATCATTCAAATTATTTCTGAGCTAAAAGTGCAACCACTGTTTAACTGCGTCTATGTTCCAAATAAGAAGTGCTTTTTAAAAACTTGCTCTGAAGAATGGAAAAAATTACAAAGTAAAACACAACAATTATTTTTGTGAGAAATCCCATTATTGCAGACCTAAATTATCAATCTAAATATAAGGGATGCAAATTAGTCTGCTAACAAGTATTTAAAAACATCACTGCCTAATAATCCGACAAGAAATTAAGTCTTTATCAAATAGTTCATTTTTGTAGTATGCCAATAATCAAACAATTGATTTAATAAATACGTACAGTTCCAGACAGGACATCATGGGGGCAACAGTTGAGAAGGTGACTCTTGCACACTCTGTCATCACTGAATTTTATTCGCTGACGAGTGGTGTCTCCTGTAATATAGGAAAGTTAATAACATTCACGGTTAGACAACTAGAAAATATTTATCTTCTGAGAACCCTACTAACACTAGCTTTTTATGTGTGGCTATACACACAGATTTATAAATCAGCTCAAGAGGGATTAGTTTTTTATATATCCTACAGAAAAACTATTTTAGACAACATGCAGTTGCAGGATGTGTACTGCACATGTAATTCAAATAGTCAAAGTGGGAAAGCAAAGCATTCTGTTAAACAGAGTACTTCAGAAAAGCATAGGATTTAGAGTAGGAATGGACCTTAAAGATTATTGAGTCCAACTCCTTCATCCTGCAGATGAGGAAACTGAGGCCCCGAGAGGTTAAGCGACTTGCAGCAGACCCACTAGGAGAGTTTCTATTGGTATACAACGTTCCCTACTTGACACTAAACATTGATTTATTTTGTAACTATTTACATTAATTGAAAAACATAAAAAGTAATCTTGCAAACATTGCATACACACTGCGAATTCCCCACTGAACCCCAGACGCCATTTCTTCCACTATTTTGTTCCAGCTGAAGTGTCTCCCTTTTGCTGCTGGGAGGAGTTAGAGAGGGTAGAATAACGTGTTTAAGAGCGTACAAACCTGGAAGAAGGACTTACACACCAGTCAGACAAAGGCAAAATGCCTAAATGCAACGTTAACTTTAATGACTCCGAAGGTCCCATACCTCCAAGTTTTATGTAGTCCAAACTGGGTACATTTAAATTCATTGTCTTCATTTAACACAATACACCTCCTAAGCAACAGAAGCATCCACCCTGCTCATTAAATATGCCTATCTACACAAAACGTTAAAGAAGCTAAGAAAAAGAAGAGTAGCTATCTCTAATAACAAAATACAGCTGTTAGTTACAGTGTTTTTTTTTGTTTTTTTGTTTTGCTTAGCATCTTGTTGGGGGAAAAAAAATGCTTAAGGATGTTTCCTCTATGTATAATGACAAGCCCTAGGAAATGAAGGTGTTTTATTTTAGCCTTAAATTGGTATCATCATTGATAAATGAAAACCTACTGGTGAATTACTGAAGCGAGAACTGTTGGTACCAAAATAGTTTGTAAATACCACCGTACTTCACATTGATGCCTGGAGCACTCCAAAAACTTTCATCTAGGAAGTAATTCATTTAAATTAATTTGTTTTTCACATGTCACTAACAAAAAAGGTTATTAAACTTTACCCCTTCCACATAGTCTTATTTTTAAGAGCTTAACTCAAAGTCAACTAAATACTGTCAATTTTAGGTGGGGTAAGATTTTGTTCAGATTGTTTTAACTTGGCTAAAAAGACTTAAAGAACATATTAATTTGCAATCAGGGTTTATAAAATTTTAAGAACAGTAATTCATAGCTAAAATGATAGCTTCAGAGTAGTTCAACAATAGGTTTTCTAGAGGCTACTCTCAGGTTATTTTTGATACCACAATTTGGAATAATTCACTTAGTGTTCACGCCTGCTACTATAATAAAGGTTATTTTGATGGTTCTTTTTTCCTTTTAAACACAACTGCTTTTCTTCCACATTCATTAACACATCTGAAAAGTTAGTGATAACTCACGGCTCGGCGAATGCGGGGCCTTTCTGACACTCCCTTGCAGATTGAAGTAGGCAGGCATAGATACATTGAACCTTTACAAATAAAACAAGGGGCCAGATTGTTCAGTTTGTATAGAATAGACTCTGCCAGCAATTTCAATACAGCATCTAGAAGTACATGTTGACTGTAAAGATTCTTGTATATGAAAACAAAAGTGAACAAAATCAGGGTTTTTAAAAAAAAACAAAAACATCGATTTAAGTGTAATCCTAGAGAAGAATACGACTGATCAAGGTAAAACTCCGAGGTCTGAGCTCTGTATAGTGGTCCTTGGACCAACTGGGGCTTAAAAAAATGTTTTTTAATAAACTATATTTCATCAAGACTTTGGTGGGGGCCTTAAGCTCATGTTAGAATGGTACTTATGATGAGCTCATACCAGAATGCTAATGATATACAGAGAGGCTTTTTGCTTCCTCGCATGTAAGAAAAAATGTTTTACTCTAAATCTGTACCCAAATTATGCTAAGAAATTTAAAAGTAATGTAATTTTTGAAGAAGACACAACCTTACATATCTAGGAGTCTCCCTGACACAAGTATCTAAGCTTCTCAGTAATGCAACAGCAGTACTGGTTTTACTGTTTCAACAAACCAATGGCTCAAGAATATTATAAGCTAGGCCTCAGAATAAAATCAAGATTCATAGAAGTTTTACTAGTCAAACATTTTACCAAGTAGGGCAACTGTTTTTGCTTCAGAAATCACAATTGTAAATCTATTATTCATTTTTGTTTGTATTTTTGGGGGGGGTAGTAATAGTTTATTTATTTATTTTTTTATTTTTAATGGAGGTACTGGGGATTGAACCCAGGACCTCGTGCATGCTAAGCACACACTCTACCACTGAGCTATTACACTCCCCCACACAACTGTAAATCTAATACTAAGACATATGTGCCTTGAAGACACTGCTATCACATAAAATATGAGTAACTCCAAATATGAACTTAACAAAATTATTCCTGATAAGCTTTAAAAAAATTATCAGCTTCTATAAATGTCAAAAAATATTTTTAAATAACTCACTGCATATGAATGGTTGCTCTGCAAACATTTGATAACTGCAGCAAATACAACAAATACAGCTATCAAATATCAGCTGTACAGTATAGAAATCTTTATAACAATGAAATAATAAAACCCTAATAATTTGAGATGCAGAAATACCCTGAGAGGGACTAGCAACTGAGTATCTGTTTATTGATACTTTTTAAGTCTTCCTTACTAGACCTTAAGGTTAACATTTTAAAATAACTTGGCTATACATGCAGTATTTAATAATTTGGGCTTATGCCATGAAAATATAATTTGGCTAAATCAACAAAATTTAAAATAAAAATACTGGTAATTTTGGTTTCTGTCAAGATATCTGGCCCAAACCATGTTTTTTAAAAAGAACTAGGGTAAAATAGCACCCACTAAAAAAGGGAGAGGAGGGGTGGAACCACAACTAATAAGGAACAAATATAAATCAAATCTCCTTATAATACAAGGATTTTTTTTATTAATTCAATGTACTTTTTCTTTGGGTTCTGCGGGTATATATTCATTATGAAAATAACCTAAGTAAAGAAATTACCCTGTTACACTAACACTGGATCCAAATCCTAGAATTAAGCCTATTAGTGAACATATTCTCTGTGCTTGGCAATGAGGTTACAAAGAGACATTTTAGACAAGCTCTCTACCCTCAAGGGGCCCATCATTTTGCTAGAGAAATAGGACATTTAAATGAGGTTAACAAGTAATAACAAAAGGTAGCATGATCCAAGTGTCAAATGGATGTTTGTAATGGATGAAATACTACCGAATAGCAGTACTTCAGGAATTCTAAGACTAGAATGACCACCAAGGACTGGAGAGGTTAGAGAAGGCTTCACGCAATAAGTAGAAGCCATTATTTGAAGGAAAGATAGCACTTAGACCAAAGGAAAGGAGATAGAAGAGCATTCCAAACTGGAATATCTTTGACAAAGCTTACAGAAGCAAGAAGGTTTGGGAAACAGTAAGTAAATCACATTTGGCTTTGGCAAATGGCTTCATGTAGAGGAATAGGAAAGTTGGGGCAAGAATAATATTTGGAGATAAAATCTGATTTTTTTTCTTCAATTAGGTTTTTTTTAAAGGTATAAACAAAGGAAAAAAAAAAGTGTAAAAATAATGGGGCAGAGATTAGACCAAGTTGAGTTAACAACAAAATGGCCAAACCATAAAACATGGAAGTCTCTCTTCTCTATAACTTCCATAATACTAATTAATTAGGCTTTGTACATAATTACAATGACAAGTTTTGGGATTAAAAATGATTTAGAACTTTGGAAGAAGTGTTCTTCATTTGAATAAAAGCATCAAAATTTCTATTAATATTTTCTACCAAACTACTTACTTCAGAGGAACAACTCTATTAGCCTCTTTTTGTTGTTCAATCTCTTCATGAATTATAACCTATATTTGGGAACACCTGAGTCACAGGTGTACAGTAGAAACTGGAATGCATTATTATTCCTCTCAAGGTCTTCCAGTAACGTAACAGACAGAGCCTGAGATGGTACTGAGGCAGTTTCACCTAGTGAATACAGACAGGCTACTCTATAAAGGAGGCTTCTGTCCAAACTGTACGCAAATACTTTGATTCTCAAAATTCCCTTCAATCCATGGGGAGGCAAGAAAAAGCCTACTGTAAATTCCAACACTGCCATTTTACGGTCCTGCCTTTTCTGAAATAGCCTTACACTTCAGTTAGTAACACTTAAAATCTTGGCCTAGATGGTATCTGACATCATTTTACATAGTGCATGCTATTTACCCAATATCCACCCCCTCCCTTCCAGTGCCAACCACCCTCTCCCTCCCATACAAACAATAAATCAAATCAACTTTCATAGATTTAGGTGCTATTTTAAAAACATCAAAATTTTACTTTACCCATTCTCTCCGATGCTCCCTGTATTTTTTTAAGCTGTGAGTGGATGACCATGCTATGTGATCAACAACTGTGAAGGCTAAGCAAAAGTGAACTGAGTTTAGTATTGTAATTTCAAAAGAACCTTAAAGTTTGTAATATTTGACATATATAATTATATGCAGAATCCTTATTTTACTGCATATTATCAGGCATTAATGGCAAGCAATTTATAAAAACAACTAATTAGTATTTCTTCTGTACAGAATTAGCTTAGAGCTTAGCTTAGAGAAAACAGAGAGGAGAAAACTCAACAGCACACAAAGCAAATGGAAGTATCCCCTAGTTTATAAATGGAGCCAGGAGAGGGAAAGCTCTCCCACATTCTCCAGTGTGACAAAGCAAGCCCTCCCCACAGGTATACTTGTTAGGGGCCACGTGTCATTGTTGGCTTGGGACAGGGTAGGCACATTCCCTCTGAAATAAATTCCATACCCTTTCAGTGAAAGGAAAGCCAGAGCTAAAAAAAAGGTGTGTAAGTATAAAGCTTCTCATTTCCCTGTGCCCTCAAGTCCTCAAATGTGCCATCTTCTTACTACCATTTCCCACATTATAAGCGACGAGTCCACATAATAATGTGGGAACCATATAAAGACCAATTTCTACTCTAGTACAGAGAAGGAAGAGACCTGCCCTGTACTAGTGAACATGTTATGCCTTCATGTGGAACCAAAGTAAAAGCTACTGCTGTACACTATTATAGTGAAGAGGTTAATTTGATCACTTTTACATCCTCCTCCAATAGTCTTACCAACTCCACTAACTTCTCCCACCTACCTTTGTTGTTCCTTCAGAATTTAGCCTAAAGCTCACCTATAAGAACCCTTTTGAAATTAACCTAAAAAGAAAACCTCTTATTACTGTGTTACCTTGTTAATAATAATAAATACAGTTTAATTCATTTTATATTTATACAGTTCAAAGTATAGGGTTTGTCTTATGAAAGAATTCACTACCATGTCTTAAATATGATTATTGATGCTTTGAAAACATTTAATATGACTTGATACATGTCAAATTTTCCAGGAATATATTACATAAGGAAAGGAAAGAAAAAATACTCAGCCAAAGATGGCAGTGGGAAAAACTAATTTAAGGCATTTTCCTTCCAAATGTAGTATCAAGTCACTTTTCTAATAGAACTGATAAAATTATACTGAGTAGCAGTAGAGGCTTTCCTTTCCCCCAGAAAATCCAAAAATAAGGGTACTGAAAGGCTATCCTTCTTAATTCTTTCATATGGTCCTATAGGTTTATCATTACGAACAGGTAGTAATATCACCCCACCATCATCCCCTTGACAAGCCCGACATTTTAAAAATGCAATGCCCATTGCAGAAGAAATTTCCAGAACAAGCTCATTCTTGCTGAGTATGATCAAAGATTAACAATGCTAAAATAATTTTTTTAATCTACCAGCCTACTAGTCTATGAAAATCCATATAACAAAATTATAAGGAATGAGACTGGAAAACAGCCTTGGTAGTAGGTGGAAAAGCTTACACGGTCTTTAAGAGCTAACAGAATGGTGAAGGAAATGTGTGAACTGAAATGAGACTACAGCAGCTACATTCTGAGGGCTCTATTCCACCCCCTGCCACAACCCTGTCTCCTCTCATTATACAAGCACAGTTTTGGCCACTGGCAGGGGTCAGTGCTGTCACATTTCTGCCAGGGGGATACATGCTTTAGGAAGTCAATCATATTTCTCCTCTCAGATTTAAGACATACATTAGAAAGGCTTGAATAGTTACCTATAAATCAAACCCTAAAAGGATTATATAGAATCTGTTTTTAGTATATGTCATAAAGGAAAGTTAGTCATTAAAAAGTTGCAGCCTGCTACATTTTGTATTTTGATACTTGCAGAGCTGCAATTCTGATACAAGAACACTCACACTCTGGATATCTGGAGCCTTCTACCATCCAGAACTTTCTATACCCAAAATGGGAAGTAATGAAAGCTATCTTTGGCTACGAATAGCTGAAAAGAATCAAAGAAAAGTAACTGTCTATTTTAAAACAAATTAAGACTAATTTGTCATTAAAGAGACAAGTGCTCATTGGTTGGTGATTGCTATAAAAGCTAAGCAGAGCCTCCCCAAATCTAAAACCAACGAAGGAAAGAAATAAAGAGAAAAGAAATGAGAATATCAAAGGACAGAGGTGACAGACAACTCAATGATAAAGGAAGTTAAAATGAAAAACAGATTTACCATGAAGGAGACTGAGCCTTACAACTACTTAAACAACACAGCAAAAATACTGTGACAAATTCACAAGAATTGCCTTTGGGGAAAGGACTGAGACTGTGAAGAAGGCCATAAAGGACTTCATTTGTAATACTTTTTTTTTTTTTAATTTGCGGGAAACATACAAAATAACATTTGTTCATTCTTATAGGTGTCTGATGGCCTTTTATATTTTTTAAACACTTTTTTCCAAAATTAGACACCTACATGCAATCGGTATCACAAAATTTATTAAAAATAAACATAACTGTTCATGTGTACATCTTCACTCCCCTCTAGACTTTCAGTCCCTCTAGAACTGGAGTCCTATGTTACTACTTCATTGCAGTCAAACGAGAATAGAAGCAAATTTGTCCATCATCTCTAAGAAAAGGAAAGGGAGAAATAACTGAAGCAACTCAGTAACCTAGGGATATTCAGGAAAGTAAGATTCTAGCCCCACTGATAATTACTACACTCTGAAACACATCAGCCAATATCAGAACACCATGTCTTGGGAAGTATTCCCTCTAATACTATCAGGCAAATTAAATAACTTATTTTCATGCTAGAATTTTTCATAATACAAATACATGGTTTCTAAAATCTGAGGTGAATCAACTGTTTTCCTAGTAAGCATGCCCTGCTAGTTTTCTGTCCATAACGTAGAATCACAGCACTTCCCCACAGTTTCTAGTCCAATTTTCTCTGATAAGCAGCTTTTCCCACAGCCAGCACTTTTTCATACTTCCACAGTGGAACAGGTTGGTGAAATCCTGCAGAACTGCTGACCACTATGGAATAAAGCATTAATGGAGAGGTAAAATCAAGCTAACTGAGGTAACTTCATCCTAGAAGTCTAGATGGGCCTCTCTAGGGACTTCTAGATCTCTCTCTCTCTCTCTCTATCCCACAGGTGTGTACTTCTGTCTATTTCTAAGGAAAAGTCATTTCTACTCAGGGGCTTAGGTATAACAGTTCAAACAGTTTTCCTCTCACTGAGAAACTAGAATAGTATTTCTTGAAGAATGGGATTTGTACAGAAAGTGATTTTAGGTGTTATACGATTTCACCAACATGACATTTTAAACACCACTCAATCACTTAGTGGTGATTATCATGATCGAGAAAAAAATTTCCCTTTGGCACTTAGTATTTAGTTAACATATCTAAGGAGTTCTCATTTTTAGTATAGGTTAAGTGACAAAAGAGTCTAGTTATCTCTTGTAACACTGTGTTTTCACCATATTTATTTTTCTGATGACATACTTTCATTTTAAAATTAGCTTAGATTTTTAGAAAAGTGAGTTGACATAAAGAAAAATATTAAACAAAAAGAAAACAGAGTAAAAAGAAAAAAGTAAAGATGATATATGTGACTATCATTTGGGAAACATTTATTCAGAACAGGGTTTCTCAAAATTTAATGTGCATTAGTCACGTGGAAGGCTTCTTAAAACACAGACTACTGGCCCCCAATCCCAAAACCTCTGATTTGGTAGGCCAGGGGTGGGTCCAAGAATGTGTGTTGTGTTTCTAACAAGTTCCCAGTCGGAACTTGTTAGAGAGGCCCATCTAGACTTCTAGGATGAAGTTACCTCAGTCAGCCTGTGATGCCAGGCTGCTGATCTGGGCATCACACTTTTGAGAAACACTGATCTAGAACAATGGTCAAAAAAGCTTTTCCTTAAAGGGCCAGACAGCAAATATTCTGAGTTTGCCAGCTATACGTCTCTGTTGCAATTACCCAACTATGCTGTTGTAAGACAAAGCAGCCACAGACAATATGTACACAAATGAGCATGACTGTGTTCCAATAAAACTTTATTTAAAAAAACAGGTAGGCCATACTGCCAACTCTGATCTAAAAAATACCCTCCTCAAGTAACTGAACAGGGTATGTTGTATAACATAATAGTAGGACAGAATATAAAAGCAGCTGAGCAACTAGGTATAGATACTATAGATACTATCCAATAAATATCCAACATATCTTATTGAAAGGTAAAGCTTTGCGAAGTTTAACTCTGAAAGAAAAAACTGATGTCTGCCGAAAACCAAGGTCTCAAAAAGACAAAAACAAAACAATTTACCATGTAATCAGGAGACATGACAAAAGACTCAGCAAGGGCAGCTGGTTAAACGCTTTTCACGTTGAATCACAGAGGTCAAACATCATTGCACATGGTTCACAACTAAATTAGAACATAAGGATCAGTATCTAGTGAGTGTTTTTTAAGAAAAAAGTTTTGAAGACTCCTTCCTCTAGGCCATGTTACACATATATATGTATATGGCCATGTTGCTATAAACAGCAAAATATAACATTTACTCAGTTGACTGAGCTACATGTTACTTTCTGATGGCTTTGACTTTTCAAAGTCGTAAGTTATTCAGTTATAACAAACACCCGAAGCTGTAGCCAATTTCAGAGTTTTTACAAAGTACTTTTCTCTACATTCTCAATTTTACAAAACTGCTTAACTGATCTATTTTGGCCTCACCGTCTAATTCTATTCCAGCAGCTGCTAGTGTTTGAGAATTTAAACTGAAGAGGAACAGAATGACATTTCTGCAGGTGCTGAATCCATAAGATCCGTGTCAAGTATAAACTTATCCTATCCCTCACTCCCTCGTTCTTTCTCCAGCAAATGTTTCAACTTTCATCTTCTTAGTCTACAATTTCTTAGTAGACTGATTATTAAGTTGGGTAGTAGAATCACTTATGTGTCCTCAATGAATATATTAACACCCTGGGGTTTTAGGATTCAATCCATTTCAAGCACCTTTCTAAAATTCCATTTTTGGGGAGCACCTGCCTAATCTACCTTGTCTTACCCACATTTACTATTTGGAGCCATCTGCATATCTCTGCAACTTTTAACACCTGCCTGAACCCTTACCAACCTGAAGCTTTAATGTGTATGAATCACCTGGTACTGAATACTCTGACCCACTGAACCTCACCCTCATCCATGACAGTTACTTGTTCTTGACTTCCTGCTACCCATCTTGAACAGGTAGCTCACTACCATTTATCCTTACATGACATCTTATCCAACCAAATCAAAGCATTTACTTATTGCTTATAGAACTTACGCAGTGATAGAGAATATGATTTTTCTTTGGTTTCAATTTATTTTTTTACCCGAAGCAAAAGTGTGTCTCAGAAGCACAGGTTTCCTTGAGGAGAGCTAAACTGTAGAGAATCCAAAAACAATGCAGAGTTGTGGAAGGCGATACTATTATTGTTTTCTGGGTTGTTCTGTAGATAGAAATATTATTCAGAGTTCAAAATGAGTTAAAGTATTTTAAAACGGATTCACTATGTGGGTGTTAACAGAGCTTTCAGCATTTTGATATGCCTTAATCGCTGATAAAATCAAACATTTACTAAAACTCTGTTTAACCTTAACGTTTAACTACTGTTCAACCATATGTTTGCTAAAATTTCTTATAAAGAATTTAAAGAATTTACAAGCTCTTGAATTAGATACATCCCATTATTATTCAAAAAATGTGCGCTTGTACATTAAAGGCTACGCCTCCTTCACTTAAAATGAACAAGCCAAGTGGAATAGAAGAATGACTTACAACTGACCAAGAAATAAATATGGTTCATACGTTGAGAGAAAATGAAAAGAAAATGCTCTCAATGTTGATGACAAGCAAGGAACAGAGATTACAGCAAAGATGATTTTATGAAGAAAATCCACTAAAGAAAACACTACTTCAACCTTTGATTCAGTAATTTATTTTGCAGAAAGGCAGCAATGTCATACCGTCCTATAGGTTCAACAGTCACGTATCCCTAGTATTAGAAAGAAGCAAATGATTTTCTGAACTGTATTTTCCTGAGTATCTCCTAGCATGCATTATCCTTTTAACTTTATATCCTGTAAACTGCAACTACTATACAATGTAAGTGAGCGGAAAAAATATCAAGTTATGATTAATGTATTCTATTAACTGAGGAAGAACATCGTATGTTTAGAAAGATCATCATCAAAAATAGATAAAATTATCTGAAAGCTTTAACTTGCCCTAAACATTCCCTAACCAAAATGGACAACTAATAATGCTATAAAATTCTATTCTATATTCTACATTCTATTAGTCTACTGGTTGTTTTTAAGGGCAGACTGTCATTTCTGGCCTGTTTAACCTTTCAGAGATGGTCTCTGCTCCCATTTAAAGGTTACAGGCAATTAAGAGATATGGAATCCTCAAAACTACCTTCTGTAACTTCCCTAGTTTCTAAACTTAGGATCTAATTTAAATTCACATCCTCAATTGTGTTTAATTTCTATCCCTCAAAACTTGCAAGGCCTTTCTGGGATCAGGACCAGAGACTTCTCATAACCAAACTGTATCTGTTGGCAAATGGGCTTTAGCTAAGGGATATCCTTGTAATTAAACCAACTCAACAAAAATGACTACAGTCTATGGGAGGATACTGAGTTCCTCCAACCACCACACAGACAATTCAGCTAAATTGATGCTTGAATTTTTCCAGGGTTGTTCCTCCCTGCTGTCAAATGGACTATGTCTGGGAAAACAAATGATCCCTCTCCCTTCTATTAATGCTAACAACTAAAACAAAGGTATTTAGAAAATTTAATGTATCTTAAACTTCAGATAAAATAAGATACTAATTTATATCTACTTATGGTTCCTCTCTTCTAAAAAACTTAAAATATATTTATTTTTCAACATTTCTGAGGATAACATAGGAAATTATTTGGCTTCTCATTTAACGAATTATAGATTTAACTTCAGGCAAAAAAGGTTAATTGACTTACCCAAGGTTACAATTAGAGGTACAGCTGGGGCTAGAAACCAGGTCTCCTGAGTCTCAGCCCAGTGCTCTTTTCCTTAGCCCATGATGCCTTATCAGAAAAATCCAAATACAGTCAGACCCCCAGTTACATGGGTATGAGTTACACTGATTCACATATACAAACTTTATATAGTGTGACCAATGTTTCAACTCACGCGGTACCCTGCTTCCATTTATGCAGTATGCCAGGCATCGGCACGATTTTCAGTGGCACACAGGCGGTTGCCACCACCAGGGCCCTAGGCAAAATTGCAAAGAAGGCAAAGTTTGTCTTTGGCCCTCCCACTTCCCTTATGCATTCCTCTCCCACCTCCTGGTCATCCCCCTGCCCAGCCTCCCAGTGCCATCATGCTGCCCTCTGGTTGTTCAAAGCCTCCCACTTTCACCGCTCACCCAGCACTGGCCTTCCTGGAAGTGCCCAATGATCCAAAATTACCTCTCCATTTCCCTACTACTAAAATTCCTATTTCTGAGAATTTCAGTAAAGTTTAGGTAATCTCCATAATTAACTGATTTAAGTAATTCAAAATAAGTTATATTTAACAGAATTATATCTCCAAGGAGTTTAAAAGGAACTAACTAAAAACTCTAATTTGGGGGAGGAAAAGAGGAAATAAATCTTTCATTAGGGGGTGGGGGAGGTGAAAGCAAAAGTGCCCTTGGCCTCCTTTGCTGCTTCAGTTTCCCTCACAGACAGGACACTAGGAGTTGAGGGGGTGGTTACTGCCACCCTGAGTCACACTATCCAAAGACAGTGATTGTTTTATAGTTAGTCTCTGGGAATAAGAAAAACATGTATATATATATATATATTTATATATTGGACAGAGCTGCCTTAAATACCCTCCTACCTACCTTTTCCATGTCTCTCCTACCTCTTGGATCCCCATTTCCACATCTTAGTGCCAAAGATACCCAACAGAATTCCCTGTAAGCTGTTCCCGTGTCCAATACAAAACTTCCCATTATATGGTTTCAAATTACATGGTGTTATTCAGAAAGGTATCCATGTTTCCCTATCCCTGGATAACTTGAAGTTGATTGTACAATAAAAAAAAATCCTAATTATTTAAAGGTCCTGAATCATAACATAAAATATGTAAACTCATTTACTATCTGGTAAGAAGGAAAAGAATACTGATTCTTATCTTATTTACATAAAAGAACTAATTTGAAAATCTAAAAAAACATTCAATTCTTTTCCTTGAAAGTAGTATGTTTCTTTCTTCTGGCCCAACACAGCAGTGAAAATCCAGTCATTTCAGTTAAATAATACTGTGGACTTGTAAACATGAGTTCACTGGTAAATCCTCTTAGTCTGAAGACAAAAAAAAATCCAGTAACAGACACAGAAAAATATAAATTTATTTGTAATACAAAGCACAGTGGATTTTAAGAAATCCAAGTTTCTGCTGATTACACACACAGGAAAAAATATATATACGTATGTATACACATATTTTAATTTAGCTTTGCAATACTAGATTGTGCCTAGTTTGGAAATTTATCAGGTGATCATAGTTACTTTGATCCAACTACCCTCCCAGTAAAATTAGGAAATTCAATCCACGTAGAAGGTACCAAAAATGGCATCCATCTAGGAATAAAAGGATCATCTAAAGTAAGTCTTGAATGATTTCTATAATTTTACTACAAAGATTATTCTGTCAGCTAAAAACCTGGATTAAGCCCCTTCTCAATATCATCTTCATAATGGAAAAGGAGCAATATTAAGACAAGCTGCAGTTATAAAAAACCATTCTTACCTAACAGAGAAAAATGATAATTGGTAGAAGTTTCTCCAGTGGCATTTTTAATTGATGTTAACTTTCAAGGGTTTACTACACAAATAAAATTCATTTCCTTCCCAAACTTCCCCTCCTCTCTATGCAACCACAAGTAGGTTTACGATCTTTACCTATTTTTCTATACATTCTATAAAGAAAAGTTCCAAATATGAGTTTTATTAAAACTGAACTATGAACACTGAAAAACCAAAGTATGCACTGCTAAAAACATGTGAATTCAATAAAATGTTTTTAATCTACTCGCATATTTTGCTGCAGAGCACTCAAGAAAATTATTATACCAATTGTTAAAAAGTGTCCCTTTTCTCTTAGGTCAAGCAATTAAAATAACTTGTCGAGAAAAAAGCATTTCTTTATTGGCTAAGAAACCATTCGCCTGAACAAGCAACATACAAAAATGAGCAAGTGTTTGGCTTTTTTAAGAGAGAAAGTACTGGACTAGATCTTTCCTCCCTATTAGCATGGATTTGAGTCGAATTTCAAAGAGTACATTACTAATCATCACCAAAAAGCAACAGCATCTATCTCATCTTTTTGTTTAGAAATTCTCTTTATGACAAAAAGATATCGAGTAATTAGTGGTTTTCTATACAAATTCTAACCTAAGCGCCTGAAAGGATCGTTGTTTCCCTCAATTCTACTTCACTGGGCACCACATTTTCAAAATGGTTCTATTTGGGGCACATGCAAGGTTTGTCAATATTTACTGAACAAAGCCTCTATTAAATTGTCTAACAAAATGGAGGTCTCTAGGAAAAAAACAGGCCGTTAACAATTTTCTTTTCACAAAATGGGCCAAACACACCCACTTCAAGAACCATGGTTTGGGTCAGATTTTCCCTTAAGGATGGTTGTTTCCGTGAGGGGATCAAGAGTGCATCTCTAGGACTGGATTCCTAGCAAAGGTTTCCTCGGACCCAGGTAAGGGCTGGGTTGGGGGTGGGAACCACTTCTCTCTGGACACTCTGGAGGGCGGCGGCGAGGGATGATCTCAAAGCTCTGGGTTAAGGAATTAGTTCTGGGGGCGGATGCTTTAGCGGTCCGCAGGTACCTGATCAGCGACAAAACAGGCCGCCGACTACGCAAGAGAGACGTGGGCTCTCCCGTCCCAGCCAAGTCAACACTGAATGCTCAAACTCTCCCTTCTGCCTCCAGGCCCCGCCTGACCCCATTGGCAGCGGTTCCCGCCAATCCGCTCGGTCGCCGCCCCCCAAGCCCGCCTGCCCAGCCTTGATTGGATGGGACGGGAGCCGGGACCTCGTGTTACCAATCTGGGAGCCCCTTACTCAGCCACACACATAAGCCCAGGTGCGCCCACGGAGCCCCTTCCCCTTGCCTTCCCAGTCCCTTCCCCCACCCCCAGGGCACTGGCAGACACTTACCGTCCCGGGAGGTGCCCATCAACTGGTCCAGCATCGCGCGCATCTGGGCCTGCGCCGACATGGCGGCGGCGTAGCGGGCGGACGGGCGGGGGTGGGGCGCAGACCGGGCCCTTTCGGGCGGGGGGGACAAGGGGAAGGGGTGGGGGAGGTGAGACGCTGTCTCAGTTGCCGCCGCTGCCTCGAGGCGTGCGGAAAAGGAGCCGGAGGGGTTGTAGGAGAGTCCGGGCTGCGCTCCTCACGACGACGCGTACGCGGAAGGCGGCAGCCCCCGAAAGCGACCCTCGTTCCCTCACTCTCCGTCGGGTTCCTGCGACAGAAGCGATACCGGCTAAGCAAGCTCTCGTCTCCTACACCACCACCCGCCAGCAGACGTCAGCCCCCCCTCCAAGCTCTGACGCCGCTCGCCGCCACCGTCGCCGCGACGTGAGCGCGCACGCTCCTCGCGCTTAGTCGTTTCCCGCGGGGCTCCACCAACTGGCGTCCAACTGTATTTGCTCCGCCCGCCCCGCCCCACCCCACCCCCCCGAGACGGGTTCCACCCTAACGGCTCTCAGGCGCGTGCACGCGGGCCTCTCCCGCCCCTACCCGCTAGATCTCGCGAGACTCAGCGAACGCCCGAACCCGATCCGCCCCGGGTGCCAAACCTCAAGCTCCAGGCTGCAGGTCTCCTAGGGCCGCGCCGCACTGTGCTGGCGAACCAGACCCAAGTTAGCCAATGTGCCAGAGGTTAGCCCGAGTCGAAAGTAAGTAGAGACCCTGCCCGTCGTTTCCACTGAGGTTAGCAGTCTTAGGAGCTAATCTGGCGTATTCCTGACGAATACTTACTGACCAACGAAGTCGTTTTCAGGGGCCCGCCTGAAAATCGTGTAGACTCAACCTTTTTCTCACTGCTGCCCCACCCTCTGCAGAAGGAGTCCGGGGATCTGGCAGCTGGGTCGTTCTCCTTAATCTACGCAGGGAGGCTTTAAGCCCCCCGAACTGGGGATAGGTCAGGTTCAGGAAGCAACGCCTGAAATTAATACACTAGGAAACAGGCCAAGGCCATCTAACCCATTCGGATTTATCATCGTTACTTATGTAGCAAGAATCTGTTAGTCTAAATTGGAAACTAAAAATTAAGCAGTATTTTGAGAAAGGAAAGGAGGTAGTCTTGTGGAGAATTTTGTTTCCTGCTTGAGAGCTAAATTTGAAGGATAAGGCCTTTTCAGTATATTGACAACGAAAACGACAGCGTGTGGGTTCTTAGCTTGCCATCACCCTGCATTCAAAACGTAGGTCGACCGATTACTAACTGTGGGACCTTCAGCAATTTATTTCTTAATCGCACGTCTAATGGAGATAAGCATACAAACCTTATAGCACTGTTGTGAGGGCTAAAGGAGCTAACAGAAAATGCCTAGCGCAGAGTCTTGTCCTGGTGGTTTAACTTTTTTAATGTAAACTTAATCCTTAAGATGAGATATACTTTGAAAGGAAATAATGGTTAAGTTTTATTTCATTAGGATTTTATATACATCACCTTGAAACTTACAACTTATTAGGAAGATCAATAAAAAAATGAACATGAAATAGTAATTGTTGTCCCCAGATCCCTTTGAATGCATATCTGGCCGATAAAAATCTTGGAATCACAGCAGTGTTTAGTAACTGACAAAAGAGCTTCCCTCCAGTTATTCAGAGAACTGAAAACTCACCTCCAAATACATGGAATATCATCCTTTGAAAACTATTTACAGTAAAAGAAAAATTACAAATTAATATGTCCTAGAGGAGTGCAATGTTATATATACAATATCCTTAGGAGGAAAATACACTAAAATGTTGAATATGTGTTAGTGAGGAGATTTTTTTTCTCTCTTCCTTTCTGGTTGCTTGCATTTTAGATGCATCTTATTTAAAAGAACATACAGTTGTGTTTTTTTAATAACATTCTTAATAAGACTCACTCTTTTAATTGAGGCATTTAATCATTTATATGTAATTATGTAAATAGGCTTAAAGCTCTTATTTTGTCTATTTGTTTCACCTGTTTTATGTTTAATTTTTTTTCTTGCCTGCCTTTTAATAATTCCGTTGTTTCCCCTTCTAGTAGTTTGTAAATTTTAGTCTGTTTTTATTATTTTAGCAGTTACCCTGTAACAGGCATTTTTAACAGATCAAAGGCTATAATTTAATCAGTACCTTTATTCTTTCCCCAGGGAGATAATACAGAAAACCTAAAAACTTTAACTCCATTTAAGCTCTTCCCAAGTTATGTGCTCTTGTCATCATGTGTTTTAGCTCATGTTTTTTACACTTCCTTTGCTCTTCTTTCCTTCTCCCTTTCCAGTTGGGATCATTTCCCTTTTGTCTGTTGTATAAACTTTAGGCCAGGAGTCAGCAATCTACAATCCACTCATCAAATCCAGGCCATTGCCTATTTTTGTGAGTAGTTTCATTGGAATACCGCCAGGCTCATTCATTTGCTATTGTTTATGGCTTCTTTTGCACTACAACAGCAGAGTTCAGTGGTTGTGGCAGATACCACACCCTGTGGCCTGCAAGACTGAAATATTTACTTTCTGGCTTTTTAGGGAAGTTTCAACGTTTGCATTTGTGTTGGTCTGCTAGTAAGGAAGTCTTCTATTTTTGTTGGTTTGAAAAGATCTTTATTTTGCCTTTCCTAATTCTAGATGAGTATTTCCCTTGGGCATAGAATTCTAAGTTGTAAGTTACTTTCTTTCGGCACATAGATTCTGTCATTCATTAACAGAATTAGAAGTTTGTTTTCTTTGTAAATTTTTTTAACTTTTAAAATTTAGTAACACTTACCTGAAAAAACAAAAACCTCTGTGAATATGTGTAAGTGTACATTCTAGCAATGATATCCATTCCTTAAGGGATAAGGTCTCATAAGGAAACAGGAACTCACATAAAAGTAGGGTTAAATCTATACATGCGAGAAACTAGATAATTAAAAATTAGAATAGGTACAAGTAACATAACATTTTGTAGTCATCCAGAGCAGACAACTATTCATCTTACTGTAATTAATAAACTAAATATAGTAAATAATTAAAGACTATCCAGTAAAGTTTTGTATTACAGTTATTCTTGGGGCATCAGTGCATACCTACTATCAAATTTTATAAACAGGATTCCTGTTAATTTAAATGTAGATCAAAAAATTCAAATTCTGTGTAAATTATCTTTTAGTTAGGTGAATTAAAAATTTACGTTACAAACAGAATGTGCCTTGGATTAGCCTGCCTTTTTTCACAACCTCGCAGCCTTCTTCCTCCCACCACACACATTATCTTATATGTGAACCTTTTGTTCTTATCATTATGTTCATATTTGTATCTATAACAGTTACCCAGACAGGGGACAAGCAAAGTACTAATAACTCAATACCTTAGAGCCAGAAACAATTCTAGTTAAAATGCATAAACATTTGAAGTTTATGGAGAAGAGAAATAGCAAGAGCCAAACCTGAACTGAGTGAACTAGTTGACTGGTCTTTAAAACAGGGGAATTAAAAGCAATAAGCATCTATAAACCAAGCCAAGAGAAAAGGAAGGAACGGTTAATAGTGTCAGAAACGCTCCCTAGAGATCAGCAAGATAAGGAATAAACCATTGGGTTTAGTGCCCTGAAGATCACTTGTAAACTTGCAAGGCAGTTCTAGTAAAGAGGGAGAAACCAGACTGCAGAGGATTGAGAATGAGTGGCAGTGAAAAATGCAGTAGATGTATACGTGAAACAAAATGGATTATGACCTCAAAATCACTATGCTGAGCAAAAGAAACCAACTCAAAAGAGTACATACTGTATGACTGCATTTGGATGAAATACTTGAACAGGCCAAACTAATCTATGGTGACAGCAAGCAGGTCAGTGATTGCTGGGGACCAGGTGTGGGAAAGGGAAGTTGTCTGCAAAGGATCACAAGGGGACTTTGTGGGGCAATGAAAATGTTCTGTAGCTTTATTGGGGTGGTTATTACACAGGTGCATTCATTTGTCATTATTCATTGACTTGTATAATTATATATAAATTATACCTCAATACAACTTATTTTAAGTTCAAAAAATGTAGAAAATGAAAACAATTCATTGAATACATTTATTCAGTTTGTTTGTGAAGAGGAACAAGAGAAGATAGTAGCTGAAAAGGTACATGAATTAAAGCCGAGTACAGCTGACCCTGAACAGTGTGTGCACTGCACTGGTCCACTTACAACGGGATCTTTTCAATAGTAAAACACTGCAGTGCTACCCTACCCGCAGTTGGTTGAATCCGCAGATGCAGAACCATGGAGGGAGGGCCAACTGTAAATTATACTCGGGAGTTTTGACTGTGCAGAGGATCAGTGTCCCTAATCCCCTGAATTGTTCAAGGTCAACTATAGTTGTTTTTAAGTGGGAGACCCTTGAGCACATTTAAATGCTGATAAAATTCAGTGAGAGCAATCAGCTGAAGTTAAAAGGACAGCAGGTCAGAGACAGCAAGTGAAGGAATGTGATAAAGCATGTACCACATCAAAAACCTGGAGTAGTGAGTCAACACAGGGCCAAAACCTCAGGATCGCCTAGTTCTAGGACATTCCCAGTACAGAAAGTTTATTGCTAGTACAGTTCATGTTCCAGAATCAGTTCCTTCTATTCCTAACATTGAGTTCTGGATGGTAAGACCATTGATAAGAGGTAAAGGTTGATTATATATGGACAGAAATGGCCTGAGTGAATGACTTAAACTAGGAAATAACTTGTCTATATTTCAGAAGACTGGTGACAGCAGGCCTTAGAGAAGGATTCGTGATAACACATGTGTGACTTAAAATGAAAACAAGATTTGCCTTTTGTCAGGCACTTACTATGTACTGTGCAACTCTTTTATGTGAACATTATTCTCATTTATTACAGCCACCTTGTTGGCATTCTTAACCTGTGGAAGCGGGAAAAGGTCAGGTCACCTAACCTGCCTAAGAACACACAGGTGGAAAATTGTAAAGGTGGGATTAAAGCCTAGGCCTAGATGACTTCAAACCCGTAATAAATATTTCTTACCCTGTTAGGCAATTCTGCCTCAAATCTCTTTCTTTAAAAAATGTTACTTATTGATAAACAAGTTTATACTGTATAGCACAGGTAACTATATTCAGTATCTTGTAGTAACTTACAGTGTAAAAGAATATGAAAACAAATATATGTATATGTTTCATGTATGACTGAAGCATTGTGCTGGACGCCAGAAATTGACACAATATTGTAAACTGACTATACTTCAATAAAAATATATGCACCAAAAAGTTATTCACTGTATATACAATATTTTAACAAAAGTAATAAAAACGTCAGTCTATCCTAATTCTTTTGCTTTCTTCATCTTAGCAGAGTAAAACATTTTTGGATAATAAACCTATGACCATGAAATAAAGCAGGGGGAAAATCTTAAACATTACTGTTTTTATTAATCTGTTCAGTTGAAATGCTTGGTTTGACTTATTAATACTATTATTTTAATGTTAATCTCTTAGAAGAAACAGATGTTTTGATATGCTTTATGAATATTTCTGTTCAGGTTGTATTCCTCCTAGTGAGTAGAACTGAACCTTGCATTCAAAACACTGATTGAGGAGGACGGTATAGCTCAGTGGTAGAGTGCGTGCCTAGCATGCACGAAGCCCTAGGCTCAATCCCCAGTACCTCCATTAATAAATAAGTAAACCTAATTAATGCTCCTCTTAAAAAAAAAAAACACTGATTGAGTAACTGTCTGTGTAAGTCACTGTAGAAGGTGCCTTGTAAACAAAAATGAATGAGACATGGTCCTTACTCTAAAGGAGCTACAGTCCAAGGAAAAAGAGAGATGTCTATAGTTATAATACCTGGAGAAACTAACATATAATATACTACCACAGATAAAGAACTACTGGTAGTTCACAGAGAATTTTCATTTGAGGAATTCAAGACATTAGAGGCAAGGGGACCATTTAGGAGTCTAGATTATGAATGCAGCCAAAACACTACCGGCGCTTAAACTAGGACAGATGCAGTGATGCTAACAGTTCTTGCAGAAGCAGAACTTACTGACTGGATGTGGAGGGTGAGGAGGAGAAATACAGAATGAAGCCCAAGTTCTTGACATGGGCAGCCAAATGCATGGTGGAGCCCTTCACCCTGATAGAGAATTTAAGAGGAAGAGCAATTTGACAAGGAGGGTAGAAGGCAGAAGTCAGTGTGCTCATTCCATCTTCCCTCCTGGGCTTCCTGCAGCCTGTAGTTGACAGTGGCCATGACCTAAGGGTCCGCTCTGTCTGGCCAAAGGGAGATAACAGCGCCCACTGTTGCTAGCCCATCTTGCCGACCTTAATTCAACCCACATCTTTATATATCCCTTCACTAACTCAGTCTCCTCAGTAACCCTAGTTGAGCGTGCCATCTGTTTTCTACCAGGACCATAACATCATATTTGTGTATTTTTTAATAAAAGTCTATCTGTATAATTGTTTATGCATAGGAAACATCTGGAAAGATGCCCACCTAATAGTTAGTAATTGTTACCACCTGATAATGGGGTTGGGAGGGGCAAGGGAAAAGATAAGAGGGCTTTACGTTATGTACCTATATACCATGTGAATTCGTTACGAATAGGCTGTTATTACTTTTAAAATAAAAACTAATAGGGTTTTTTTTTAACTAAATCAAGAACATCAGCCTAGTGTAAGAACGTCAGTAAATTCACTGAGTAAAGATGAAACATCCCTAAGAAACAGTCAACAAAATTACAAAGAAAACCCCTAAACTTTAAAAAAGAATTTAATGATAAATACATATCGATAGAAATGATTAAATTCTTGTACGAAGGCAGCATCCAAGGAATCTCTCCATTTTCATGGCTCCCAGCCCTTCCCTCCAGGCTGCTGGGGCAACTTGAGACCCACTAAGCCAGCCGACTCCTCCACTGAGCGCTCACCCTTGCCATGAAATTCCTGATGAAGGGCCACGTGTGCTCGGATGCTCCGGAGGAGGCAGAGATAGGTGGCAGCTTGGAAATGAAGTTCATGCTGGGCTCTGCACAACTTCTCACTGGTGACCTAGAGAAGTAGCAAGATCAGATGTTATACAGGCACTCTGTAATTGCTGATTAGGAAAGCTGGCCTCCAGTTAGTTGAAGAGGAATTTTACAAGGAGTGTCACTAAAGCATTTCATTGGGTGTCCTCCAATTTTAATACTGGAAAAAGTTCTCTCTTCTTTCAACACCCTTATTTAATGAATGAGGAAACTAAAGCGCAGAGAGAGGCTCCATGGTTGGTTAACGGCAGAGATGGGGAACTAGAATCAGGTCACTGATCATTAATGTTGCCTAAGGAATAAAATATAGAACTTTCTCCTCTTCAAACAAATGAAGGGCAGCTTTATTTTATGAGACTGTGGACTTAATGTGGCATATGCCTTTTATTTCAATGAAAATTAAAAACTTTATCTGAAAAATAGCTTTGTCCTCAGCAGTAACAAAATAAAAGTTTTATATATAAAGTAAAATGCGTATGTTGATATTACTTAATTTTCCTTGCTCTCACAATTCACTTATTCATCTTAAAAATCTGTATTCTGATGACCTTAAGAAGCTGGAAACTCCATATCCATTCTGAAGTCCCTGGTGACTCCAAACCCTGTTTTTTTCCTTCATCATAATTAACTTCCAGATTAAGTAAACTAGTATACAGACTTAACTTGACAAGTTTTATGTTCTGAGGTTGTGAGAAAGGGACAGGAAAGGTGAGACAGATATGTGTGCATAGCCTCAAGAAACTTAAGGAGACTTATCCAAGTATGGATTAATCTCAGGGCACCAATGCCTACATATGTCTTTCTTTGCCCTGTCTTTACTTGACTGTCTAGGTTTGGACTCTGAAAACCAGAAAGTGTGGTTTAAGATTTGCAGGTCATAAAAGTGAAAATGGCACTTACAAGCTGCTCAAAAATAGAATTCATCTGCTTTAATCAATTTAACTTTTTATAATTAAAAATTTGAGAGCACAACACTAATGTCAAACAACAAAGGGTAACATTTCTATTATATAAGTCTAAATTGATAGGAATTCTGTTAGTGCAGAACAGGAGATAACTTATCTTGACCCAGCTGAGCCTGAATCATGAGGACTCCGGAGAGCAAGGTCATCAACATAACATAGTAAGTGAACCGCAATAGACCAAAAGAGATCTAACGAATTAGAAAACTGTATTTTCCCTAAGGAGAAAGGGGAGACTACTCTCTAACGACTCCCTTCGGTTTAGGGAAAGGAGAGAGGAAATGGGCATAGGTGACTAGCAAGTTAGCTCTGAGCCAGCAAGAAATAAACACCATTCCCCACATCCTCATATGCATTCCACAGACTGGTGTTCCTGGAATTTGTACCGTGAATTTCAGATGTTATTTCCAAGGAATTTCAGAGCCATTACCAAGCTTCTCTCAAAAGCAATCATGTTGCTTTCATAAGGTACAGCTATAATCACTTGACCTGTAAAAACCTTATAGTGATCTCCCATTATAGTTACAATAAAGTAGAAATTCCTGCCTATCGAGTACCCCATGTTCCTCCACTTCACCCACCACACCCCCAGCCTTAACTGTTCTCAACTGGCAGCTCCTCTCAGCTCTGGGCTTTCAGTTGTGCAGCTTCTTCACCTTGACCTCATCTTCCCCTCCCCCTATTTACTTGCTAAGTCAATTCATTCTTCAAGTCCCTACTTATCGAACGGCTACCCCTTCTGTATACCAGGACCCTTGCAGTCTGTTTACTTCTTTTGCACTTGTTTAACTGCTTGGTTAGTGTCCTCAGGTGGATTGTAATCTTCTTAAGACAGGACCCATTTGGATCTTATTCGTCATTTTTAGCCAAGTTCCTAGAAGTCCCTAATATTGTGGCCCTTTACAAGTTAGTTCAATTTTAGTTCTAACATTTTGCACTCTAACTTCCATGGCTTAGAAAATCAACAGTTAGGATGACGGTTCTCCCCTTTCCCACAATGCTCAAAGGACGGTAAATTTCCTTCCCTAAAGCCCAAGCTGACTCTCCAATTTATTATTTCTGAGATAGCCCACAACGTCTTTCCAAGCCAGATCCGTATCTCTAAAGGCAGCAATTAAATGGAAGACTTATTTGGAACCAAGTAACCTAGATTCTATTCACATACTTGTACAGATCTACTGTCCCCGAGCCTCAGTTGCCCCATTTGAAAAATGAAACTATCTTCCATCCGATCTTGTATAATTGGGGTATGGAGTGTGGATTTCACAAAGGAATTTTCCAAGGGTGGCCTACCATATGTTCATATTTATCCACTACAGACGGTAAAACTATGTGGTCATATATCACGTTAATGTAAATGACAGTACAACCTCATTAGACGTTTCTAGTTCTGCTCTACAAGGCACCATTTTCTGAAGTGGCATAGAGGGTACAAAAGTAAACACAGTCCTACTCTTCAAGAAGCTCCTAGTATTCCTCTCTACATCAAAAATTGCTTCTCAGAATACCTCTACTAGGAGAAGGAGGGTGGTGGATAGATGCTGTGGCTAGTGACCCTACACTCTCCACCAAAACATCTTTTTTCTTGTCCCTTTCTATCTTCTCCATTTTACTTTCCTCCGACTTTCCCTTCAGCACAGGGCCGAAGACAGCCAATGAAATCTTCAGACACGGTTCTGCTCTCCCGCCGGTCCTCGGTTACTTCCCGGGCTTAGGCGGTAGACCAGCGCCTGCTTGGCCAGAGCGGGGCCGGGTGGGAGGGTCGGCCTCAGAAACGAGCAGGAGGCCAGCGCACTCTCCCGCCGCCCAGACCCCACTCTCCCTCCCTCCCCGGGAAAGGGACGCTAGAACGTCCCGACACGGGCTTCGTACCCGATGTGCACGGAAAGCCTTCACGAGGTACTGATAGGCCGCAGTGTCGCGATAGGGTCGGCCAGTGGCCGCGTTCAAGTAGCGCAACTCCCGTAGAAGGCCTCGCCAGGTGCGCGCCGGCGACCCCAACGCCGCCATTTCCCCGTCCTCCAAGCCTGGTGCGGGCCTGCGCCCTACGCCTCTCACTCCCTCACCCCCACCCCCCACCCACCCGCTCCATAGTACGGTGGGAACCAGACTACCGGTTCCACCTATCAGCTGCAGGACAGTGGGAGGTCTCACTTCCCTTCTCTGCGGAGCGTTGTTAATCGAACGCCGAGAGACGCCCTAAGGAGTTAAGGGAAAAGCAAACGAAAGCCAAGTGTAACCAAATTGCCTGGAGAACGGGCCCGGGGGAGGGAAAAGGAGGTCCTTTTCTGACTGCGTCACTTCAGACGCCATTAGCTGACTTGCCGCTGAGTCGCGAGAAAATTAAGGGCGTGTCAGAAGTTGATGTCGATTTGAAACAGAAAGCTTTGAGGGTTGTTTTTCTTTTTTTTAGGGGGAATATGAAAATCGACTTCCCAGAAATCTTAACAAGACCACGACTCAGAGGAAGTATTCTGACTCGCACACTGTAGCCCCACGTATAGAAAAACTACACATACACTTCCAATCTTTGAAGAGGAAAATTAAGTTAGCCTATTTTGCTATAAATACTTAAGGAAAAAGGCAAACGTTCTATTTAAAGGTTTATTTAAACCTATTAAAAGGCAAAAGATCAACCACCCCAGATGGGACTCGAACCCACAATCCCTGGCTTAGGAGGCCAATGCCTTATCCATTAGGCCACTGGGGCTGCTGTGAACAACCTCCTCAAACAACGTATTCAATGTTTTTCCTGTTCCATACGTCATCGTCATCCCAATATCCTTTCAACCTATCCTAGGAAACCACAACTAACAGCATTATGAGGGGCGAGGCATGCTGGGAGTTGTAGTTCAAGTAACAAAAACCCGCGTTACAGCTACAAAGATTTTACCCTCGGAACAGCACCGATGCGCCGGACTGAAAACGGGAGCGCGCACGGTTTTGCGTATGCGTTTGCCTAAGCGGTAGCCCCCGCGCCTGCGCAAAAGCGCGCATGAGACGTCGCGGAGCTGAGAGGGCTGTGTGCGTTGGTCAAATCTCGGAGATTCGTCCTCTGAGCTTCTGCTCCGTGGGGTTTTTACCGGAAACAGCCGGCCGCTTCCGGTGTTTCGGCTTTCCGGGCTTCGCGTGACTCCAGCCTGCCGTTAGGTGGCGTTCCTAGCGGTTATTTTTTTGTTTCCGGTTGAAACACTGAGGCCATTTCCGCAGAGCCAGTAGCCAGTTAGAAACGTTTACCTTGTCTTCTGAATTGGCAGGTCAGTGGTAAATATGGGACAGCAGGGAATTAATTAGGAGTTAATTAATTAGGAGTTAGTTGTCTTAATTGAATAACTTGGACAAGTCATTTCGAAGTCTCAACGACTTTACGCCTTGCTTAAAATCTCGCAGTGGCTCTCCGTTGCCATTAAGATCAATTTTCAGACCACTGGACCCTTCGTAAATTGACCCTTGCCTGTATCTTAACCGTGCTCTCTCATTCATTTCCTCTCATCCTCTGAATTTCTCTTAATGTCTTCCTCTACATCTTGTGTTATTCCCTTTGCCCGATCTTAACCATTTGCGTTAACGTTCCTGTTTCCCTTCTGGACTTCAAGTTTCTTCTGGAAATCTAGATCAGACACTTCTCCAGGCCCTTATGGTCAGTATGGCAAGTTTAAAATGATTCAGTTCACCTCTTCTGGGCTTGTCTAGATTCTCTAGGTTACTTGTGTAATCTTACCTCTTCCAAGTTAGATCACCTGTGTCTCAGTTTCATCATCTTCCACACGAGCCAAGGTGTAACTGCTCAAACTCAGGATTCCCACTCTAACAGGTCTCCCCTCCTAGGTCCCTGTCAGGGTTCACCAGCTCCAGCTATGGCCACCTCCGATCACTCTTCCATAGCTCTGGCTGAAATCTTGACACTTTGAGAATCAACACAGTAAACCAGTATGACTTAATGTGAATGAATTCATCTTTCCCAGTCACACTCATATTCATTTTATCAACCTGCAATTCACAAGTATCTGGCTTCTAAAAGGCAGATATTCAGGAGGGGTTTGGAAGAATGCTGTCATTTTATCTCCTCTTAACAGAAATTTAACCTGCTTCCTAAGATGTAGCAAATTGAAGCCAGCTCTGAGGAAGCAGGAGAATTTATTGGAAGTATGATATGTTATGATAAGGGGCAATAGAAAGTAATTCTGAAGTCCTTTTTACTGAACTGCCAACAGACTCATTTCTTCCACTGTAAGCCATTCTTCCACTAAAGCAAATAGATAATCATAAAATGTTAGCTCTGTGTAGCCACTAGTCACCAAAGATGGCCCCTCAACAATCTTCCCCTTTCACGCATGTTGCTTCTTAACATTAAGAGGTGAAACTTATTTCCCATCCAACCCACTCCTCCCACTCTTGAATCTAAGCTGGTTTTGTGACTAGCTTTAATCAATAAATAGAATGTTCTGGGACTTCTAAGGAACCCCAGGCCTTAAAACTGGCAACTTTCACTATCTCCTTCTTACCCAGCTACCATGCTGTGGAAAGCCCAAGGCATATGGAAGAGTCCTGGCACAGGCCCGGCTGAGCTCTCAGCTGACAGCACTGATACCAACCACGTGAATGAGCCATCTTGAATGTCCCGATCCAGTGGCACCCCCAAGTGATCTGTCTCAGCCAATGTCATTTGGAGCAAAGAACTGCCCAGCGAAACCCAGTCAATCCGAAGAAACATTAAAGATAATAAAAGGGCTGTTTGGGAATAATTTCACTATGTTTTTGATTACTGTGTGTCAACAGAAAACCAAGTCAGTCTAAAAGTTCTCAGAGCCAATTAAGCCAAACTTTATAATTTTGCAGCTTTGGAAAGTCTTTATATTCCTAGTGCAGGGCTGCAAACCCAAAGCCCTACAGGAGGGACCAGGTAACAGCAGGTGACACCAGAGTGTATCAGGCCAGGCGAGTTCCTACCTCCTCCACTGGAGCTAGAGTTCTCAGCTCAATCTCATTGTTGCAAAATAGGAATGTGGTCCCAGTGTTGCCAGAGCTTATGATTTTTCAAGAGAAGTTGTAAATCCAGAATTTTTATGAAATGCCCTAACTTCTAAGTGCTAGTGGTCAGTTAAAAACAGTAGTTTGTCAAACAAAACACTTCTATTTTCCTTATACAACCTAGGGTTGCAAGTGTGCAACTATGCCCTGGGGCACCTCACAGGCGATGTCTCATTTGACCTTCACCACAGTCTTATAAAGTAGTACTCTGATTTTACCTGCTTAGAAATGTGGGAACAAACTCAGTGCAGTTTCATGGTTTAGCCAACTTTACTAACTAATCGCCAGTAAAGCCAGTATTTGACCCCAGGCAATCTAACCCCAGAGCCTACTTCTTAAACTTTTTAAAGAAGCTTTAGGGGTGGTGAGTATAGCTCAGTGGTAGCCTGCGTGCTTAGCATGTGTGAGGTCCTGGTTTCAATCCCCAGTGCCTCCATTAAAAAAAAAAAAAAGTTTTGTAGCAGGAAAGGAATTTGTATTTAAAAGGTGCTGGTGATTCTCAGAATTTCCTGGTAAGGCTAGAGACCAGGTTTGGAAGCTACACAGCCAAGAACCTTACTCGAAAGCTTGGCCCAGATCTGGTCCAGTGAAAACTCCAGCAGGCACTGTTGCTACAGCTTGCAGTGCCAACACAGTGACACTGGGCAGGGACTGGACACTGGCACCAAGACTGTTGCTCCCAAACACTGGCTGTTGCTGGCTTCTCTGCTTCCACTTGTGCCAGAATGGATTAAGTCATTACCTAATCCTGGATCATGTTCTCTTGTTGGTCAGGGGAGGCTGGGAAAGAAATACTCTTATTCAGTGAATTTTGATTGAGCATCTGCTATGAGCCAGGCACTCTTCTAGATGCTAGGAAAACAGAAGCACAAGTAGAACAGGTACAACTTTCTTATACTCATGAAGCTTCTGTTCTAGAAAGGGACGGACAGACAATAATCAAACAAGCAAAACAAAATCTGTCAAATGGTGATGGGTGCCATGACATAAAATAAAGCCGGGGTAGAGGATTTAGTCCTGCTGATGTGTTCAGGGAGGTTCTTACTGATAAGGCGACATTTGAGCAGAGACCCAGATGACATGCAGAATCTGCATCTTCAGCCTGTGTGTGCATGTGCATCTTGCGGTGGGTTAGTGTCCATACTTTAAGTAGAGAGACCTCACCTCCATTCCCTAACCATTGTGAGGCCATTATTCTGTCCTTCAAGCTGTGTGAGGGTAAAGGAGGAGTTCTGGGACAAGTTTTCTATGCCCAGTGAAACTGTAGGAGCAGACCCCAAGAGTCCAGTCTTTACTCTGAACTACAGCAGTGACTGGCTGCCTGACCATATACATGGGAATCTGGGGGAAATTTTGGTGGGAAAGAGCCAGGATGCATGAAAGAGGGGTATCTGAGAGTAGATAGGTGTAGGCACTCACTTCCATCATTTGTGATTCTAGAAATGTGTGTCCTAAGGCAGTGATTTCTACACTTTTTTGATTGTGTATCCACAGTGGTAAAAATCTTGTGCCTCCCCCATAAGCCTTTGTATTTATTTTTAAATTATATACATGTACTATTGATTGAATGTGGTAAATACATTTAAAACATGCACAAAATAGAAATGAAAAAGTGTGTTTTAAAAATGAATAACAGTAATTTGAAAATATTTTTATTAACAGTAAAAAAAAGTCCTAATGTCTCTTGGTAAAGAAAGATGATTATTGTTTATTTTATTGAAAACGCAATGTAATTCAGTATGTTTTATTATTTTGAAAATCTTGGTTTAACACATTGTTTTGGGCAACAAAATCACATAGTGATAAACATTTCTAAACATCCATTTTCAAATTTCTCTCTTCATAGCATGGGTTTCTTTTTTAAAAAAAAATGCCTCACTCCCAACTTTAAAAAAAAATCACTTTTAACTTAAAGGGACCCATTAAGTATGTTCAGAATATCAGCTAGGCAGATGTATCCATCAGGCCTCAGGCAGAAAAAGAGAAACTACTGCAGGCTTTACAAGCAGAAAGGAATTGAGTGCAGGGCACTGAGATGCTTTATGGCACCAATTAAAGAGCTGCAGGAGTTAGGGAAAGTCGCCACTAACATTCAGCAGTTCAGGGTATTGTGAGGGTCCTGCTGTCACCTAGGTCAGAAAAATGCAGGAAACCCCCACTGCTGATCAGAGCTGCCCCCAGGTAAAGAGATAGTGGCTGATGGAGACCCCTTGGAGGCTCTGGGAGAACTTTAAGTCTACCATGGCCCGCCCATTTTGCTAAGTGCTGCCAGAGGAAAAACATACTACCACTTTTTCTTCCCATCCTACAAAATCTCACAGGAATACATTCGGCAGAAAGAAATCACATCCAGAACCTTGAAGGCAAAGGAGTCTGGGAAAAGTTTCCATAATTCTAGTCCCTGTAATACATAGAAGGCTGTGGGAGTGGACACTGGCTCCCAGGAAACAGACCAAAGAGCACACAGCAGCACACTCCTGACAGCCTCGTCATCACAGAAGAGGACAGCAAATGAGAAACACTTGCCTCTTTCGTAAAAGAAAAATTGGTAATTTTTAAGTTTGACAAGTCTTGTAAATACTTTTCAGCAAGATAATCACTCCATCTGTGTAGTTTACGGGATCTTTGTGGCTACTACCCATCACACGGTAGTTTCTGCTATTTAAAGGTCTTACTTTTAAGCAAATGAACCTTATTGATAACATCCTGTAGTGTACAGACTTGCAGTACATTATAATACTCAGAAGTAAATGTGACTATTAACAAGCAAGCTGGACTTGCTAGATGCAAGCAGAGAGTGATTTATTCCTCTCATCACTGCTGCTTCAGAACGTGTTCCTCTCCAGCATGAAATCGCGGCTGCTTCCCACACAGCTTTCCCGGGAAATAACAGGACTATTAGCTTGTTTTCTTTGGTTTAAAAAAAAAAAAAGTCCAGTCTGTTTAACATTAAAATTCCAAAATTTGTTCCATAAAACTTCTCCCTGTTGTCAGCGGAGGTGGCCACAGGCTGAGAGAGGGGCAGTGAGGGCTGCAGGACATGGGACACCTCTCCACCACCCAGATCTTCTCTCCTGCTCTTCAAATGCAATCTGTTCCTGGAACAAGCTAGACTTAATTGACAGCAACTTTGTTTTCTCACAAGTGCCCGACGAACGTGCTGTAATGATTTGTTCTTACCGCTAGGTGCTGCCAGAGGAAAAAATAATGAAATTTATAGCTTTTCCAGTCTCTTTTAGGTGATGAACAGATTAAAGAGTTACCATCACTATTTTAAAAACATTCTCTTTTTCTCTAGGTGTGAACAAGTCTCATCCAGGGTCATATCAAAACTTCAAATGTCAGTTAATTTGAAACTTCTCCTCCAGCCTGGAAACGTGAAGGAAAATGGAAGTTAAGATCAGTGTCATTTCTATTTCTCACCTACCACCACCTGCCCACCTGCTGGCTGCGATCTGGACCTGCCAGCCTGCTGTAGCAAGGAAAGGAGGAGGAGGTAAGGTCTTCCTTCATTGGTGGAGATATAAACTGGTGTCACTGTCGCCTGGGAGTAGCAGATTCTAGTGTTGCTTCTTTTCTTGTAGGTTCTCAATAGTTTCTCCATCTCTGGGCATCTCTGCCCTGCAGTTCCCTTGTAGGCCATGCCTTTCGTAGTTATTTAGGGTTCTTGCCCTGGCCCCTTAGTTTCTAGGAGCCTCCCCTCCACTGAGGTCCTTTCATCCTCCAGGTGTTCCCTTTGCCTGGGTTCCTTCTTAAAATGACCAAATCTGGCTCCCTTTCTTGAGAACCATATCAGGCTCAGAGGAACTCAGGAACTTTGAGATTGTAAGCCATTCTGAGTGCAGGCTTCTCTCCTCTTCTGTCTTGTCAAGGAGCTAGCCACCTACTCCTAATTTGTCTTTAGACTTCAGGGGTGAGTCAGACACAATTCCTGTGTCCTGCAAACTCCACAGGATGTGTCAAGCTCTCCAAATGGTGGCCCCTTCGGTTGGCACAAGGTGAAGAGGAAGCACCCCCACCCCCTCCTGCCTGGGGAGAAGAAGGGAGATGTCCAGCATACTGATAAGTGCCTCTAGAGGAATCCGCTCACGTTCTCTTCCAGGACCTGGAGGTGGGTGCTGAGCTAATCCTTCCCCGTATCCGCTTCACAGTCTCTCAGCATGTGGTGCACAGGTGATCTAGTTCCTTGTCCCTTTAGAATGTGGATGGACTTGGCACCTACTGTTTTGTTCTCAGCCTTTGGGGTTTCTGGTGAAACTGACACAGAAAGAGTCCCACTTTAGTAAATGAAGTTACCACTGTCAAACCCTCCTTATGGAATGTCTGTCCTTTCACCAGGACACACCTGTTGAACTGTAGGCAACATGGGACAGTCTGGCTTGTGAACTAGACTGTGTGAAGGTACCGTTAACTTAATTATTAAATACTTATATGTTAATTATTAAGTATGATCTTATATTAAGTATTATTTATGTATAGATATAACTTTTTACATAAACTATGCATAAGACTTTTGTTTTTCACATTATAGAAGATTAGATGTGTGGAGAAATCTCTCCCAATATAAAATTCCTTAAAGTGCTGGGTGAAACTTTAACAAACACATACAAATACTTTTTCAAAGTGTGACTGAGCTGACAGTAAAGGAAGCCAAAATAACCAGAGGTCAGATAGGAGGAGGTAAGTGAGCAATAAAAACAGCATTTGCCCTGAGGGTATCTGCTGATCCCTGGTGGCCTAGAGTCCAGATTTCAATTGGCCTTAGGCAGCCCAAAGGGAAGAAGGCCTCAGACTATGGTGGGAGGTCAGGGTCTGCAAAATGATGGAACCCCCAACAATTGACCTTATTGGTGGGAATGAAAACAATATCCCTGACCTCACCACGAAAAGACTTTTCTGTCTCAACATCAGCTAATGGTTGGGTGGCAGGGTTGGGGAACCTTCTGTAAGAATTCTTAACTGCCAGCAATAACCACTCACATACATTTGTGGCTGTAAGTCATTCTATCTCTGTGGCCTTAAAATCCTTAAGCTGAACAATTAGTCTGAAGTGGTCCTGTGTTGGTAATGTTCCTAGGAGTCTAGAAGAAGCAAACTCAAATAGTCTTTAGAGGAATACATCTAGGCTTCAAAGAATGTCCAAGGCCAAAGTGCAGAGACATATAATAAAAAACAGCACACACATGCAGAAAAAGCCTGTGTGCACATTAGTAGAAAACAAATAAACTGTAGGATTGGCCCCACGGTGTTTTTCAGGGTCTTACTCTGGTGCCTGGGACTTTGTGGAAAATGTTCTTTGATGCTCCCAGCCCACAAAGCACGTGCTAGGTCCCTGACCTTGGCCTCTCTCCTTAGTGTACATCACTAGCTAAGAAAGCTGATAAACCCAGAAAAAACAAGCTCACACATGAAAATAATGAGATACTTGAGACATATAATCACAACAAAGAGACAATAAATAGAATTAACTGTACTAGACAAACCAGAATGGAACAACACAGATCAAGAACTTAAAATAAGCATGTGAAGATCCTCACACAGATAAGAGGATAATAAGGAACAAGCAGTGATATAGAACCAAATGGAAGAATACATATGAAATATGTGATAGTTGAACAGACCCAACAGATTGGATAAAAACAATAGCCACCTAGCTGAAAAATGAGTAATAATCTAGATCAGCCCTGGGAATTTTCCTAGAAGACACTAGAAAGAGAAAATACGAAAGAACATATAAGAGATAATAATAGTACGTCAGTATCCATACAATATAAATCCCAGAAAGAGAGAAAATGGATTCAGGGAAGAGAGAGTTAAAGAACTCATAAGTAAGAACTTGCAAAAATTAAAGATAAAAATGATTCCAATTTATAGGTCTCATGGAGCACCCCACAGAATAAATATGGAAAAACCAAAACTTTGACATATTACAGTGAAATTTAAGAACTTTAAAGACAAAAACAAAATTCTAAAAGCTTCTAGAGAGAAGAAGCAGACAGTCCACAAAAGAGTAAGAACTAAATTGAAATTAGTCTTCCTAGTCGACACTGGAGACAAAAAACAATGAAGTTATGTTTTCTAAGTGATGAAGAAAAATAATTTCGAATATTATATCCAGCTAAACTATTATTGAAATGTAAGGATGGAAAGATGATACAGTCAGACATACAAGGCCTTAGAAAGTTTATTGCAAAAGACTCTCTTTGAAAACTCTTCTGCTAAGTGAAATAAGTCAGAGAAAGACAAATACTGTATGATATCACTTATATGTGGAATCCAAAACATACAACAAACTAGTGAATACAACCAAAAAGAAGCAGACACACAGATATATAGAGTGCGAACTACTGGTTACCAGGGGGGAGCAGGAAGTGGGCAGGGGTAAATAGGCATGAGGGTTTAAAGGTACAAACTATTAGCTGTAAGATAAGCTACAAGGATATATTGTATAACATGGGGAACATAGTCAATATTTTATAATAACAATAATAATAAATGGAGTATAACCTTTAAAAATTGTGAACCATAACATTGTACACTGTAACTTATATAATACTGTATATATATCAGCTGTACTTCAATTAAAAATAATTTTTAAATTTTTTAAAAAGAGAAAGAAAACTCTCCTGGAAGAAGTACTTTTATATTTGAGATAGTAATACAAGTAAATTATACTTAATATACTAAGTACTTAATAAGCATATGAAAAGATGCTCAACAGCATTAGTTATTGGAGAAATGAAAATCAAAAGGATGAGATGTCACTTTACATCTACCAAGATAACTATAATTAAAAAATGGAAAATCATAAGTGCTAGTGAAGATGTAGAGAATTTAAACTCTCCTACATTGCTGGTGGTAATGTAAAATGGTCCAACTACTATGAGAAATAGTTTGGTGTTTCCTCAAAAACATTAAACATAGAGTTACCATATGCCCCAGCAATTCCACTCCTAGATAGATACCAAGAGAACTGAAGATACACATCTCACAAAAACTTGTACACAAATGTTCAAAGTAGCATTATTTATAATATTCAAAAAGTGGAAACAGCCCAAGGGTCTTCACTAATGAATGGGTAAATAAAGATGTAATATATCCATACAATGGATTGTTCAGGATATAGATAGCTGGGATATTAAATTTAATTTTAGGGCAAAAACACATCATAAAGAATAATGAGGGACATTATATATTGGTAAAAAGAACAATAGATCAAAAAGATTTAACCATAATGAACACATATGCACTCAGTAAAATTCATGGTGCCTTGAAAAACTAGCAAGAACAAACCTCTGGCAAGAATGAACAAGAAAAAGGGAGGGGATGCAAATAACACAGAGAATGAGAACAGGAGAACAAATACAGATACAACAGAGATAAGAATAAAAAAATATTATGAATACATTTCTAAGAAATTTTCTGCAAGTGGGTTGATACATATTTGTTATGCACTTGATATAATTCAACTCATGATCAACATTCCTAGAAAACTGGGAATAGAACTTTCTTAACTTCATAAAAACTGTATACCAAAAATATAGAATAATTACTATACTTAGTGGGGAAAATTGAGATATTTTCCCATTAAAATAAGAAACAAAGATGCCACTTTCACAACTATTGTCTAGTATAGTATTTAGTAAAGGATCAGTCTAATGCTCCAAGACAAGACATAAAAAGTGAAAGAACTGGGGGAGGAGATTAAACTCTCATTATTTGTAGATTATATGATCAACTGTTGAAAAGCTAATAATATAATCAGACAAGGTATTAGAATAAGAGTTTAGCAAAGTTGCTGGATACAAACTCAGCTTTCAAAAGTCAATAGCATTCCGCGATACTAGCAAAAACCACCAGAAAATACGAGAGAAAAACATACCATTTGTGAAAGCAACAACTATAAAGTACCTGGAAATCAACACATAAGCAGTACCTTCACAGAGATAATTTGAAAGCTTTATTGTGAGATATAAAAAGAGGACTTGAATAAATAGGAGATACATAGTGAATGAGGTGTTTAACATTAAAAGATTCTATTCCTCATAAACTATGAATTAAATTATAATAAATATTTCAGCTGGATTTTTTATATAGAAGAGTAACAATCCTTGATTAGTTGAATGAACTTAGAAAAGCCAAGAGGAAGACTTCTTACTAGATATGAAGTCATACTGTAAGTCTGTAGTAATAAAAAAAGACCCAGTAGACATTGGTACGGAAATTTTTTTTAATGGAATGCAATTGAGCTCAGAATAGACCTCTGCATATATGAGTACTTGATATATGATAAAAATGGTACCAAATATTAATGGGAGAAGTACTGATTTACTAAATGGTGCTGGGAAAATCTTCACTAAATGAAAAATAAAGCTGGACCCCTATATATTATACAACAAAGGGGAAAAACGGATTCTAAATGAAAAACTGAAAGGTGAAACTAGAAAGCTAATTAAAAAGAACGCAGGAGGATATCTTTATGACCTAGGGGTAGGGAAATATTTCATAACAAACCCCTCAAAACATAAAGTCAACAAAATTGACTATTAAAAAAGTTTTTCAGCTCAATAAAGGATGGCACAAAGTTAAAAAAAACAGGTAACAGACTGTAACATCTGACATGTCTGAAACTGTTAAGAGATTATTATCACAACAAAAAGATGAAAATGCAATTGAATAATGAGAGGAGATGAATAGGCAACTCACAGAAGACTACCTATCGCCCTTCTTGTGGTCAAAAGGAATTGGAGGCGACCTAGTGTCCACCTTTACGAGGACGGATATGTAAAAGGCTGTGGATGCCTCATATGGAAGACTATGCAGTGAAAAGAAGCAACACATAGGATGCACATAGAGCAATGTGGAGAAATCTCAGAAAAGTGAGAAAAGTAGAGAACAGCAAAATTCATACATAGCACAGGACCATTTGTATAAAGTAAATTGCATACACACGAAATAACACTACAAGTTTTTAGAAGGATGCATCCAAAACAAGGGGCACACATCAAAAAAGTCAGGGTGGGTACCTATAGGACAGAGGAAGAAAGGAGAAACCTAACTTATAACAGAATGAGGGAATGAGATCTTGTACTAAGTGATGAAGACCATGTGCTATGGATTGAAGCACATGATCAATGTAGTGCTTTGCATCTGAGGCACAATAAGGCAGAAGTAAACTATATCCAACACATATATAAAGGCTGGAGGTGTGGCAGGCATTTGGCAATGAAGGGAGTCAGTAGCTGTCAGAGGGCCACCTGCCACCTGTTAAACCTGACACTTGGAATGCCAGAGCAGACAGAGGGCTGGATCTTGCTGACACTGAATCACTGGACAAAGCTTGACCTAAAATAGGTTTACCTCTAGACCACTCACTTATATGAACCAAAGATTCCCTTAACTATTTTATTTAAACAGCTTTTTATTTTTAGGGTAGTTCCCCTTTACTTTTTTAAGCTAGCAGTTTGACACCTAGGATCAAAGAATTTTACCTATTTATCCACTCCTGTACTTTTAAATATTTTTTTAAAGATTTTTTTTGAACACTGGCTTCACTTCTCTATTTTGTGAAATTAGGAGAGCAAGAGGAAGCATGAATTCAAGGAAAAAGGCAGAAAAGAAAGTAACAGCAGCCACCGTGTATTAGCTCTTATGTGCTAGGCACTATGCTAGGTGCTTTCCAGACCTTGTCAAGTTCAACAGCAAGCCCCACCCTTGGGTGTTATCCCTGCAGCAAGGAGGAAACAGGCTGAAAGGAGATCCACATCTTGTCTAAGCTTCATAATTGGGACCTGAGTGAGAACCCAAGTCTGTCATGTCACGCCATGCCACTCTACTAGGAAAAAACAGTGGGGAAATAGTGAAGGGACAGACACAGGAACACAGAAGAGGTAAATATACACAGAGACAGAAAAAAACAAGCCATGTCAAGGCACATATTGATGAGGAAGAGCGATCACACTAGATTATGCCTGCATCAGAGGGGGCTGTCACTGAAAAGATTGAAAAGATTATGATCTCACTTGCAATGTAATTCAACCCTTGGTGCACCCAGAATCAGCTCTTCTGCTTTTACTTCCAATTTTCAAAACTCTGTTTAAATAAAGGTTTATTTTCTCAAAGCTTTACATGGATATGAAGCAATGTCAGATTCCAGACACTGACTCTCACCTCTGGAATGTTAGCCATTATTATTCACTAGAAAACAAATCTTTGACTGTCAGTTTGACATGCAGACACAGATTGCAAATACCTGAAGGGTATCACAGTTTGACCTGTGATTGTTATCTAACTGCCCATCAATAACTATGGAATACTATGAGCTATCAAAAAGTATAAGACAGACCCTGTGTACTGATGTGGAATAACCTCCAAGATAATTGAAAAAAAATTGCTAGGTACGGTACAGCAGATATGTATGCTAATTATGTTAAAAAGTCAGATACGTATTTATACTTTTAACTGGAGAAATGGGTAGCAGTGGTTGGTCTGGGGAAGGAAAATGGGGACCACGGATAGGAAAGATGCTTTGCATTCACTGTACGGTTATACTTGGTATTTTTTCTTTTTCAACCAAGCCCAAGGATAGTCTTCCCTCCGCCAAAATCTTTATTTTAAATCAACCACTTCATTGTGTCTTCCTTTTAAACCAGATCCAATTTTGTGATCTTAGCAGGGTCTGAGTGGAAAGAATAAATTATTTTCTTTTCCCTTCTCCCAGTGATGAGATGGGAGAGACTCCTTCCCATTTCTTTCTCCCTTTCAACTAAGTCCACCTATGTGTTTCTTAGGGGAAAAAAACCCCAAAACAAAAAACTTAACTCATATTATCCATGTTCATTGAAAATAAATTTAAGCAAAAGGCTAAAACACTCGTGTCACCACTCTTTATATTCTGGAGTGTGTGTCCTTCCATATATTTTTTCCTATGCCTACCCATGTGCATGAACACTTACAACTGCTCTTTAATACATGGGCATCTTAGTCATTTCTTATTTTAAAACAATTTTATTTAGTAGTAGTACTTTTATTTCCTTAACCAACCCCCCTCAAACACAGCATTAGATTGTTTCAAACTTTTACTGTTATGAGCAACACTGAGATGAACATCCTTGTACAGAAACTTCTGTATAAATTCATTTTCCCCTTAGAATAAATTTGTAAAAGCAGAACAGCTGTCACCAATTTGCTAACTTCTGCCTTCGGGCTCCATCTATAGTTGTTGCTTTTCCTAACCAGCCACAGACACTCTCCTGTGCCAAAGCTGAGGTCTGAGGCCATTTCTTGACTACATGGCCAAGGGGACTAAAACATACTTCCTGCTTCATAGAGTTGTCTACACTCCTTTGAACCACTCCACCATCCGGACACCTGTCCCTCATTTGGCTCTAGAGAACTGATTGCATTTCTCTATCTGCTTGTTTCTTGGCTGTCTAAACTGAAAGAGAAAGATTATTCTCTCTTGGTTATTCTGAAATCCTTAACACCATGGGCCATGTTTTTCCTTCTTAAACACTTCTCTTTTTTTAAATACACAGTACAATAAATAACAAAATTAGTATGAATGATAATAAAAGCTAACATTTACCTAGTATTATGTGTCACTGTGCTAAGTGCTTTACATGCCTCATATAATTTTGTTAATAGAAGTTACATGACAAAAAGCATTCCGTGGTCAAATAAGCTTGAAGAAGTATGTGTTTACAAAAAAATCCTGTTTAGCAGTGGTACCTTTAATATGTTAATTCACATGTGCAAGATAGTGACAACATAGTTAAGTGTAGTCCAATTATTTAACCACAGATTTTTTGAGAGACTATTACTCCCAAGAACACACTTTGCAAAACTGTCCTTAAATGTTACTAGTTCTTAATAAAAGCACTTGCAGCCACACTCCCCCCATGCATAAGGACCATGCCTTTTAGTAATTCTTCACTTTAATGACAATGCACTGAAAATACACTTAAGTAAAAGTACCACCACTCTTTGTATTTTGGGGCATGTATCCTTTCATATATTTTCTATGCATACATACATGTAAGTGACAAACTGGTCAATCTGACAAGTTGCTCTCTTTTCATCCTTTTCCCACTCCCTCCTTAGATTTCTAAAGCTGAATTCTTTTTCTCCTTTTTTCCCTTAATACTTTTCCTAAAGAAGTCCTCTACAAGTAAGACTTTAAAAGATGCTCACTTTTACAACTAGTTCCCATATCTACATTGCCAGCCTTGACCCTGGAGGAATCTTCACACACACACACACACACACACACACACACACACACACACACACACACACACACGCATGCATGCACACGCACACCATCTATAACCTGAAGGCAGAACCTAGTAAACCAGCATTCCAGGACTCCCACAATCTGGCTGCTTCTCACCGGGGCCTGGCCTACCTTCTGCTGCTTCCTGAATCTACTCAGGATGTTCCCTTCTCCCTTTTCCTAGCCAGCTCCCACCCATCTGCCAGTTCACAGGCCATCAACTTGACAAAGTCTTCCCAGATCTTTCCAGTCTACTTTCTCCCTTGCTCTGAACTTAAATGTCAGGTGGCCATAGACCACACCCTGGTGACAGATTTTAAACTGTTATCTTTTAACTTGTCATGTGATTGCAGACTGTGAACACAGTGAGGGTGGGGGACTGTGCCCTTACTTCTGTGTCCCACAGCGCCCATTGCAGTGTGATACAGACAACAGATATTCAGCCACTACAGAAAAGAATGAGGTGTTAAAATCCAAGTTAGCCCAATAATAACACAGACACAAGAATAATATGTACATTCCTCTTTATTTAATACAACAAACACATAACACATACAAAAAGAAAAAACACTCATGTAAAAGGCCCTGTCACAAAGGATAGACAGGAAAACATCTACACTGAATCAAATAAGGCTCCTGCTTTAAAACAGGGGTTTGCTTAGCTAAACCTGGAATATGAGCAAGGCTGTTGCAAGAAAAAAAAAATCCCTGCACTGAAGGAGTATATCTATAGGGTTAATTCACTAAATTTACAGGTCCACATTTAGGAATGTTTAAGCCCTCTCACATGTCCAGACTCATCAGGGTTTTATGAATTGTAACTTTCCTTTTTTTTGGTTAAAAAAATTTACACGTCCTTCTTTCTTCTTAGAAAATAGTGACAAGAGCTCTCTAAAAACTAGAGATCAGCAAACCACCCGAAGTTCGGAAAGCTTTACCATTAAAATTCAAAAGGTATGTCGAACTGAGAATGCAAAGGCAAGATGGCAGTGGGAAGAAGAACTTAACCTCTTAGCCATTTCCCCGATCGCGTGTATTTAATCAATCACTAGGAAACACGATGGAAACGCCTAGGCTCAGTGCAGGGTTCAGTAGCAGCAGTTTGTCCATATTCCTGCTCTAATGATTAGAGCCGGAAATTAAACAAGCACCAGTTCATCTCAAAAGAGCCTTATACAAACACACACACATACACACCCACACCCATTCACATGTCATCACCACCCCCTTTTATTTAAATTTATTATTTTTTTTTTACTAAAATAATACAAAAAAGGGAGACAGGTATATTTACAAAAATCCATGGCTGGTACAGTACATAATTTTTAAGACACACTAAATGCTACAATCTTTCAGGTCCTGAGATTATTACAAATATCAACTCAAAGCTGTATTCAGGTCCAGTTTTAAAGGAGGAAAAAAAATCCCCAAATATTAAGTCACATACTTATTTAAAATACAGTATATCCCTTCAAGTTAGCAAAAACACACCTCCCTATAAACAAACACTATGCAGTTACCAGGGCCTTTCACCCAGAGGAGCAGAATTACTTAGGCTCCTTCAAGACTGGCTGTAAAACATGTTGGCTTCTACATCGAGTGTGGAGGTGGCTAAAGTAAGATGATGTGTAACCAGAGGGAAGTTCCTCTATAGAGTGAACATTCACTGTATAAATAAGTCCTGTTTTTCCTTCTGTTACCAAACAAAAGTCTTTCCCTTATCAAAATTCATACAGCAAGGGCTGGAAATATGTGCTTACCCAGACTAAAAATCAGAATCCTTATTTCCAATCAGTTATACAAATAAGTCTGCAGTCCCACGATAAGTTTTACAACTGCAAATAAACTTTCTGGCTTGTAATGAAAGAGAAAACATTCATCACTTGGTTACCTTGATAGACTTTGATTAACATATTATTTGGGGCACAAAATTTTCACCAGCCAGAGATTTCCTTTCCTCTTCTTTTAAGCTTAACAATGTTTAGCAAGCAACACATATGGGCAAGCTCCAGATTTACATACTCTTAAGAACAATCAGGTATTTCTGATACATTCTATAATATAATTTTTCAGTGACAGCTCACAAAAGGTCAGTACAAAGCTTGAATCTTTTCTCTGGAGGCTGCCATGGATTAGAGGAAATTATTTGTAGGTTGGGAACCTATCTCTACAGGTGAAAGGGCTCTTTGCTTATCTGAAGGTCTCAGAAGGTCTATGTAATTAAATTATGTAACCATAGCCAGGATTTGAAAAGTTGGCCAAATTTGGTCAACTTTCCAACTAACTATATAAAATAGTAATTAATACCTTTGTCAACTGAGAATAACTTCTCTTTTAATGCCTCTGGCCATAACTGGGGTAATTCTTGGTAATTTTGCAGGTATGGGAAAGAAAACCCAATATGCTGGCACAGGGCACAGTACCCCTGCAAACAGAAGAGATAAGCACAAAATGAGGAAAATGTGTGGCTGCAAGGACAGAAAATAAAAGATAGCTAAGATCTAACAAATTAAGGGCAGGTTGTCATATATAGAAAAACATGCCAACTGGCTGGTCTTGGTTACTGCTGACTCCTAAATGTGCGTAAAGGACAGGTGGAGCTGTTAACTTAAAAAGTTATCTTGGGTAATAATCATCTTGTTTGTTTTTCTATTAGGTTTCCATTAGTGCTTTATTACAAAATATGTTATAACTAGATTTAAGATAAAATAGAATTATATTATTATCAGCAAAATGGGAGCAAATAATGTATAGTGTTCTGAGGAACATAAAATTGGTATTAAGGATTCATATGGCCAGTCTGACTCAGACCTTTGCAGAAGAGGCTGAATCCAGGGGAGGTATGAAAATAAGCAAGGCAAAGTATTATGAGAAATAAGAGGCCAAAGGTCTGCATCTCTTTTGAACAGCCTTGAAAAGTATCAAGGAGAATCCATGAAATGCAGCTACTATCGCATTATATAGTAGATAAACCTATTTTTAATACAAAGGAGAGGAGAAAAAAATTTCAGGTCACCAGTGATGATTCTAAGTCCTGGACATACAGACCTCCTTAATTATACTACTGAGATTTTTTAAAGTATTCTTGACCTGTTTGGGTAACAGTTCGGAAAAGTGTCCAAAATTAAGTACTAACTCACTCTAAAATGGAAATATGTAAAAAAGACTGGAAAGGAGAAGCATTACAGTATGAGGAAATTAAATAAAGATCACAAATAGCTACTTTCAAGCAAACGGTACTTTGGGAGTATCTGAGAAACATGTAATTTAATATTGTTATTCAAAAGCAGTCTGATTAAATCCTCCCAGGCCTGGTCTGAGTCTGTGCTGGGATATAAACAGTCTCCTAGAATATGCCTGTAGTCATTACTTCTGAATTCAGTGGGGGACACAGGATAGATGGCCAATGTGAGTGAGAAAAGGAGGTGAAAGACAGTTTAACGTTTCCTCCGCGGACTCCTGGCAGATTATACTCTAGTGTAGCAACTGGTTGATGAAACGGTTAAGAGCTCAGACAAGAGGAAAGAAGAATGAAGACTAACAAAAATGAAGAATAAGAATTCAACATTAATATTCAAAGCTATTTTTTAATTAGAGTCTGACCATCTGTTCAGCTCCACAAACCTGATCACTGCCACAGAATCTAAAACTTTCTCAGAATTGAACACTGGGATGGTTTTATCTTAACAACCCAAAGACATTCCATGATTCTAACTATAGTTTTGCACCAGTAAAAGAATCTGTACTTAGTTTTTGAATATAAAGTTCACATTTTAGGACAGATGAACACACAAAATATCTCTATTTTCATGTTTCCATTAATTTTCCCTACAGGAACAAACACACATGCAACAAAACCCTTATGCCTTATTTCTTTGGGTAGAAGTTTTAATTAATACCTGTTATTTAAAGAATGGAAAAAGAGGAGAAAATGTGGAAAATTTGTATGTTTATCTGCATAGTTGATATTTAGAGGCGACTAACTAAGGCTTTATCTGGAAAAAGCAACAAAGAACCAAACAGTGATATTTAAGAAAAAATGTCCTATCACTAGAGATTAAATGGGCCTTGGCCAGTTCTGGGAATTAACCCAGAGGCTTTGTCTGCTTGGGCCTGGTGCGTTCTCCTCACTCACTTCAGCTGGATAATCTGTTCCTCATCCCACTACATTCTTCTTCCTGACCTTGAATATGTGCTACAGTTTAAATACACACACCCTCTAACAACCGTTGCTCAGCATTTAGCTCTAACTAGAAAGGTGGCATCCATTCTTTCCTGTTGTTGAAAGTGATAAGAGGAAAATTCTGTGTATTACTGTTTAATATACTAGGATGGAAGGTGGGATAAGATAACCTTCATTTCCTCCTCGGAGTTGAGCAAAACACATTTCCCTCCCCCAGCCGCCCCAGCGAGGAAGAGAATCCTGCCTCCCGTCTCCCATTTCATACAACCTGAGCAGTTCATGGCTCCAACTCTTTCATGGGTTGAAGAAGCATAAATTACAAAGGTAGACTGGCTAAAAGTCTACCCAACTGACTGTGTGTAGTGCTTGCCCCTTCAGTGCAAAGTTGGATAAACCTATGATTAAAGGAATAATAAACAATCTCTGATTTATAGGAATGAGGAGACGCCCTTTCATTCTTAAAAGGTTAAAAGCTTAGCTATCCATCACCAAATAAGTAATATAAGGAAATTAGATTGAGAAGATGGCAAAGTGAGGCAGATAAAACTTTCGGGACCATTTATCAACTCCAATAACCAATCATCCAAGCTTTACCTAGCTTCAGCTCCACAACCCTGGCAAAAATCACACATGTAATTACACCATAAAGGCTAAAAAAAAATCTACTTATAATTAAGAAACTTAGTGTTATTTACCCCCTCCCCACTTATTAACCTGACACTAACTACTTTATCCCACCACAAATATAGTATGTTTAAATAACAAATATGCATCTAAATTAGAATTCCAGTGATTCTTTTAAACTTAAAAATCATAGGGTGCTTTTTAAACCCATCATAGGGAAAATTTTTTTAGCCTTTGCAGGAAGATGATAATACTTTTAAAATTATATAGGACATTTCAGAAAAACTCAAAATATTTTTGAAAAAGTCTGTGATATCCCTGGGAGGTAGGTGAATATTATACCCAATTTTCTAATGGGTAATCTGAGGCACAAAGGTTAAATGATATTCCCCCTAAACACAGTAATACAAGAGTAACACAGCCGAAACGAGGCTGCCTGATAACAGCTATCAGTTACCCTACCGGAAGTCTCTGCTTTGTCCTTTTTGGCCACCGGTCTTCTCTGCTCAGTTAAAATGTATTTAAAAGGGGGCATTTATTAGATATATTTGTACTGGGTTCTGAGGATTGATTCAGCTTAGTCTCCCATAACATGTCACATCTGTTTTCCACCAGAGACAGATGAATCTTAGATACTGAATATTATGTTATTTCGCTCAAGGGAGAAACCTAAATAGCCATCAAATCATAATAAGCCAAATGCAATTATCTCGCAAGTAAGAAAACTCTCAAGAATGCTATAGGTTATATGAGTGTTCTGCGCAGTGTCTGAACTCTTTCTACTTCTAAGTTTCTTAACCCTTTGATGGATATGCAGCTATAGGAATCCTTCAAAAATCATTTCCCAGAAGAACATATGACGTATTTTTAATGTTGACAAAGTTGCTAACTTCCTTCAAAACTGAGATACACCACCATGGTTCTAACTCTAGTTCTCGCGTGTCCTTAGTCTTGCCTGCCATAGTGTACCTTGTCAACCTGACCCAGAAAGACTCTTGTTATTCCAATGCTTTCTTCAATATTACTTGCGACAAGTTTGAAGGGCACAAAGCAATGGGTTACATCCAGGAATGGTCAATGAATCCACTAAATTTATTTTACTTGTAATAACTGACTTATTATATATATATATATATAATATATATATATATTTGTTGTTGTTAACTTCTACAGATATTCAAAGGGGGAAGAAAGTATCTTGTGAAAAGACAACTTCCCAATCCACCCATTTGAATTGACTAAAGCAGTGGAATAAACAAGGCAGAAATCTTGCAAACATTAAAAGGGGAGTGCTTAGCAAGGATGCAATGGTATAGCAGCTACTAGTTTTATATATATATTACATACGTATACATATATATACACATATATATGTATGCATGTACGTTATGTATCTTAGTATGTATCTTACACATATATCCATATACATATAAGGAAAAGGAAGAATATTACAGCATGACGTGATCTTGGCAAGTTTGAGATTCTTCCTCCTGAATCCCCTGACTTATTAGCCTCTACTTTAGGACATCTGAGAACAGTTTCAAAAGAGGGGAAAAAAGAAAGAAAAAAAGGCACTTAACAAAGACAAAGGCCTGAATTGAGCATGTTTTAGAGGAGTAATATAAGCCATTTTACCAGGGCTAAGAAATGATTTACAGAGTTAAACCTTTCCCCTTAAATTTTATAAAATAAAATTGCATAACATGTTTGTAATCAGTCATTTACCCACTACTGCATTTTCCCTCTGCTTCATTATTATAAAAACAAAAGTCCCCCCAAAGCGTAAAGCAAAACAAAACAAAACAGAAAACAACCATACATGCACAATAGATAAAAGTGCCCTTCTGAGAACATAAGGTCAGCAGAAACTATGGTGCTGAAGCACAGGGAAAAGTTCTCAAGTTTGGCCTGATTATACATTTCACTCACTCTTCTATTTCTAACTTAAAACAAGACAAGTATCAACAAACAAAAAAAGCAAACACAAATTCAAAACCTAAATGATGATAAAAAGAATACAGGGACCAGTGTGCTTTTATGTTACACTCCTAAAATAAAGTATGCTAATTCTATACATGGGTCAAATTATATGACAAAACCTCCTAGAAATAAAGAACTGTAAATTAGATTAAAGTTGACCAATACAGGCAAAGTTCACTTTACAAATGTAGCAGCAAATCTGATAGATAACTGGAGTTCTAAGAGATGATCCCAAGGGACATAGCATTCTCATAATCAATGGCAGTTTGAGTAACAGTAGAATTTCCATTTCAGAAAATGTCTTGAACCAAGTAGAGGTGGAAAGGGGTATGGCAGAGGGCAACCAGAAGAGAAAGACTAGAGGTGTCTGCCCTTTCCAACCCTGGGTAGTAAACAATTTAGATCTGCTTTGGGAAAAAAAAATCCTGGGTTAAAAATCTTTTCATGTAAGTTGTTTTCAAACAGGTGTCAAACCCACAGCATTCAAACGTGTGTGTGCCCGGTTCTTCCTCCTACCTTGATGATACAATAAACACTATTCAGCCTCTATGATATAAAAAAAGTAATTTGGGCTAACAACATCCATCAAAGGGGTGTGGTAGGCATGAAAGAATGGACTAACACAATCCTCCGATTCCCTCAGAATACCAGGATTTTGTGACTTCAGATTAACCTCACTTTTCCCAAAACCTAATTTCTTCAGCCTGTTTTAAAATCATGATTTCTTTTACCCTCTGATCTCAGAAGCATATGAGAAAGAATTATAATGGACTTACATTGACTTATTATTGCTTACATCTATTTTGGAGGCTCTGAATGAGCTTGACACTTTGCTCTCAGTCTCCAACCGAGGCTCAGCACTGCTGTCTCTGAAGACAACTCTGCTGACCATTCATTATTGCTTGTGAATACTGAGGATTAACTTGTATGTACAGTAACAGCTTATACATCAGTGAAGGCAATTTAAAATACAAGACAGTTGAAAACAAACAGCTTACTTTTCCTGAATCAAGAATCCCGCTGAATGGGACATAATTAAGTGTGCTGATTACTTTTGCATTGGGATGTTGCTAATGCTCTTCAGAAATACACATTGCTCTATATCCTCTCCAATTACTCACCATTTTAAAAAATAACATAATTTGACTTTCAAGTGCAAAAATAGAGTATGAGTCACAAGTCTCTGTGCTAAAAAATAACCAATTTGTATGTTTTTAGTAAGAAAAACTGTAAAGATACATGACTATACAGTATGGACACCATTTTCAATGTTATGACCTAGAAAAGAAATACATATTTACATGTAGTAACCCTCTGATCATACTTATTAAGAAATATAAGGATGTTTGTTTCATTTGTACAACATAAAAGGGTAGTCTTGAGTGAAACGGACTAAGGAGTGGAACTGTGATGGGGGTGAGGTGAGGATCTGGCAGCAGTCCTCATGGAATCAGGACTAAGAGACTAGAACAGAATCTCCACGTAGGAGGATTTCTTGGGGCCAAGGGCCTGCAGGTGTTATTACTGGTTACTTATAAAATGATACTTGGGGGCGGGGGGAATGGAGTCCTGTTCTTCTCTAACAAAGAGTCATCAGGGATCTTCACATGGCTTGATTCAGATGGATTTAAGAAATTAAAGCTATTCCTTGACTTAAACTACTAAAATATATAGATAAATACATGTGTATAGATATACACACACACAGATGAATACATGCACAATTATCAGCAGGAAGAGAGATTAATGTGCACTCTGACTTCTCTCTGGTATGGGAAGTAAAACAAAGGAAAATTCCTATATGTTAGCAAAGACTTTTTTTCTAAAGTAGATAAAAGTAAGAGGTATGCTACATTGGAATAACTCAAGTAATGGGTAAGCTTCCCTAATTAAAAAATAATCTTTAATCAAACGTAGTCAAGTCAAACCTATCTGCCACATCCCAATATCCTCCCAAAATCCACCAGGGTTGATACAACATTCTTATTTGCTTTACTGGTAAACTAAACTCTCAGAGACAAGTAATTGCATCAGTATTTCCTTTGAAATAACCCTCTCCCCTTACTGTAACAAGTTCTTAGAACTGAAGTTTTCAGTTATTAACTACTTTGCTATGAAGTAAGCCAATGTGACTTTGAGGTCAAAATACAGGTTTACAATTCTGAAGAAGTCTGTGGTAATTTATTCACAGTCCTAGAGGCTGTGTGGGGCTTTTGCTTATGAAAGGAAAAAAGGGACTAGTTAATACCCTTATCTGAACAAATGTAAGAGTACAGGATGATTTTTAATGAAAACATGCAAGACATCTTGCTACTACCAGTCTGATGCCGTTTTTAAGTTTAGTATGTCATTCTTAATGGACCAAGCCTACACCACTTTGGGGTACAGTCTGAAATAGGAATAGGAAGAAAATAGGAATAGGAAGAAAAAGGAAGAAAAGAGAGAGGGAGAGACCAGAACAACAATGAGGTGAAAAAAATCAAATAAAATGTATCTAAACATAACCATAAATTTCTCCCTTAACATCCTTTGCTGAATATGCTATTTGCACAAGGAAGCTATATTAACGGAGACTTATTATCTGCAGGTTTACTCATGTATCAATACTGAGTAAATATTAGTAAAGCTTTAAGATCCCAAATGCTCCAAATCACTTTCACTACACTGGACATAGGGAGTAAAAATACACTGTGATTGTTATAAAAATAATCCCTTGTACACATAATGATCCTAATTTAATTCCTCCCTTTAAAATACCATCTTCAAAATTCCAAAAATACATATATGCCATTTGAATGACCAATGAAGAAGTGCTGTAATACACACTTACTCCTGTTTATATCAACAGTTAATAATCACCTGAAATACCACTAGCTAAAAGAACAGACGTCCTGAAGTGAGGTGATGCTGGGGGAATTTACAGTTGATACTGGCAGGCCTGCGAGGGCTCCGTGCACCAAAGCTGCAGCCCTACAGCAACAATCCCCACTTCTCAAGAGGAAAATGTGAACACAGTCACATTTTATCATCAAGAATGGAAATAAGAATTAACCAGTGAATTCCAGATGCACAAATCACCTGAAGAAGAGAGTTAAGTACCTGCTTCTGAATGAAAGATGTAATTGACCCTTTTACAAAAAGGGGACATCTAAGTTTCATCTGTTAAGAGCAATAGGCTCAATTTTTTTGACTTTTAAAAATGTAATAATATATATCACTGTGCTAAAATAACTTTCCTGAAGCATCTTTAGTCCACTGATTTACATGGGGAGTTGCTACACACTGGAAGATTCAAGTTTGTTCAGGATTTTTGAGGGTACATGATTTATACTTAGCTAATGTCTGTATCAGACATAGGGTCATTAACTTTTTTTGTGGCAAATTTGCTGCACAGTCCACTCAAATAGACATGATTATTCTGACAAACTGGCCTAATTTCAGATATGCTGCCTTTTATTATGCAATTATGTCTACAAGTGTTCAGATCCAACCCCTAGGATGGATGGAGTTTACCCAAATCCTCAATTTCCTTCTTCCGCCCCCGGGAAAAATCAAATTTGTACTTCTGTGGGTTTGACAACTGAGTCTCTTTCAAGTCAGTTAATATGGTAACTTTGTCTTTCTTTAGAAGAGACCAAAGGTCACTAACTTTGTACGAAAGCATTTCTTCCTCCTGCACCTGGCTTTACTCAAGTAATGTTTCCTTTTCTTTTTCCTCCTCACCACAGTGCTTGGGACGAGAGAATGTAAACATCGACAGAACAGCAGCCCTATAACCACATGAGTACTTTCCCATCAGGTAGATTCCGTCAGCCAGCCGAGTGTGTCATTTCCTTTGCTTGCTGGGAAGTCACTGAGTTTTCCGTGGTAATTTAGTGTCCCCTTTACTTTGGCCTCCATCTGAGAAAAGAGATGTTTAATTGGTATGGGTTGGCATGTAATAAAAAATAAAAACAAACAAAGCAAAAAGAACAATTAACTCTGAACTTAAAGGAGATAAAAACTCAACAAGAATGATCCTCGTATCTCAAGTGACTATGGTTCAATTGGTTTTCAGTGTCATACAAATACTGTTTCAACAAGTATTTATCATCTGTCTCACGGCCAACTGTGTCAAATGCTGTGAGGATTTATAAAGGAACACAGAAGACATAACCTCCTCCACCAAAGGACCTAACACATCTTTTGGTTCCTTTAGAAGACAAAGTCAGTTTCACTTTCTTGCAAGTGAACTTAGATTTCTTGCCATGACATAGCATTTGATAATTCTCAATTATTTATGTAAGTGAATGGGGCACACTAGTAGTGAAAATTCCAGCCGAGTGTTTGTTTTGGTCCTAACCTGGCAAAACTTGTAAGTGGTAGGAAAGTCTGGTACTGGGAACTATGGTTTCTAGTTTTACCTACGGTTATCTAACTTTTATTGGGAAAATACTGATCACTATTTCAACTGGACAAGAATAGGGCCCAGTGACCTTGACAGTCAATAAAACACAGAGAAAATCTCTGATAGGTCATTCACTGCCTTAGTAAGGAAAATTAACACCCCGCACCCCACCCCAGGCCTGAGAGAGAAAGATGGGGCATGAATGGTAGAAATACACTGGTGTAAAGGAACAAATTATGGCCTTATAGTAAGAATTTTAAGGTTGGAAGAGACCACAGAAGTCACATGCTAGGTCTACTCATGTGGTATCGAAATTACTCTGGTAAAACATAAGCAAAACAGAATACCTGCCTCTATTGAAGAAAAGATACAGCAATGAAACAAGACAACTACTTCAAAAGCTGTACGAACAGAATACTATTAAAATTAACTTTAGTGACAACATCTAAGGAATTGGCTTTTCCATTTATAATGAGATATTATACACTTGCTTTTGTAGAGAGAAATGATTTGACTTGCGGCATAAATTCATAAAATGGCACGGTGGGACTTTGCTCAAAGCAGCCTGGTTGGTTAATTAGCAAAATACTCATATCAACTGGATTGTGAGATTCTTTAGACCTGAGTTTGGCAAACTATGGCCCTTGGGCCAATTGTGGTCTGCCACTTCTTTTTAAAAATAAAGTTTTACTGGAACCCAGTCACACTCATTTTACGTGTTGTCTATGGCTATTTTCCTATTGCAATGGCAGAGTTGAGTAGTTATGCAGATTATGTGGCCTGAAAAGCCAGAAATATTTATGATTTGCACCTTAAGAAAGTTTACTGACCCCAGTCTTTAGACTAGAGAAGGTCAGAGAATTAACATTTATTGAGCTCTTACTATGTATCAGGTACCATGCTAGAAGCTTTAAATTATTTTTATTAAATTCTCCTAAGACACCTATTAAAAACATCTTGTCCCCAGTTTACATGCAAGTGAAGTGATGGTTAAACTTGCTCAAAGTGGTAGTCCTAAAATTCAAAACTCCCAGCCTGATTCTCAAATTTAATGCCTTATACTTTAAAATGTTTTTAAAATGAAAAATTATTTACTTTTTCATTTCAATTACTTGGAAAATACTGACTGTCACATTTCCTTTTCCCTCTGAAACAGTGGTGCTGCTCAGACAAGAAGATAATGCATTTAAAGCTGGAATACTGGGGTCATGTTGAACCACAAGAATCATAATTCCTTGCAGGTTTCTACCAGTCTGCCCCACGAGCTTACAGCTCTAAGCTGGACTCATCACACCAAGCAGCTGTCAATACCCAGGGTGGAACTGCTTTAGTCACAGGGCAATTTTCCTTAAATGCTTTCCTTAAGCATTTAAACCTACTCAAAAAGTCCAGGAAGATCAGGATTATTGATATTTGTGCCTACTTTGTGTTCCCCATTTGCACAACTTTGCTTTCTATTTGTTCTCTCAAGGGGTGAGTCTGGGGCAGCTTACCACTTAACTGTTTTTGAGGATTAATTACAACTTATTGCCTTAAGATTGCCCCATTGCTCCCATTTCCACATTGTGGTCAATTGTAAACTTGTTCAAAGATAATTTTAAATGCAGTGGCCAAAAATAACAGTAAGGCCCCAGTCAACTTCTACAGTTAAGAGAGAGAGCAGCAGAGCTGCTCAGAAATCCTGAAAATGGCCTTCAGAACAGTATCAGCATTCTACTGGGGTCAACTGCTGGTGACAGCAAGAACGTGGAGGCCAGTGTTATGTCCAGTGCCCCCTATCCAGTTTCAGATTTCAGAGTAATCTAGTTGGGCTGCAAGTATACAATGCATACATTCTGAATCTTAATTTAATCACCGCTATAAGGCAGAAAAGTTTAACGGTTAAGAATAAAGGCTGTGGAGTCAGACTTCCTGGGTTTGTATCTCAGATCAGTGACTAGTGCATCACCCTGGGCAAGTTGCCTACCTCTGACTCAGTTTCCTGATCTGTAAAATGGGGATTGTTACCTCACTCACAGGTTTGTTGTAAGGACTGAATTAGCTAATACATGTAAGTAGTCACAAGACTATGTGGCCCCTAGTAAGCTTTCAATAAATGTGAACTGTGACTGTTCCTGGACGTGACTTTTATCCACTGTCTTATGAATCCTCTTTTTTGTTATCACTTCCATATAACAAACACTTCTCTGCACGTGTAACAGAAGATCTCCTTTACCTATTTCCTTTCTCTTAAAAGGTGTTGGTTGTCAACGAGGATTCAGTCATATGAAAATTAGTTTTTCCTATCTGTATCATTCCATTCACATTGTTTTCAGAAAAGATTTATAATACATATTTGTAAATCTGTATAAATAATAAAGAGAGGAAGAAATAGGTGGCTCTCTTACCATTAAATGTTTGCTGCAAGTGTGTAGGCAGAGGTGAGTGGGAAAGTGTTGCTGCGTGCTGAGCTCCTGGCTGTAAACCCTTTAGTAAATCTGAGAGGAAAACAGACTTGTCAGTGATCTTCTTAAAACTAAGATTTGAGCTCTCTTAGATAAAAGTGAAAATAGTTTTAATTTATCTAATACAAGCACAGACTTTGACTTCAAAGGCTTTCTTAAACTAGAGCACATACATTCAAAACTATTTACATGTATAAATATATGTATATGCAAATAACCCAGCAAATTTGACTTCCTCTTATTATAAATTTCATTAAGATAGAAACGTGGAATAGACAGTTCACTCAGAGAATTGTAAATAAAATTCCAGAGTCCAGTAATCTTATTTTATATATAGGTGAAATAAACTGCATTTCTTTAAAAAAAAAATCTATAATCTCCACTAATTCCAAGTGGACTTCTCTCAGTAAGTAAAAATTTGTGTGGTTTCCTGTTCTGTCAAACTAGGTAGTCAAGTAAACAAAAGCGCCCCACTTACTCTGAGTTAGGCTATGGTGGAAAGCGGCTGAGGTAGATCCCGAGGTGGTTGTCACTCCAGCTGTGTCCGTTCCAAAGCCAAGTAGCTCCAAGGGAAACTGGAAGGGCATGGTCACTGGAACAAGGCCACCCAGCATCCCAAAAGGAGTCACATTTTGATTTGTTACAGACAAAGGTGATGTCATGAGAGTCAGAGGTGAGGCATTAGCCAATAATGATGCTCCTGCTGTGGACTGCAGAAACCAGGGGTCAAAATACATAAGAAATCAAGTCTTTAACCTGAATAGATTTATTTCACTTAATATCCTCATGGACGCAAGACTATGTCCTTATATCTGCTCTAACAGAAACTTTGGGAGGCAGAAATGAAGTCGGATGTGTAAACTACACTTCAAAGAATGACTAATATTGGTTCTGGAAATACATCTATACTCAGCTCACCATCACCAGTTTAGATTCCTTCTTAACTGTTACTGCAATGCCTGCATTAACACTGACTCACTCTCTTAATCCACTCATCTCTAACCTTAGATTTCCACTTTTGCTCCTGGCCCCTAGATCTGACACAGGTAATTAATTCCATATAATCTCAATGTGGTCTCTGAAAGTGCTCTGTAATTTCACCATCTGTCTTACAATCTTTCCTGGCACAATCCCTGTAAAAGTTGCTGATCTAGACTATTATTATGCTCTCAGATCCCCCAACTCGATATCCTGTACTTTCACAGTAACACCTTAAAGAGATGAGGCCATCCTGGATGCTCTTCCTCATCCTTAGCCTTACTTGCCCCTTCCTCAAAAGCTATCTACTGGACCTTTGCCATGAATCCCACCTATGCAGAACTTTCAGGGACAAAAGTTCTTTTTCCACGTTTTCTCTGCCTTCGCATATACAGACATCTCATCTCTTTACAACCACGTGGTTATTCCACCTCTGTCTCAACCCCTGGCAACAACCTGACTTATGTGTGTTCATTTTATTATCAAACATACTGAATGGCAGACTCCATTTTCCACATTATCTAGTCCCTCCTTAACCCCTGAAAGCGAGTTTCCAATTCCATTACTTTTTGGAACTTAGACTCCTAAGGCAAAAGGTAAATTAGAAAGTGTTTTGGCACTCCCCTACCTGGGCTTTATAAATGTTTATAAAGAAAAACACTTAGAAATATGCTAGCACTGATGAGCTTTCATTGAAAAATTACTTAAATATATTCCATTAAGCTAATTTAATTCCTTGAATAATTTTCTACAAAGCAAACAATTTTCCCCATTTTGACTTTTCTATGTGGACTTGTCAACAAAGATTATTATCAGAATTTCTCAGTATCAGATATTATCCACTATAGTTTCTGCAACTGTGTGTTTTCTTTTGTAGCCTTATTTCATCAACTCAATTTCTGTGGTCAAACATTTTACAGTCGAGAAAATGGAATTCTTTTGAGTATCTGTTAATCAATAATAAACATTAGCTACTGTCAGTTTTATTTTGTGTATTTATGACTTCTACCAGTAAACATTATTAAGGGCTGATCATTTTACTTAATGTATGAGAAAAATGAGGTGATTTTCCCATGCAAAAATGCCACATTACATCATACAGTTACACACTTAATGGTCCACCCCACTGCTAAACAAAAAGTGAAGAACATCCTCAAAAAGCTTTCTAATCTAGTTTTTCCACTAGCTCTCCAATGGCTTCCCCTATGTCCTTTATTTCTCTCTCAAATTTATACCCTTAGTTCTGACCTCTCATCTGTTTCAAAATCCTGTATGGCTAATGATTTAGTGAAGAATCCCACTTGGATATCTAACACCCCCCAACTTGGCATGTCCAAAATTTAACTCATCATCTGCTGCAATCATTTCCTTTCTACATATGTTAACTGCTACCATCAATAGTCTCATTCTTTCCCACTATTCAGGCTTGAAACCTTAGTTTTTAAGCATCATAAAATAGGAGACAAGATGAGCTCATAGTCAGCATATCCATGTTTTCTTTTTTCAACCACAATTTCCTCCCACACTTAAGCACAAATCTTCCTCACTTTACACTTTCCTTATTTGCCAGTTTTTTCCCTCTACTGTGCCAACCATGATATACAAAATGGGTGATTTAGGAAAGAATTACTAAGTTAGAAAGAAGAATGCTTTGAAGCAACAAAGGACCCTGCATCAATTTAAGAATTAACAAGGGTTCTTTCTTCTTTTAAATCATAATTCTACCATAGTCTCAGGATAATACGGGGAACACACTCCAAGGCCATGCACCCCAAGGGGAGCCCCCGAATGAGGAACATTAAACAGTGCTAATGAGGAGAACTCATATGCTCTTCTGGAGGAGGCTAATGGAAGCATCAAAACTGATAGAAAATGTAAATTAGGGCGACTTCCAAAATTAAGTAACTGAGTATCATTAATAAAAAATGGCACCATGCCATTCCTGTCTAACATTTTGTACTTTCAAATACCTTCCATATCCTCTTTTGTTTATAAAACTAAAATGAAACACTAGATTATCTAAACGTTATAGGGGCATTTATAAAATTCTCTCTCCTGGAAGATGCAGACCTTTCAGAAGTGGTGGGTATCCCACTGTTGATACCATTTAGAAGCATCCAGGAAAAGGTGTCACCATGAACTAGGCAAATAATTCAAGATAATGCCTTATATTCAAAAATATTTTCCATGACCTCCACATTTCATTCCCACGGGGAAATATGAAGGGAAACCTCTCTTTTCCTGTGGTGGGCATACATTATTTTTAAACTACATTTCATTTTGTAAGTAAATCTGCCCCCCATTCTCTACAACATCCAGAGTGATCTTTTGAAATACAAATCAGACTCTACTACTCCCCTGCTGAAGACCCTCCAGTAGCTTCCCACTGAATACAAAATAAAACCCCAAGTCCTCATCATGGCCCTCAAAATCCTCCATCACATGTTTCTGACTTGATCTCTGCCTTCATCACCACCCCATCTTTCCCTACACGTCTAAACCTACGCGTTGTCAGGATTGTTCTATCTCAGTGTCTTCACACCTGCCATCCTTCTTGCCTGGACTACTCACTCTTCTATCCAAATGGCTGGCTCCTGCTCATTCAATTGTCAGCTCAAATGTTGCATCTCAAAAAGCAATCTTCATCTCCCCTATCTATGTTAGCAGCAATCACATTACCTTATCATTCTGCTTTATTTTTTCATAGCACTTAAAATATTTGTAAATATTTGTCTTTTGCTTATCTTCCTACCTAGAATATATGCTCCATGAGAGGAGGAAATCTTGATTCACCCTATTTCCCCAGCACCTAGAGGAGTGCCTGGCACATATTAAACACTTAACAAACATTTGCTTAGTGAATTAATTATTTTAGCAATTAGAGTGGCAGAGATGGAATTCAGAGAAAATCAGTAAGTTGAAGGGCAAGAAAGAAAAGGAAGCCTTGAGTGGAAAGTTATTAAATAAAAAGCAAGCAGAGATAACAATCTGAATCCAGAAAGACTAACTTCTCTTAAACTCAGAACTGACATTTTCACTCTGCAAATGAGTAGACAGCTGAAGCTGTCCTTCGGACAGGAGTGGATTATTTTACAGGCATAGATAGGAAATTTGTTTTTAGTGTTGGCAAGCTAGAGAGACAGGATCTAGAGGCCACGAGGTAGCTGATAAGACTTCAATGAGATGCGATGTTTAAAAACAAGAAACTTAGGTTCACCAAAAGTTAGAAATAACCTTATTCAATTATTTATCTTTTCTTCAGTCAAAGTAGTAAGAAAGAACAAAAAGGATCAGATGTGAAGGCAGGAACACTAAGGAACTTATTAAGCCATTTTGGAGAGGAAGAAAACCAGGAGAGAGTAGTTACACTTTAGAAAACGCAAATTTTGCCATGTAGGTTCCTTGCTAACAAACCAATAGGTAAACAACTGGTATGCCAAGTTGTTCTTTTGAAATAAATGACCAACACAGGAAGATTTCCAGAACAACAACAACAACAAAAAAAACAGAACAGATAGATTCTAGAGATGACAAAGGATAGAGAAAGATTTAATTTAAATTCAAAGAAAACAAAGCAAGTTAAGAAAAAAAAAAAAACCCACAATTTTTAACTCCAGGAAAAAAGCCAAAAATTTATAATAAAAAGCAAATGAAACCACAGTTTATAATATTTAGCTCAACAGAGACAATATTTTACATAGTCACAGATTTAACCAAAAGTTGTAATTTTATTCTTTTAGGAGAACAGGAAAGGTATAAGAGAGCTAAAAGCCTTATTTATTTATCATAATGAGACGTCAAAAGATAGTATTAAAATAAATAGTCTTCCATTCATTTTTATTTTTTAAAAACACAGAGAAAAAGCCAAGAGTTAAAAGTAGTTGACACGAGGAAAGAGGATATGAGGCGTGAAACTGCCATTTCTAGTCTAATACTTCCACATATTCCTGTGATCAAATTAAAGATTAATTTAAAAAAGGTCAACATTTTAATAAAGATAATACAAACAGGAATGTGGACTAACTCCCAGATCATAGTTACAACTTAAATTTTAACATACAATTCCTAATCAGTTTTTTGGTTATTTTTCTTATTTCTTCTGATAAAAGTAAAATTAGACAGATAAAACATCTATTAATCCTAGATTTCAAATAATGAATTATTGGTTAATTGAATTCTTTTCTCTGTTAGAATTCTAGAATTCATTCATTTCTAAGCCTACAGTAAAGGCAGAGTGATGCTTTGGATTTTAAGTGTATATTGAATACAACACTTTGCTTACACTGAATAGCAGAGAACCTCTACAAACACCAAGGGGAAAAGTATTTCATTAGATGTTCCTATCCCACATAAACAAGAGGCAGTACAAAATTAGAGCACTTTCTCAGACAAAAGAATTCTGCAAACTGATAAAAGTCATGTTTTCAAAGAATAAATGAGAATCTAAGAAATAATATATCATAAAATGTTACTTTTTAAAGCTTCTTATGAAACAGAATATTATGTAAAACCCACTTTCTTGAAGAGTCTAAAAAAGTATCGGGAAAATATTAACAATGGTGAGATGACAGTTGACTTAAAAAAAAAAATTAAAGAAACCAAATCAGTAAAGTGAAGGACAAATCTGAGAAAGTCTCCTAATACAAAGAAGTGGCAGGTAGAGGAACACAATCAACAATTAACTGAAAAAAATTAACAATTAACAGAGAAGACGATATGAAAAGTAGAGAGATGAAATATGTGAGTAATGAAGAGTTCTCAAAAAACCTAGACAATGAATCAGAAATAATAATCAGATCCATAACAGAATTAAATATTCTTGAGCTGAAAAAACAGGCAGGGCTGAGACTCAAAGATGTTACCACTTTCTAGGTACAAAATTAATGGAAACTAGATAAGCCTAGCCATTATTTGGGAACACTTGATTTTCAAGGAAAATGAGAAAATGTGATTAGCAACTAGGCAGAGAAAACACAATAGTTACAAGTAACAAAAAGTCAGAATGGCCTCAGACTTCTCTATAACCTTAAATACTAACTAAGGGTCAGTGGAGCTGTATTTACAAAATGTGGAGTGAGACAGCTAGTGACCCAAGAAATCTGTATCAACCCAAGTGTGACAGCACATACATTATCAGGTATACAAGAGCTAAAGGGAAACAGCTCTCATGTTAGCCTTCTTGAAAAGATTCTGTGAGTCAGGTATTTCTGCTAACTGAGAGAGAAATTTAAATTAAAAACTCATGAATGGGGAAAATGTGATATAAATTTATTACTGACACTAACTTGACAGAGAATTATATAAGAATAAATGTAAAATTCATGCAAAATAAAATTTTTATTCAAAAAGACAAATGGTTAAAGCAAAAAAGATAATATGAATGTATAAATTTGATTAAATAAAAACAAAGTTGGCAGGAGAAAGGGGTAAAAAGGATGGGGAAAACAGGAGGTAAGTGAAGGTATGTTAAAATCATAAGTTACTATTTTGTTCTGGACTTTGATAAGATACAGTTTTAAATATGTATTTTAGTTGTGTTTCTCAGAATTTTTGAAAGTAAGCATGTGATACTTTACCAGAAAACCCCCCCCACATCTTAAGAAAAATTTTGTCCCCAAGTATCTCCATCACTGTGATGTCAACATCAGGAAGGTTCCTTGGCCATAAGCTGTAAGTTATTACAAACAATCTATATATTATAATAAGGTTATTAAACTGGTAAGAAAAACTACACAGTCTTACACTTTATTACCTAAATGTATCTAACATACATACCTGCACACTGGCTGTTACCACTGAAGACCCTGAGGCAGAGGATGGTCTATGTGGAGTAGACAACGGTTTAGTAGCACCCTGTGTTCCACTTCCTGTTCCCCCAGATAGACTAGTCCTATTGGCTCCGCTTGAGTTAAGGTTGCTACCTCTGCTGGCAGGTACATTCACTGCAATTGCACTCAAGCTGTTCTTCCCAACAGTTCCAGTGGATGATGAGTTTGTCAGCTTTGAAGGGGCTTGAAGATTTTTTGTAGACGGAAGGCCTGAAGTGCGACTGGAGGGCAATAAATTCAAGGTGGGAGACTGTCTGCTGATGTTGATTCCACTGGGCTGTTTATGGACTGCGTTGTTACCACTGGAGTGGCTACTCTGGGCCACTAGTGCATTTGGACTGGAAGAACTTGGGGATACAGTAGGCTTGGGAGTTGGGTTGGACTTAGGAATAAGTTTAGTTGATACTGAAGGCTTAGCTGACAGAGAGGGCTTGGGTGAGGCAGAAGGCTTAGGTGAGGGCAAGGGTTTAGGAGATGTGGCAGGTTTTGGAGATGCGGCAAGTTTGGGGGATGCAGCCATTGAGAAGGGAGATTTGAAACCCTGCGTGGAGATTTGTGACACCATAGCCTTGGCTAAATAGTTACTGGAGGTAGTGGTGCTAGGTACTGTCCTAGAAACCAGGGAGTGGGACCCGTGAGAACCATTTCCAGGTTGGGGAGTAGATATGGGAAGGCGGTACATGAGTGGCTTATCTGAAGTCTTAATAAGTGGGGATGAACAGGAAAGCTGGGGATTATTACTTAATTTCACCACTGGATTGGTCTGTGATTTACTAATAGTTGCTTGTAATGGGGACACATAGTTCTGCTGGACAGCTGAATGCTGGTGCACCTTTGCTACTTGTGTTAACGAAGAAGCATCTTGGGCCTCTGATGTTCCCAGAGCATGAGAGGAGGCAGCAACTTGGGCTTGGGAAGAAGAGGAGACATGGGTCTGTGAAGAGGAAGAAGCATGGATCTGGCTTGACCTCTGGAGTCCTTGTTGAAGTAGCCTGGCCGGCAAAGGTTCTAAGGAAACTTTAGGGTTCTGAATTGAAGAACCAGCAATAAGGCCTGAAGAGATGCCAGTATGAGCTAAATCCTGGGGTTTCTTTGGTACTGGCCCTGTGTGACCAGCAATAAGACTTGATGAATGTGCAGTTGGAGTAGAATCTAGTTTTTTGGGAGCAGCCAGTGGCAGTTTGCTCATGATACTTGCTAATTTTTCTTCTCTCAGTCCTGGATGAGGTTTCGCAGTTGGCAGACTTATCCTTGAGCCAGCTGGAGGGCCCTTGTTCCCATTGTTGATAACAGCTAAAGCTTCCGAAACAAGATCCAGTGCAGGTGGATGAAAAGAAAGTTCTTCATCTAGTGAGTCATCAAGGCAAATCGTCTCCTGGGCTGGTGTAGAGCTAGAGCTGGTGGAGGCCACAGCCGATGTGCTAGAGCTCGTCGAAGGACCACCAACTGAAGCCACCAAGGGTGCAGACGTTTTCTGGTCCTTTTTTGGACTACACTCCTGCATAAACAGCATTATATTGGAAAAAAATTAAATAATTAGTAAACACTTACAAAGTATTAGTTTTCAAAGGATTAAGAAACTCTGATAATTAAAATTCTACTAGAAATCTTCTTTAGCGACCATAAAAACCAAAATAATTTTCCAGAGGGTAGAGCTCCTAACTGCACTACCTGATATACTGCACACGGCTGCCACACCTTAGTAAGCCACTCTGAGAAAGCTTAAAGCCAAGCCAAAGGAACATTCCTATTCTAGTTATATGACTGATGAAACCGCCTCTCCCCTCACCCACCTGTGTCAGATCTTCAGACGCTATTCCAAGTCCATCTGTTCAGACAATTCTTTCTGTACCTAGGAGAAATCCTGCCTTTATCTTAGGACTCTACCCTTCTCATGTGGTATGGTTTGCTAGACTGATCCTCACTTGTGCTTCCCTGCAGTTCTGCCTCTTTGTATGCCCCGTCCTACAGCTACCCACAGCCAGTGCATAGAGAAGGTGTACATCAAACTGGCAGATGATTCAATTCAGGCATAATTAAATTATGTTTTCTATTCATTAAGGCAGAAATTATTTGCAGCTAATACAACATATATTCACTATGAGCAAGGCACTATGCTAAGAAAACAAGAGCATGAGGAATTTAAACTCTGAATATCTAATATTTTCTGTTTCATCCAGAAAAAAAATCAACTTTCTTAAAATTCAAGGACGAGATACAAGAATTGGAGCACAGTTTAAAATATGCAAAGAGCGAAAGAATTATAGAGTATTTTTCTCTTAAAATATAAAGTACTTGACTCATTTCATTTTTAAGATTAAGAATAAAAGTACATAAAAATCATTTCAAAGTTTCTTCAATTAATTTCCTAAAAATAAACAAACAAATCCAAATAAATCCAAACCCAAAGCCTGATATTATATATTAATTTATACCACCACAGCACTTACCTTAACCACAGTGGGGAAAGAATGGAGAGGAAGGGTCTTTACCATCACCTTCTAAGGTATTACAGTAAATAAGAATAATAAATTCTTCTTTCTGCTAAGAATGCCATTACACTCTTTCTTAGCAATTTTTCTAAAGATTTTTTTTAAGAAAAAACTTCTATTCTAAAAAGGCCTGACTGAAAACCTCAATGCCTTTCAGAAGTCTATAGTGTAACTTCATTAAAGGCAAAACTGTCTGCTAAGATGAACAGGTAATGCCCATGAGACACGACTGCACTGACATGCCATCCACTACACAGTAAGTGAAAACTGCACTGCTACACAAAGTACAGAAACGAGGGCGAGGGAGTGTATCAAAATAATATTGGCAGTGTTACCAGTATAAAATGGCCATTTAAAATATTTTTCTTTATAAAAATAACCTTAAATCCACCCAAGAAGCGTACTGTGTAGATTTACAGCAGCAGAGAAAACTATTCAGGATATACATTTGAGACAAAAAAGGAGGTTATTCCATTCACATAAAATACTAATTCCATCTGAATAAATGAATCATTGTATGGATGGCTGGATAGCTGGATGGATGGCTGGAAAGAGGAAAGAGGGGAGGCAGGGACAGAGATCCAGAAGAAGAGAGGGCAGATGTACACCAGAAAGTTAGTTTTTTTTTTTCTCTGTGTGAGCAGAAATTTCTGGACACTTTTACTATCCTCCTTCTTACTTTTCTGTTTTGTTTGCATTTTCTACTGTAAGCATTTCCTTGCATTACCTTTATAAACGAAATTGGTATTTAAGGGGTTGCTGGGCAAGAAAAAAAGCAAATCAGCAATACAGTTTTTCCATTTTGGGAAAAGGAAAAAGTTACTAATCACAAAGAACCAAACAAAACGGGTTAGTTAAAAAAAAAAAAAGGGTTAATTCCTCTATACCATCCTAACTCACCAATTATTAGAATTCTGGTAAATTATTCATATGTGTGAATAGATGTATCAAAATTTAAACAACCTTTTTTGAAGGTATTAGGAATTTAAAAATAAAGTCAAATGTCAAAACAAAGCATGAACTCAACAGATTTAACAAAATACTGGCTCAATATTAACTGGATCAGAAGACAAAGTAGGTTACTAAGAAAAAGACTATTTAATCCGTATTCAACAAGCCCCTACCACTAAAAGCTAAGAAGACCACAGGGTAGCAAATATTGACCTTCTGGCCATAACCTCACATGCAAAAAAATTCTCTATTCAAGCAGCTGAAGGCTGTGGGAAAAGTCTAAAACCTAAAAGGTGTGGGCTTTCGTTACAATTTTAATTTCAAATGATTAGAGTTTTCCCTTCTAGGGGTTATACTTGGTACAGTTCTACCTTGTCTATTTTGATAGGATATTTTTTGTCCCCTTTTCTTCTTCAAATATTAAAAAACTTAAATTACTTTATGTTCTAAATCCAATAAATCCATCACTTGCCCTTCTTAGGGATCTAATTCTGTTGGTTGTTTCTGCTGACTCTCACTCATAGTGACTGACTTCCTCGTGTATTCTGTATTTTCAGATTGTAAATTCATGTTTGATACTGTACATATGTGGTAAACCTCGGAAGCCAGGGATGAAGGTGCATTATTCCAGAGAGAATGTGACTTGCCAGTGCCGTGGGTTAATACTAGTCTAATGACTTTTAAGTTATTTTCTTAGCTTGAGGTTTTCCCAGATCATGCAGGTAGTGTAAAGTCCTAAATCAGGGAAAATTTTCAGAGAGGACTTTCTTCCTCTAATCCAGAACCCAGGCCAAGACACACAAATTTCTTGATCTTTCTGCTGGTGAGTGGATTTCTTTTCTATTTCTTTCTTTTACTAAAATGTTACCCTTTAAGAGTCCCAGGTTTATGCAATTCATTCCCAACCTATGTAAATCTAAGAAAATCTTATCTGCTGTGTTCTGAGAAGGTTATGGATGGAAGTCAGCAAACACCCCTAGGGGCCACTAGTCTCAGGGACAGATTAACACTCTGGCAGCTTCTTCTTTGTCTGAGGCCTTAGGGATTTCTCTTATATATTCACAATTTCAGCTATACTTTTAAAAGATACTCATATTTTATCCAGCATTTCTAAGTAGTACTAAGTTAAGCCTTACAACTCAACTAATATAAATTTCCCACTGCCACACAGTCATCTACTCTCCCTTAATACAATGGTTCTAGGATTTTTATAATGTTTGAAAACACTCATCTTAAGAGTAGGGTACCTATCAATCTATGCTAAATACCATATATCATTTTCATCTTAAGAATGTATTTCAATAGTCACCAATTATGACTAATTAAAGATTTGGTTCAATACTTACCTTCACTTTGGGTTTAGGTGCAGAAATCACCTTTTTCTTTGCCCTAATACAAAAGATTAAAAAGGAGACCATTTCAGCAGCAGTTAAGTCACTCATGAGGAAATTATAATACAAAATCTTGTAATTATATGGGTAAATAATTTCTTCTGCTGTTTGGGAAGCTCTCTGAAGAAACGATATATAAGTTATACAGGTGCTCAGTTTTTATGTGAATATACAGCAACATTTCTCCCAATTTCAATTAACCAGAATAAAAGCCAAACCACTAGTAAAATGTGGAATGTAGACGATAAAGCTTTAAAAAAACTTAAACGCAAATAGTCCAAACTAAAATAACTCAAAACAGGCTAACAAAACTGTCTAAGGAGACTCATTTCAAAGAACTAGTTAGGTTTTGCAATTATTTATAGAAAAAAGAGCTTCAAGGTAACTTCAAGCTCAAATTAAACCAAGTTGTAAAAGATACTGTTTAAAAAAAAAAGCAAAACAAAATCCTCAAGTTTTTAAAGAAAATTATTTTTAATATAATAATTCAAATATAAATTTCAGAATGACAGAAAAAAGGCAATAAAAAAAATACCATGGAAACTTGGAACCTTTGGGAACCAGTGAGGAAAAGTCTGAAAATGAAAAAAACCTTACAGGTTCCACAGCACAAGAAAGTACTCAAATGTCTGTTGAATAATTAAAGGGTTGAAAAGCTAAAATACCTCACATTGTCTGTATATTTCTACTTCATGAAATTAAAATGCCAACAATTAAGTCAACAAGTAATTTGATTAAAATTTTACTGCCAATCTATAACATTATTAAGGCCACAGTAATATTCATGACTTCTAGGCCTGTATCATCATGCAGATTCCTACTTTCTGATATAAAACAAAACACAAGTTGGCTATACTAATGAAGCTACTGGAAAAAACAAAAACAAAAAACAAAAACCCAAGGGAGAGGATCTATGTAAATATCTGCTTTAGAATTAAAGGAATGAATTATTAATACTTGAATTGTAGCATATACATGATTTTAGGTCTATAGGGAAATAAAAGGCCAGAAATATTATTAACACAAATAAATATAAATGCATTAAATATATATAATTATATGTTATGTATTATATATATGTTAAAAAAACTCCCCACCCCAGGATAGCTAAACTACCTGCAACAAAGTAAACTTACAAACGTATAAAACCAAACTACTCCAGATTTACACCCCAAAAATAAACACAGCAAGATCTGAAAACCACAACCAATTCAATGTATCTCTGATGGCATACTAACAAAGTGTCCTTCCTAAAAGCAGTACAAAATTCCATCGACTGTAACTGTATACAAGGAGAGGGGGAACTATGTAACATTACCAAGATGTTAATCAGACCTCTTGGCAGAATACTGAACTAGAGTGCTCAGTAAATTCAGTGACTTGCTAATTTTACACCTTATTAAGCATTAATACTATACTTCAAGTCTCCAGAGAAGTAGCCTTAAGTTGTAGGTGAAAATAAAATCCTTGTCAAGTTAACTGGTATTCACCCAAAAATATAGCCACAGAATAAACTTGCCTTCACACTACTGCCTGTCAGGAGGATAAGAGACCTTTCTCTAGGAATTACACCACAAACGAAACACCCAGTTTTGAACACAAGGAAGGACATGAAAGGTAGGTTAATTTTGTGGAATAAAACACTCTGCAAGGCAAGGTTGAGTAGGTATACGTACAGAGCTGTCCTAGAAAGCACAAAGATAGATTACCTATGTATACCTATGTAGTGGTCATTTAGACGGAGAGGAAAAAAAGACACAAAAGAACCGGTGGGCAGAAGGCCCAGGAACAAAGGAAACCACCGGAGTCTTCCTGTTTACATGGCTTCTCACTCCCAGATCTCAGGCCAGTATGCTACATTATGGATTCAAGTTTTCAGAGACTAGCCTGAGAAGTATTTAACAGACAAATGTGTTCTAAGGTCTACAGAATCAACAGTAAAAATGATTTCTTTTAAAAAGGTAGTGGTAAAACAGAGATTGTCTAAATGTATGTTTAAGTTCTTTTTAATGTAGCATTTAATAAATATTTTTATTTACTAAAATAAAGCACACAATGTGAGTAAAAATAAAGGAAGAAATCTAAAGTCTGCATTTACTCACGGAGCAGAAGTAAGATGATTATGTACACTCCGACTTTCCTTAAAAAGCATTCTGGAAAAATTAAAAGCACACAATTATTTTTCTACAGCAGATAAGAACATGATAATCACTTTGTCATTTTAACCATTTGATTTTCAATAGGCTATTATTTGCTTATTTATCAAGTAAAGATTTATAATGGTATATAGTAAATTCAATAATCCATTTCATGGGAATAGATTATATTACCTCTTTATTTAAATTTTTTTTACAGAGCAACAGATGTTTTCTGCTGATTTAAGAACAATTCAGGAAGACTGGTTGAGACAGCCAAGTCTATTAATTTTAACGTTCTTTACTTAACTCTTTAAATTGGGCTGCTCGTAGTTTTTGAGATACCACTCTACACTATTTTCAGTAGAACAAAGGCTGTGCTTCTTTTTCTACACTCTAAATCTTCTATCCAGTTACTTATCTTCATGATACCCATATGAAGTTCCCCTCCCAAAATTCATAAATTTCTTACCCCCTCCCTTTTTCTCTACTAGCAAATTCAGGCACACACACAAAAAAGTGGTTGGTTAAAAAAAAAGATCACCTCTATGTGTATCTCTTTATCTCTATGTCCATATTACTGTTTTGTCTTTTAAATGCGTGAAGTTTTCAAAGCAGAGACCATCTGAGATGACTGTACAGAATGTTAAACATACTAGGTCCTTAGGAAAATGAATGTCATATGTGTGTGTATGTGTGTTTTTAATAACAGCAATAAGAAAGTAAAATAAAATCTGTGATGTCATATTTCTTACCTTGCCTGCATCCAGCCCTTAGGCCACAATGGTTTCACCTCTGTCTCCATAAAGGATTTAAGATAATCCTCAGCAGACTGGCTTTTATTTGGCTCTAACTCATAGCATCCCAATTTGATCTCAACAAGGTTACATAACAAAGTTCTAAACAGATTAAAAATATATATTTATATATAAATCTGACTGCAAAATTGCAGAAAATTAAGCTTGAAACAGGTTTTTTAAAAAGCACACAAATCTGACAGCAATAATAAAGAATATTATCTGAAGAATTCCGAAGATGACATGAAGATTAATAATGTCTAACATACATCATTCAGTGCACTACAGCCAAATCCCCAATATGAAATAATTTCCTTTGATACCTTTAATCTAGGCACCAAAGATTGAAAGGGACAGTCCTACAACTCAACCCTCTACTTGGAGTACAGAAATACTGGTAAGAAAGATGACCAATTACACAAGTATACTGAGTACTTCACCTCTAAAACCAGTATGACTTACTCAGTAATAAGATTAGCTTATAAAAAGTATTACATGAAAATAAAAGTGATAGAATTCTAAGGGTATTAGAACCAAATTCATCTTCTCTTAAATTTTTCTTACACATTAATTTTTGGTTGCTTCCAATCTAGCTTCCATTTACTACAGAGTCTTTTTATGAGAAACCTTACTTCACATCCTCTATTTGGTTAAAAGTGAAGGTTCTAGTTAAATCTTACCTAATGGTGTCATCCCAGTGGAATTTCTTCCTTGGTCCTATGACACGTTTCCCTGGTTTCTCATCATCATCTTCCTCGGATCCATTTTTCTCTCGTTCTTCATCTGTTTGAAACCTGAAAGTAAAAAACATTTTATGAAGCAAAGTTTTAACCCAACATTGCCTATGATGTGCTCCATAGATACTTGCTGAATTGCTTAACTGAATGTTAACTCAAAAGACAGGGTAAAGAAGGAATCCACCTTTCCACGTAATACTTTGAATTCGAAGTGCTTTTATAAAGTGCTCTGGTGAATAAGGTCTTCAAACTCTAACAGAAAAGCATGAACACTTATCTTTTAGTTCAAAAAATATTCGTATCCAACTTCAACCAGTCGAGCTGGTCAACGTGTGGAATGTCTGACCAGTGTCAGTTCTTGCTTTGATCAGAGCATACACTGTATCAGCAGATCTGTTGCCTTTTACACCAAAGCAACTGAGTGGAAAGTGACTTGTCATTTAGAAAATATTCAATTATACCACATCAATGGTGTATGTGGATTTCTACTTGGTGATGAAGTCCACTTAAGACCAATTCCTAATAGCTACAATTATTACTCAAATGCAAAAGGCAGCCCAAATAGAAGAAGTACATACTTGGCACACTTAGCTTGATTACGAGCCTGGCAGTCCTCCTGGTACTTAAACAGCTGTTCGGGCATGACATTGCTAACAGCCAGTTTCAGTTTTTGCAGGGGTTCTCTTAAACGATCATCCTGAGAAAAAAAAAATACTAAAAGTTTCTTCAAACATATTTATAAAGCTTACTTTGCGAGCAGATCTTCAAAAGATGAAAATTAGGGTTTAGATTCGGATTTGAAATGTTAGCATATTTAAATACGGACATGTCTTGTACAATGCTGACCTTTCATGATACACCCTGGATATAAAATTAGGATAACCATACTTTCCAGGCAGCCAAGGAGAGTCTCAGTTTTTGCCTGTTGCGTCAGCATATTTATTAATAGTGCTCAATCACTTAAAACTTAAAAATGCCCATGGCTGACCAGTAAATTATATGGACACCTAAACTATAATACAAATGATTAAATAAAAGACAAAATCTACATTGTGCAGACTACTATCAGCTAGTCCCCATTATGATGGGGAACCAGTACCACAAGAAGAGATTCTGCTTTGGAAGACTGGAAATCACAATTTGGTTTGGTGACTACCAACAGGATGTTGGCATCCTGTTTTCTTATTTATTGTTAGTAATTGTGACTTATGTTGTAAGCAAAAATGCCAGGTCAAAGCCAAATTGAAAGAGGAAACTGGAAGACTCTTATTCATGTGTGTTCAGGGCAAAAAGAAAAGCAAGTAGGTCTGGATCCGACAGCTTCAATCAATCGATTTATTATTTTCATCTTGCAAGTAACAAGATGAAATTATATGTTCATATAATTATTTAGAACATATTTTTATTACTGTCACAGGTGCAGAAATATTATAAGACTTTGCTCTCTTCACTGACACAGCTGTGTTTAAAATGTGATTTTTGGTAAGGAGAGGAATCTTAGGAATGCAATTATCATGTTATGGCAGGTATGTTTTACAAAGTAAAACATTTTATTTTCTTAACACTAATTTTAATAATAAAAATACAAATATTATTACTAATATTTCATGCATACCAATTAATAAATATTACTGCACAAATGTCAGTGTCTGCTACAAAACCGCATTTAAAAAAATGCAAACAGCCAGTACCATGGTTACTGGGTGATCATGTCTTAAGAATTATATAGCTAAGACTATCTGCCCGGCAACAACCCAAATATCCATCAACAGTAAAATGAATAAATTAACTGAGATATATTCATACACTGGAACACTGTACACACAGCAGTAAAATCAAGAGTCCCACCACTTGTAAACACAGATAAATCTGAGGTACATAACACTGAGTGGAAAAAACCAAACTGCAGAAGAAAACAGACAGTATTACTCCATTTAGATGAAGCTCAAAAACATGTAAAACCAAGCAATATAATGTTTAGGGATACAAACGTACATGATTATACCATATTAAAAAAGTAAGAGTTAGATAAATGTCTTTCTTCCATAGCCAACTGTCAAGGCCTGAAGGAGCCAGGCACAGGCACAAAATCTGAGACCTCAAGTAAATTTCATTTGTTCATTAGCCTGCTTTGAACTGAGAAAGAACTATAGTTTCTCAGTTCAAAAGAACTATTTTATTAACAGAAGTGTAGCACCCATAATAAGGAATTGTATGCCTGTCAGATCTCACCCACTGCAGTGGTGCAGGGCGCCACACTCATTCCCGTACGCACACCATGCTGGGCCTTTGAGAGCCATGCTGTGCTGCGTGACTCTCTCTCCCCATGACCAGAAAAGTTTAGGTGGACTCAAGACAATACGATTAGATTTTTCACCCCAAGAATATGGATTGGGATGAGAAAGCTGGGCAAATCTCTGTGTGTGGCTTTTCTGAAATATAAAACCTTGGAAATAAAGTAGTCTTGTCTGCAGATACACATAGAAGGATAATAGGAAAGAAGAGAGAGGTAAAGAGAAAAAGAGTTAATCCAGATTATCAGTTCCCATCCCCTCCTTGCCCTTAATTCAAGGAAATATCTTTATTCATAGAAAAAAGGTTTCTTTTTTTGGTCTTAAACTGCATTTAGTTATTTTCTATAACTTGCAAATTATAAATACTTTAAAAATATATACTCAAAGAAATCATTAGAGGAAGAGTAATCAAGACAGTGAAGATCCTGAAACCTATTTCATGTGACATAAAAAGGGGACATAATAAATGCTTTCAAAAATATGAAAGCCACAAAGTGGATAAATGATTAGACTGTGAATAAACTCAAAGGCAGAATTAGGACCAACAGGATGGAAAGCATTTAGATTTGGCTCAATGCATGGAAGAATTTTCTGATACTATAATGAAATAAGTTTCTTATCACTGGAAGCATGCAAGCTTGGACAATCACTTCGAGGAGTCATGGTCAAGGAGAATCTAGCAAAACACAGATGATTACACTAAATGATCTTCCAGATTACATGCAACCTTGTGATTCTTTCCACTGGTCTTCATAACGTCACTGTGAGCATATCAGTACAGGTCCACTTCAGGAATAAGAAAATAAAGTTTTACGTGTGTCAGACTATTTGTTGAGGGCAAAGCTGTGTCAGCTGTGCAACTGAGATTAATTTACCCATCCAAGAAACACTAGAAAATACTGTTTCTTATCTAAAGCTATCAATTGATGAAAAGCAATTTTTTTCCCAGGAGATCCAACATCCCTTTAAGAACATCCTATGGTTACTCAATACACACAATAAGACTATAAAGCAATTAATATGCAAAAGCAACAAACATAAATGAGTCTCTTTATAGGTTATAAACCCCCAGATGCAGATGTTATCTTACCTGGACGTTGAGGTGCAACTTCTTTAGACGTTTGACCAGTGTTTCTTTATTGCATGGCACAAAAGCTTCAAGATGGGAGTAGACACTGCTGCGAATGACAGGGCCTAGTTCCTGTAGCTGTAACTCAATGCTGACCAAAAACAAACAAGCAAGTAGTACAGAATTTCTTTTACATAGTAATACACAAGCAAGGAGGCAGAGACAGTGACTCTTTTCTCAGTTTATCTTTCCATGATTTCCTGGACAGTATTTTTCAAGGGAAAAAAAACCCATCAATAAATAGTAATGCTATAAAAAATTTCTATGAGTCTAGTTTAAGAGTAGAATTTATAACCCTAAACATGATGGCAAATAATTTTTTGATGACAGAGGCAAAGTCTACCCTTTCTGGGTAAAGCACAGGAACTTCTTTATTAACTAAAAGCTCATTTCCACACAGAAATATCACACTTCTCCTCACTGCCCTGCAATTTGCTCTACTACAGAGTCGCACAGTTTCAATGAGTTCTTAGAGTATTCTTCCCTTAAGGGTTGAAAAAATGATATTCAGAAGAGGTAAGGCCCTTCTGGCTATACAGACTGTTCTATCCATCTTTGTTTCCCTCACTGTGTCTGCACTGCACAAACTAGATATTTAATAGTTTGTTCAACTTATTCCAATTATCCAATTTTAAGGGTATTTAGCCTTAAAAAAAAAAAAAAAGGAAGAGTCTGTAACAGCCATCATGCTCACAGCAGGACAAGCTATTGAGGTTTCTTCCAAGATGGAAGACATTTTATTTGGCAGCTGCTACTGTGAAAAATGAGAACAGATGTTAATTTGAAGGCCAAGACCAAACTGGAGCCCATGGCAACAAACTATGTCCAAATCATCACATTTTATTATAGTAGAAGGTGCAGATAGACTTAAATACTTCTCACAAATATAAGGTTCATCCAAAGATTCAGTTAACAGCTTTCGCCAGATCAAATGTATCCATCACTTATAAGACATATTGCAATTTCAGAAACAGTGAAATGTGGAAAACTATACTCCTCAGAATTGACAACAGAAAATTCTTGATATAAGAGAAACTAAACACACACACAAAATATACATATATAAAAAGAAGTTTAAGGACCACTAGAGCCAGGGGGCCAAATGCAGTAGTCTATATGGAAGATAATTACTATGGTTATGAGTTCTGTGAATAAACATTTGGTTAAGTAACGTTATGAGGTTAGACTTTTATTAAAAGTCTAGACTCTGGGTAGGAGGCATTCAGCTTGACCCATTATTAAAGGTTGGTTAAAGCTGAAAATAAAATAGAAATTCCAAGCAGTTAAGAGATACTGAGTAAGAACAGATTGACTCAATGACCTACTTATAAAAATCAGTGGTTTCCAAAGAGGGGTAACTCAGAAACAGGAAGAGCTGACTTTCTGCCCCTAAGCCAATAATATTAGGTAGAAATCAGAGAAATGTATTAACCCGGAGGTCACTGACAGTATTGGTCTGTCACAAATACATAAAATTCCTAAGAATCTATTATATTAAATTATTATATTTATTATATTACAGGCAGTATATTTTAAGCATATATCTCTCACACATCTACTTTAATTTTTTTCTTCTAAGAATTCTGATCTTTTGGTGTAAGGGGACAACTGAAAACACACGTCAATCAAAGTCTGAATTTCAGATATCATCACATTTATTTCACAGAGAAATAAAGCTTCTCCTGAAGTGGAGAGAGTCTTGCCCCCTTCTCTCCACCAGCCTCCTTTTCCTTCTTTAAGTGAAATCTATCTCCAAAGCAGATACCCATATGCAAAAATTACTGTGAATGGGCCCCAAACCTCCGATAATGAATTGTGAGCATGAGATCAGTACAGGTTCAAAATGGATGAAAATACCCTGGAAGCACCGGCTGTTAACGCACTGGGAAACAAACACTGGGTTTTGTGGGTAAATAGGCTGGAAAACCATCTTTATATACCTATCTATATAAGGCCCTCATTTGCCTCTGGAGAAGCCTCAAAGAAATGCCATACAGGAACCCATAGCTGAAGCAATAGCTACCTTTGTAAACAAGATTCGTCTGCTCAGAAATACTCAGTGACACCTACTATGGTATTCTCACACAGGATTCTACAAGGATAGTCATTCCCTCATATTATGTATCTTCCCCCTCCATCAACTCCCTCTTTTTAAAAAAGAGAATATATTTCCTACCCAATCAGTTTTAAACACTAGTAAAAGAAAAGTTCTCACTAATTAAGTCCAAATGAATTCTGAGATCTCCTGAATTTCCTGGATTTTTCCTCAAATATTCCAGATATCCTACCAATGTTGTCCAAATAACACAACCATCAGAAACTACTAACTCAAAAAAGACTTAGGGAGCAATAATTCAAACTCAAAATTCAAAATAGCTCACACCTTAGAGCAAGAATTCAAAAGCCTTTTGATGTGTCAACTGATAACAGAAAAGAGGGGCACTGGTCCCACTTGTCCCTGAAGAACTACTTTATTCAGGTGGGCTGGTTCAAGTGTGACCTAAAGGAGACCTGATGTGGTTAGGTGAGAGATGTTGAACCATGGTTTGGAATTTTTCCAACTATAAAGGAGCCCCTCAAGAGAGTGAGGAAAAGCTGTGGCATAGAATCAACCCTTTCACCTTGGTAAGTTTCCTTTATTTCATAGAAAGAGAAAGACAGACCAACTGATAAGTCCATTCACACTGAGATTCAAAAGTCACTACTCATTCATGAGCTCCTTAAAGGAGCCTCTTAACAATCAGATGACAGATCTCATTGCAAGTGTCCAGTAGTATTGGTAGTACCTGCCTAGAGCATCTGTTAAGCACCACTGTCAGCCTGAATTGGGGTCCTAAGTAGGGAGTGTTGAGATTTCAGTAGCAATGTCTTCTTGAGGTAAAGGAGGACATAGGAGAGATCAACTGAGCATTTGTTGATTCAGCTCAAATTCAACTAGGTAAAAAGGAAAAAGGGTTCCTTATTTCAACAATCTCTTTCCACTTCTAGCATAAGGAAAAATAGTGAAGTAGAGCCAATACACCTGAATAAATTCATGGGAATTACTACCCTAAATAATCAGGTACCACAAGCCCTTAGAAGATCAACTTGGTCCAGAGAAAAAAGGGATGTTTGGGAAAGAAGAAAAAGAAGACGGGGGCATAATTAAACTACTAAAAGGTAAAAAATTCAACTCTGAACATTAGGACACACTCTCTGTGAAATAAAAAGTAGATAGGCTCCAAAAAACTAGAGGATTTAAGACAGAGATGGGAGGAATTAACAGAGAAGCCTGTTAACGGAATAGTGATATTCTGCTTATTTGAGGTGTTAAATTCCAAGGATGATCTCTTAACTCACTCAGGAGAGAAAGAGTTGTTCACTTACAGAAGGGCAAAATAAAAAAAAGATTGTCTCAGTCACAGGAAAAGGACCTGATCTCATACACTTAGAGCTCTTAAGTGAAAAGAAAAAGAAGAGCAAGTTATATCCCTGATTTTGAAATCTGGGACAGCTCTGAAGAGAAATGGTTACACTGATAACCGAATCTGGCGTTTAAAAGGGAGCTGGGTAAAAGGAGATGGTGCGGACAAGAAGCATTTGCCTGATTCCAGGCAGTAAGAATCAATCCAAAACCCCTGGCTAAAATAAAGAATAGGTACAAGATAAACAACAAGGTCCTACTGTATAGCACAGGGAACTACATTCAACAGCTTGTAATAACCTGTAATGAAAAAAGAAAATGAAAAAGTATATATATATGTATATACATACACACACACACACACATACATATATATGTATGCTGTACCCCGGAAACTAACACAGACTGTAAACCAACTAGACTTCAATTAAGAAAAAATAGGTACAAGAAATTTCTGCCTTCATACTAGTAGCATATTAGGTTATGTGTTTCATGAGATGTCTTAAGTACTCCAGGAGAATGAGAGATTGCATTAATTAAAAGTTATCAAAATGAACAAGCTAATCCATCCTTTCTATTTCATGAGAAACTACCTCCATTATATATTTAAAAGACAGGAACCATAGTATTGAAAACATTGCTTTGTTTCTTTGTATTTTGATGCTACTGAACCACCAGGCACACATTATGTTCATCAGAGATGAATTAAAATTAGCTGCTTTCCCCGACCGCTTCTCTTCTGCCCAGTTCTAACTGCAGCCAATTATATACGCAATCTCTGGAATCAAGGTCAAAATTTGTAAGCCAATAGATTTATAAACACAGCTTATTTGACCACAATCTTCGAGCCTGCAACTCATTAATATCAAATTCTACCTAAGGGTGAAAATTATCACTAATTTGAATAAAATTTATATTGTATAGCAGCCTTCACCCTTTCCTCTCCAATCTAACATCTGTCTTCTCCACACTGCCTCCATCCTACCCCAAAATGATTCTTCATTAAAGCATATCCTCCATTTGACTATAAATGTTGGTATGAATTACAATTAACCTCACTAGATACCAATAAAATTAATTTTTCCTAAATCAGAATCAAAGTAGAAGGAAAGTTACACCAAATTTAATATAAACATTCAGAGCTGTCCAAGAAAGATATTTTCATTTAAGGTAACAAAAAATACATTTAAATCTAGGATAATATTCAACCTGCACAGTGGTCACTCGCTCTGGCAGCTATGATACTGGAACCTTTGATTCTCATAAGTGGCCCTGGAGAACCAACATATGATACACGCAGAAGCATAATTTTGCTAAGAAACGAAAATTAATCACATATGCTGTGACGCCAAAAGGGAAGAGATAATGCATGAGACTAGCCAACCACTCAGCATCTATATTTCAAAGGCCTACTGTGTTTTTTAATGAATTCTTGAGGTTTAAATAATTTTTAAGGTTTTTTTAATCAAAGAAGAAAATTACTTACTCCAGAAGAATATTATTCATATCCTGTGTAAAGAATTTTTTCCTTCCTTCTTCATCAAAAAGTTTGGCAGCCTAAAGAAACATAAGGTTGTTAATATAATGCTTAATAAACACATTACTTGTTTCCATATCTAATTAGGAGAGAAAAAGCTCTGAGGGTGGGGCTATGATTTGTTCCACTTTGCATCCCAGCTTAGTACCTGGCAAGAGCAGGTAATCAAAGAATATTGAAACAAAATTTACCATACGTAACATTCTTTCCTGTCATGTCTGTATTTAATTTTTCTGAATCTCCCTTAATTCAAAAAATTACACATACAAGACTTTTTAGTGCTATGGGTGTCTTGTATGTTCTGAGTATCTGTAAGGTCTGTTTATTAATTCTTGCTGTGATCTCCAAAATAAGAGAGAGCAGATGTCTCATTTTCTGCAGACATTATTGTCTAACATGTTTGATACTCTACATATTATACTCATTACCATGTTTAACCCTCATAACAGCCAATGATATCGGTATTATAGCCTCCATTTTACAAACAAAGAACCTAAATCTTACAGAATTTACATGATACACTTCCAAATCACACAGCTAGTAAGCGGTGGATCCAGGACTTAAGACCAGAAGCTTCCTGACTTCAACAGGGCAACATGTCACCCTGTACAGATACTGCTTACTGCAGCCAGTCTGGGTTCTACCTAATTACTAACAATGAAAAAACTGGCCAAGGTTATTGTCAATGGATAAACAACAATTAGTACAATGAGGTTAAGAATGATATTTTTATCACCTTAACCAGTTGACCAAAAACAATGAGTATGCAAACCAAGACACTGTACCATATGCCAAATTTACTGGGAAAATCACAAAAGATCAAAAGATACAGTTTATGTCGAGATCCACAAGATGTAAAACATCCAGAGGCCTGATCCAATAATCTGAGCAAGCCATAGGTTGCCTCTGTCAACGAGTAGTAACAATTTTATGTTGTTTGACAATTTCACATGCTGTAAATAGAAGAGGAAAATTTCAGAGATGTGCCTCAGAGCTTCTTAGAAGGATCAAGGCTGGGTGTGAGTAGTGGGCAGAAATATAGGAAGAAAGCCAGAATGAAAACTAAACTTCAAGAAAGAGAATCCAAAGAGGCTGAACAGTAGAAGAAGGTTACAAAGTGAGAAAAGAGCAACAAGAACAAAGTCCTTATCAGACAGACATGAGCATTTTAGGCAAGGATGAATTCTCATCTTGTGAAGAAAAAAATACCATCTCAAATTTCAAAGAGAAAATAAGGAGAATGCACAGATACTAGTAAGTGAAATGAATATTCTTATTGATCATTTCCTACTAAGAGGTTAGGAAGTAGCTGTTTTAATCCTGGCACGGCTACTACAGAGATGAGTTTGTAGTATATGAGACATGACAGCACGTTACAAGACAAACACACTCACTCCTGATCCCTTTTCTTTATTAAGTGAGAATGAATGGCAAGTAACACAGCAGACAGAGTGCGAGCTATAGAGCTTGACGTTCCTGCCTTTAAATCCTGACTTTGCATCAAGGCTCAGCCACTGAAAACTTCTGTGGCCTTCGGCAATTCCCTCAACCTCTCTGAACCTTAGTTTCCTCATCTATTAAATGGAAGAACACTACCTCTCTCACATGAGGATTAGACTGCTGGAGGATTAGACTACACAGTACACACAGTATACTGAGCCCAATCAGGGTGCTGTCTCCTGAATGGTAAATTCTGTCTTGTGAAATTGTGGGTCACAGGAGCATTGCAGTCAATACACAGTATAGGTTTTTGCTAAACATACAATGGCTATTATTATTAATTACATCATTAGTTTCTGGTGTACAGCATGGATGGACTTGGAGGGCATTACACTAAGTGAAATAAGTCAGACAGAGGAAGACAAATACTGTAAGATATCACTTACATGTGGAATCTGAAAAAATACAACTAGTGAATACGACAGAAAAGAAACAGACTCACAGATGTAGAGAAGGAACTAGTGGTTCCCAGTGGGGAGAGCGAAGGAGAGGGGCAAGATGGAAGTGGAGGATTAAAAGGCACAAACTATCAGGTATAAAATAAGCTACAAGGATGTATTGTACAACACAGGGAATAAAGCCAATATTTTATAATAACTATAAATGGAGTATATAACCTTCAAAAATTGTGAATTACTATATTACATACCTATAACATATAATATTGCACATCAACTATATTTCAATTTTTAAAATATGATATAAAATAAATACACCTAAATAAAGTTTTAAAAAAGAAACTTATGGGCAAACAAACAACACAGCATGGAAATCAAGTGAAAACTATGGTAAACACAAGTTATAACCTAAGAAACACTGGCAGCGAGATACTGGGACACATTTCCCTAAGTCCTGAAATGATGAAGTACTTTAAAATAAGCAAAACTGTAAGAGAATAAGCCACGACCTCAGAAAAAACAATGAAGAACAAAAATTTTTTAAGTAAGTTTGATAAATAAAATCCATAAATCAATTGTTAGAAAAATTAGATAAATCTCTCACTCCTCTAAGCAGATATTTAAAATTTATACAGAGCTGAGAGAAATAAATACAATGTAGAGATCATTATTAAATTTAAAATGTGATGTAAATGGATTACTATAACCCTAGGAGAAAAAAGCAAGTTGTAGAATAATCCACTCATCACACTTCTATTAACAATTACTTTTAATAATAACATAGCATTTGCAAATGCATGGATTAAAATTCATGAAATAAGTACATTAATAGTAGTTACTTCTGCTGGGGGTGGGGAATGGCTGATTATGGGAGATATTTCCCTAAATATAAAAATGTATGACTTTTATCATCGGGGGGAAAAAAGAGGACTAAAATACGGCATGAGTTCAGACAAAAATGGTAAAGTAATTAAAATGGCATTTTAAGCTAGGCTTGGAACATTTTAAGACAAAATAGTATCTCCCAGAGATTAAAGGGAGAAGTATAATGACAAACCTGGATCTGCAGCTAAACAAAGATTATGAATCCAAGTCAACTGAGAGAGGAATCTATTGTGACATGCTAAAAACTCAACTCTTAAAAGTTTGTCTTAGAAGGAACATAATGTATGCTTACTAAAACTGCTAATTAGCTGGAAAGGACTAGTTGGTAAAATGAATTGTAGAATGACTAGTTGTCAACATAGTTTGGACAAAGTTTAGGCACACTTCTGCAATGTTACTATTTGTTCCTGCCATCCCTCTATTTTCTTTACATGACATGGGTTACACAGTCATGTAAAGCAATAAAAATTGTATTTATGAAACCTATGCAGAAAGATATTCATAAAATGAAGTGAGATAATAAAAGAATCAACTGTATCTATGTCCTAACTATAGTAATATATGTGTGTATATATATAATTTCTATTTAAAAGAAAAAGCCTATGCATATAGCCAATGCTTAAAAAGATACAAAGCAAGTAAGTTATAAGGCTGTTAGGATTATATGTGATTATTTTTGTTTTAAAATAAGCATTTATCGTTACATTTGTGCAGCAAATAACAAGAGAATTATCACACTTACTACACGGAGGTCTTCGATACGTTTTTCAAGAAGGACAGGTAGACCCTCTGGGAGTGTAGGCACCACCTTGGGCATAACCTGAGCGGCATAGGTTGGCTGGGTGGCATTTCCATTCTCTCCCCCTGACTCAGAGAGGGGGCTACCATTAGAAGCAGCATCCAATAATCTGTCAAAGTCAAAATCGTCTAGCATCTCTAGGGCATTTTCAGCTTCCTGAAATAGTTCATGTTCATTTGTGCTAACAAAAATGGGGAGGTCTGGATCAGCACTGTTCAGATTTAGGTCTGAGACATCATTTCCCAATGCTACAGCAGCAGAGGGGGGTTTATGCAGAGAGGAGGTTGGTAAGTTCACCGGGACTTTAGGGTTAGACTCCTTCTTTAATGCATCCTTCTCTTTTTGAAATTTTCGTATCATGGCAGCTAGAGAAAGAGAATCTTTATAACGTTTCTTCTTTTTTTCAGATTTGTGTGAATTTAGAGCCACAACTCTGTGAAGAAAAAGGTGATCAGTTAGGTTATGTGTGATTTTAAAGGTTAAAAACTCCATGTAAATTAGGCAAAGAATTAAAATACTCATTTGATAGATGAGAAAGTAAGCTTGTTACTAAGTTATACTTTTACAACAGCATCTTCATCATCACCTAGATTGTTACCTACGAAAGGCAGATAGGTGATTGGCCATTAGGGTGAAGAAAACAAAATGAATAAAACCAACAGAAACAGAACTGATTAGGGGCCTGGTTTATTAAAGTATACGAAGTTCAACTTACTATTCTTTTTAGAACGTTCATTCCTTATCACATCTATAAAGTATTCACCTAAAGAATTAACGAAGTAAAGAAATGCACTTTTGCTGAAAACAGTTGATTACAACCAAAGAAGCCTACACAGTATACCTTCAAAGTGGTATTCCAGGTGGTCTGTGCTACATACAAACTGCCGAAGAAATGCAAAACCCTCTGTATCAACCTATGAGCCTTCATTCATCACCATGTCATCTATCCAGATCCTATTGTATCTGCTACCACCTTCTGATTATTTTTCACTTTCCATTCTAGGAACAGCCTTGTGAGGCTGTAGGATAGATATGTGCAATTTTCAATGACAACTTTCTCCCTATGCAGACTATGAGGAGAGGGTGCTCTCAGTTTAGCTATCACTTTCTCTAAAGAATCTTTTCTAAACTCCATGGTTTATATGCTTCTATGTGCACTACAGAACCTAAAAGATTATTAGGACCTTGAAGGTAGGCCAACGTGGCATTTACTGTTATACATCCAAAACCCAGGTAGTGTCTGGTATACTTAGTAACTATTTGCTGAATAAGTTATAAATTTGAGAAAATGATAAATTCAATAAAAGGCATTATTTACAGTTTTTATTCCTAAATACGGGTGTACTTATAAATAATGAACATTTAAAACTGTTAGTAATATTTTCTTTTCTTGATAATTTCTTAGTAATTCAGAGGTCACTATAATCTCCTGCTTAGGAGGGAATAAATACCTCCCTACATCAACTTTCTGGACATTGATAGCCCAAAATTCAGATGCACCTCCCCTGCTAAGGAGGGGAGGAAAACCCAGCCTCTCACAAGTGTTTGTTCCTTAGTTCTACAAAAAAAGCCATAGAGAACTTGGGGCATTTGATAGTTTTATGACTGCAAGGTACAAACATTTTATTCTTATGACTTAATGAGGTTTTTGAGAAATTCTATTTGGTTTTTAGAGGCTACATCATTACCTAAAGTCACAAGCATTCAGAATAGCTAAATAAAATCAATGAATTTTTTTAATATTAAAACCACCATAAATCATTCATACAAAGACTATAGCCAATTCTCAATCCCCAGGCATCTAAGCTCAGTTTTAATACAAAAAGATTAGAACAACGTGTTCAATGTTTAAACTAACTTTTCAAACTAGTTCTTATTGGTACAATGTTGTAATGAGCAAAATACTTAATGAACAAATCTGTGAACCTAATCTAAAACACCCTGAGTCTCTAAGATGACTTCTACTTGTTAATAAACATAGTATTATTAAAACATAAATTAACAGGTCACTGACATTTATAAATACTATATTACATTAGAGGCAGCTAAGCTGAATTAATTAATGCTGAACATATCTTTCTAACAGGAGAGCTTGTCATGCTATGACACTCATCCCCTTATTCTGTTTAATTTCACATACCCCAGTTGTTTGGGTACTTTTTTCCTTGGCTTCTTCTCCTTTTCCCCTTCCTCTTTCCGTTTCCGCTTCTTCATCTCAATGTCATCTTCTTTTATTTTGGGAATCTACAAAATAATAAAAGAAAGCATCACTTACCTAAGCATTACTGCTTTATTTTCTGATGTTGTCAATCCAGCATCCAGGGCAAGCGGTTTTTCTCAAATTTCAGGATGTGTAAGAATTGCTTATTTTTAATAGGCAGATTCTTTGGGTCTATGAGAACTCCCACCCTTGGTTTTGATTCAGTTATTTGGGTTAGAGCCTTTTAATCTGAATTTTTAACAAACATTTTGGTGACTCTGGTACAAGTATGTCTTCGGTTCACAATTCAAGACACATTTATCTAGGGGGGAGGGTATAGTTCAAGTGTCGTAGAGTGCTTGCTTAGCATGCACAAGGTCCTGGATTCAATCCCCAGTCTTCCTCTAAAAATAAATAAACCTAATTACCTCTTCCCCGCTTCCCACTGCTGAAAAAAAGGAACACTTATCCAAGGACATTCTATTTATTTCCTAAATATAATATAGATATTCTATAAAATTTGCCTTCCATCTTAGGAAAAGTCACGGCTATACCAAAGTCTTAACCTATACTAGAACCCCAGCCTTGTCCAGAAACAGTAGATTATGGAGAGAGAAGTTTTAAAAGAAAATATTCTATTATGATATAAACAAATTTCCCCATAGCTACATGACTTACCTTAAAGCATGTAATTAACTATAAATTCATTAAACAATGGTTAGCATTTTACTTTTCCTTATATTCACAGCTATAATGACAAGTAAAGTTCAAAAAATATATCCTTTTAATTGAATGCTCTCATTACTGTTGCAATGTTGGATAAACTCACTTTGGGTGGCTTGTGCTTTTGGTTGTCTGTAATGTCTTCCTCTTCAGTATCTGAAGCTTGGCGAAACTGGAGAGTGCCAGTATTGATATAAAAGCCTCCATATTTTGTTGTTAGAGAAGCAGGAACTAATTCATCATACTAGATTAAAAAAAAGGTTTCAGATATATCCTATTATCTTTAATTTTATAAATATATCAAAGAAATTCAATCACCATAGCAGCATCTTCCTTAAATCCTAACTGCAAAACTGCAATGAGGATGACTGTGAATAAATTTAGAAAAAGCTAGTATCTGGAATAGAAATGAGCCCTGATCATTCAGTATTTATTAAGAAAGGAACTTCTGGAATACTGAACAAATTCTAAATATATCATCTGCTGAGAAAAATTTAAGGATCACTGCTATTTTTAACAACAAATGATTCTGAGGAGAAACTAAAACAAGTTAAAACAAATGACTGAATGTCCAGACAATGAATAAATTTCATTTCTTATGATATTGGTATATAATTTTATTCATAAAGAGATTATAAAAAATAAAAAGTTATTTCTTCTACCTTAATTCTAAGCTTTAAAGTGGGGAATATTTTTTAAATGTATAAATATTTTTTAAATGTATAAAAGAAAAATAGCACATATCTGTTTTAAAGGGAAGTAGAAAAAGAACTGCCCAGTTGATAGAACAGAGAAACAAGATTATACTGTATAGCACAAGGAAATATATACAAGATTCTGTGGTAGCTCACAGTGAAAAAAAATGTGACAATGAATATATGTATGTTCATGTATAACTGAACAATTGTGCTCTAAACTGGAATTTGATACAACATTGTAAAATGACTATAACTCAATAAAAAAAGTTAGAAAAAAAAAAAGAAACTGCCCGGTTGAGTAAGCATACACGGAGAGCCCAAAATGAGCCACGTACTTTGCTTCAAATAAGAGACTCAAATTATCTAATAAAACTGAAGATCTGGGGTGTCCTCATTTTATAAGTGAAAACCAAATTCACAGGGGTTAAGAACCTTGCCAGAGTGCTGTCTCCCAACCCATCCACTATACCAAGCAGCTTCTCACACAGGAAACACTCACTCATCACCAGGTTACCAGACAGTGTGGATGTGCTCAACGCCTGTCCTCTTCTGCAGTATTCTGCTGAACTTCCCCTATCAGAACACTTTTCAGGAGAACAAACTCTTTACGCATATTTAATTTAGCCTTTTAATTACAATGTATTAAGAGGCAATGCGGCACTGAACTTGAGAATCAGAAGGCCTGGATTTATTAGATTCTTTGCCAACAACTAGCTATTGTGACCCAGAGCAAATCACTAAACATCAAAAGTTTGGGGTTGTAAAACAGGAACAATATTCCTTACTTCACAAAGTTCTAGTGAAATTTAAGAGATAACTTAATAAAAGTGTTACTCATGCCTGGTATTATGACTTCTTAATAACAAAGAAAACCATTTTCTTTCAGGCTTCTAAAACTTGGCAGCATTAAGTGTTAGACTAAAAATAATCTTCAAAAGCATTTATTTTCAGGTGTTTACAGTAATAAGTAGTACACAACTCTGAAAATTAATTAGAACAGGATTTTTTTACTCTCTATCAAATAATATACCAACAGTGAAAACCTACTGGCAGTGCAATCAATTAAAAACAACAACAACAAAAACAGAACATTTGGTTGGCTCATAAGTGTTTTATGTCTGAGGGGAGGGTACAGCTCAGTGGTAGAATGTGTGCCTAGCATGCATGACGTCCTGGGTTCAAACACTAGTATTGCCACTAAAAAATTAAATAAATAAATAAACCTAAATACCCCCCCACCAAAAACAAAACAAAAATAATAATAAATAAAATAAAATAAAAATAAAGTCATGTTATTAAAAAAAGGAAGAAAAAGAAGACATAAAATAAATAAATTAATTAAATTTTTAAAAAGAAAACTTTAAAAAATTACATGTATTAGGTCTGATTTATCTCTCATAAGAATCAAATAATTTGTTAAGGACAATGATACAAAATTATTTGGCAAGTCAATAAACAACCTATGTTTTAATTCAATTTCTTCTTATAAAGCAGGGGCCTACCTTATCCTATGTCAGTAATTAATTGTATAACATACACAACAATTTATACCTTCAAAACTTATCCTTATTTATTAAATTAGTGGCTTCCAAATTTTCTTCACCACAACCCAAATGGAAAATACGTATCAAAATCCAGCGCATGCACGCACGCACACACACACACAATAAAAGTTGCATAATGTGCCAGAGGTTTACTGCAACAGCTCCTATTCTATTCTATTTCATTTTCTTTAGAAGTGCTGGCCACAGTCTCTAAAGTGATACACAATCCAATTATGGGTTGCAAAAGTCAGTTTGAAAAACACTTCATTCATATATTCTGAATGCTGCAAAGGAAAATAATAGAAATGCTATTTATGAAAGGCTACATACTACATGATTCCAACTATATGACATTCTGGAAAAGGCCAAACTATGGAGACAATAAAAAGATTAGTGGTTGCTAGGTGTTAGGGATGGATGAACAGGCAGAGCACAGATTATTTTAGGGCAGTAAAACCATTCTGCATGATCGTATAATGGTGGTGACATATCATTACACATTTGTCAAAACCCACGGAATGAATGTACAACACACCAAAAGTGAACCCCAAGGTAAACTATGGACTTTGGGTGATGTGTCAATGTAGGTTCTTCAACTGTAACCAGTAAACTACTCTGGTGGGAGAATGCTGCAAATAGGGGAAGATGAGCATGTTGTGAGGGCAGGGAGGACATGGGAATCTGTACCTTCCACTCAATTTTGCTGTGAACCTAAAACTGCTCTAAAAAAATTAAGTTTATTAATTTTTCAACAAATGCTATTTGTGTAAGCCTGAGTACATGCAATGTCCATTTATACATGGCTGAGTTCCCTCTTGGGTTATTTAGAATTCAGTCTACTTTACATACAATGTTAACACTAGTACTAATGCTTTATGCTTGAGTCTCAGACTACATAATTCTGCTGGGCAAGCCAGTCATAACAGACACAACTTGGTGATGCTAAAATAAAAGACTTGCTCCTAGTCCACAGCAAATCAGAAACCAAGTGCAGTCTAGAATTGAGGACTCTGGACTTGAGTTCCAAATCAAGGTCAAGACTCTTGAAAACATTCCACTCCCTAATCTACAAAAAGACTGACAACCTTTTTGGTAACAGGAAGTCCTCTCTACTGCAAAGGGCACTGTCAACATTTTCCTTCTTTAGGCTACCTGGTATGGTAAAGCAGTTTATGTCAGGACACACCAAAATAATACAAGAGTATGACAGGGTATCCAGTACGCCTCATACTGGAAGTCCTTCCTCTCATTCTCTGCCCACTGTATGCCTTGTCATCACCTACACAACCAAGCAGTGTAGTAGCAGGAAAAAGATGTTACTGATTTGTGGGTAGTGTAACAGCCACCTCAGTGTCACTTTCTGTGTATCTTAATTACTTAACACTGCAGAGGATATCATAATCCCAGGGTTTAGATTACTCTAGCACACTGTGAAGAATGTAAGAACGTATACCTTACCTATCCCCAAACATGACATGCCCTCATTTATTTGCTATGTGATCAATGGACTGCTGTATTTCTCAAATGCTCTCCCGAATTCCTCCTCCTCTTATAAGAGAAAGAGGATTCCAGAGGAAAAGTTGCAGAGCTTGATCAAAACAGACTGTGATAAAAGCTGGCATTCAATTACCACCACTACAGTAAATCTTGGCAGCAATAAAAAAAATTAAGTACATTGTCAAGTCATGTGCCAGATTAACTTCAACCCAGTAGCTCTAATCTTCAAGATCACATGGTTCTCATCTAGAAGTCATTTCAAAATACACCTGCCCAAATTTGGGAATATCAATAAAAATTCAAGATGTAAATACCCTTTAATGAATAAATCCCACTCCTAGAAATTTATCCTACTCATGTATTTGCACTCGATAATTACCTTACATCCACATTCACTCTAGTACACAGAGATGAATGTCTGCAGATGCTCAATTATTTTTAAGCACATAAAACTGGAAACAATTTAGACATGTATCAATAGGGCATTAGTAAAAAACATTTACTGCAGTATTTAATTACATTATCCTTGAATTCTACTAGCCAAATAAACAAAGAATTGCTGCTATATTAAAGATACATTACTCACAGCCTCTGAGTTATCAATAAATGGATCTGTCTCATCATAGCCAAAGCCTATATCAATTAAATCTTGTAGCCGATCTTTCCGGTGTTTACGGGGTTTCCCACCCTGCAAAGAACAGATATGTTAGACTGATTCAGTACTTGTGCTGTCTCCATAAAATTAAAAAATACCTGTCAGAAGAATTTCCAAGTAATTTCTGTAGATAATTCCCCTCAGGAGGTTGCATTTAAGCCCCCTTACACCTTGAATGTAAGAGTACAGTATGTCAAGGAGGAGACAAAGAAACTTTACAGAGAAAAACCTGGCCAACATTACCCAGCCAGGTGATCAAGGTCAACATCAACAGCCATAAGTCATCTTGAGAGCATGCACCACTGACACGATGTGACACAGATGACACTTTACCTTTGTGTGGTCTCCCTTTCAAAGCCTGTAACCTCAGTTACAGGTCAATCGTGAGAAAAACATCATGACCAACTAAACCACGAGAAAAACATCAGACAAACTAAATTGAGGGACGTCCTACAAATAACTGACCAGTATTCCCCAAAGCTGTTAAGATGATCAAAAACAAGAAAAATCTGAAAAACTGTTACAGTCTAGACGAGCCTAAGGAGACATAATAACTAAATGTGTTGTGGTTTCCCAGATGGGACCCAGGAACTGAAAAAGGACATTAGGGGGAAACTAGCAAAATGTGAATAAAATGTGGAGTTTAATTAATAGTAATGTACCAACGTTGATTCGTTAGTTGTAACAAATCTACTACACAAACATAAGATGTTACAGGAGAGAGTGAGTAAGACTAGATTGAAGCTCTTTGTATTATCTTTGCAACTTTTCTGTAAGTCAACATTCTTAAAATTATTTTTTTAATGTCATAGAATTATTTATACACATAGACATACAGGAAAATAAAAATGAATGCATGCAAAAACTGGTAAAATCTGATTAAAGTCTGCAGTCTAGCTGACTGTATTGTGCCAATGTCAATTTCCCAGTATGGATAACTGTAGTTAAATAAGCTATCACCACTGAGAGAAACCAGGTGATTTGGTACAAGGGGCCTCTCTATACTTGCAACTTCTTGAGTCTATAATTCTTTTGAAATTAAAAAAAAATTTCTTTAAGTAAAACTACACCGAAACAAACAAACAAAAGAACCATTAGTATGGATTCCATTATTCATGTCATACTTTATGGAGCCTTTCAACGCTGACTGATTACAGTATAAAGAACTCATCCTATTTCAGGTATAAAATATTACACGTATTCTAAAGGTTATATACAAGCTTGTTATAAGCAGTCTAAGTGAGAAGGAGGGTCAATATTACTGCGGCACTACTAAAACAAGTACTTAGTTCAGTCTCCAGAACTCATTTCAGACATCCAAATTTAATCACGCAAATCAACTCTCCTTTCTAAGCATCTTTCTAATACCTTCTCCATCTCTGACTTTTGTGTTGCAGGAATGGTACAGGAGTTGGGGAAAAGGATGCTCAGAAAGAGGAAAGAAAACAACCAGTTCTAGGATCCTGCCTGCCCGCATACTACCACTGAGCTAGAGTGAGTCCTACAGAAAGTACGAGCTGCAAGACACGACGCTCTCCGTCTGTTCAATTCCCACCGTGCATGCCTCTCAATGCAAAGTGTGACTGGTTCTAAGCAGTGAAAGACGGCTGAGTTTTGTGCAACATGGCCCTTAAACGAAAGCAAATTGCTTCATCTTTATTTCCACGTAAAGAAACAATGATCTTTTCCAGTGTTCAAGGGAAAAAACAATTATGCTGGACTTCCTAAGAAATGTCTTCAACATGGTACCATCCCTTTCTAAGTAATCTGTAAAGGGAATTCTGACTAAATTCTATTTGTATTACATATTGATGTTAAAAAACCTAACCCCCATAACTATGACTCCACTGTATGCTTTTCAGAAACAAAACTATTACAATATCATCACCACCGAGAGAGTCATTTTGGTGTGAGATAAAGTAGTGGCTCATAATTATTTTAAGTATAAAAATGTATTGCCTTTCCACCCAATTGAGCAGTATTTACTGTGAAGAAGCAAATTTCATAGGCAATTATATAGTTATTCCAAGATATTGCCATTCTTGGGGGAAGGTATAGCTCAAGTGGCAGAATGCACAGTGAGCATATCCAAGGTCCTGGGTTCAATTCCCAGTACCTCCTCTATGAATGAATGAATGAATAAATACACAAATAAATAAACACCTAATTACCTCTATCCCCCCCCAAATAAAAACAAAAAAAGAAAAAAATGCTCCCTCAATTAAAAGAAAAAAGATACTGCCATTCTTTAAAACATAAGTAGACAAAATCAGTTTTAAAAGTCATACCAAAAGAAAATCAAGACATTTTATAAATATACTTTGGTTTTTGATTAAAAACAGTGCTAACTTCATCAAATATCTTATTTATAAGACCGCTCAGAATGACTTTCATATCATCAAATCTAGTCTTATCCTTCCTTTTAAAATAACTATGAACCTACTAGGGCTCTAAGAGTCCAAAATCACATTGAATTAAGCATCAAAGGTGGTATCCGAAGTCTATTTGGTATAGTAAGGAGATTTTACAGTCACAATGTAATTTTACATATTAATACTAATAAATGCCTAGCAGAATACATGTCCTTCCTGTTTAGAGAGTCATTCAGGTTCAAACAGCCTTAACTGCTAGGTATCAGTACCATGCTAAGCACTTTCTTTTAGATTATTGAATTTATATCCAATTCTAGGATAGCATGATCTTTCAAGGTGGCTGGGATAACAGAACTCTTTCAACTGTATCCTGCTTCCTTTACTATAGGAATCAACAACACAAATTTCTAATGTCAGGACTTGGACTGAACTATTTATTGAGATTTATGCACAACAACTAACTTAGTATACTCCAGGTAAAAGTTAAGTGCTGAATACTTATACTGCCCTTTCCTCCCCACCCAAAAAAAAAAATAATATATATATATAGCAATTGATGCTGAATATACACTGAGACATCACCTGAAGAGTAACAGAACAGAAAATATGACACGGACAATAAAAATAGGACAGAATAGGGGAAAAAACACAAATCATTCAATACAGGGTTTTATACTCCCTACAATTTCTGTTATCACTGCTTTTTAACCACCAAAGCTATCTGAATTCTTCTTCGAACAACTGCTCAAGATAAGGCACATCCTGTACTCCCTTCTCCCTCAGGCGGCCGCCTGCTTCACTTTACTCAGCTCCTCTCCAGCACAAGCAACAGCTAGATATGCTAAAGACCACAAAAAGCCCATAAACTTGCCTCTCAGGCCTCACAACAAACCTCAGAATTTCTCATGAACATCACTCTTAGACCCAGCCACATCTCAACGTATCTGATTTTTTCTCCGTATCTGGAAATCCCTAATTGAGTTTAACTTGCTCAGTTCTCTGAAACTTCCTATAAATGCACGCTCCTCCACAATGGAAATGGTACATGCTCCCACCTGTACCATCAACCACTCTGCCTGCGGAAGAGAAAGGGCAAAATGTAAAAGTAGATAAACTGATGAGTTAAATATACCAGGAGAAAAAAAATAGTGAAGCAAGCACACAAGGGTCTCAAAGGCTTGAGAGTGGAATCTGGCCCCACACGTGTCTAAGTTAGAGGCCAACATTTAAAAGAAAGAGATAATAGAGGAAAATCCAGTTTTCAGCCTTCTTTTAAGAAATGGAAAGATCTGGTATCCCTGAGCTCAAACTCCTGCCAAGTAACAAAGGCTGGACTGAGTAGCAGTGTCCCCTCTAGCAGGGCAGCTGCTGTCCCATTGGGAAGAATCCCTCCACCTTTACCATCCACCTGGCCTGCTTCACCGATTGATCATCGGGCATCTGGGGACATCTCAGTTTGCTACTCCTGAATTACAGGACATTAAAGTAACTACAGGACAGTAAACTATAGGTCAATGAATATTTTTGTCTTTGTTGTTTAAAAGTGATCTTTTCTGAGAGCCTAGGATTGGACAAGGTATCTTCTCCCAGGTCACTTGGGCTGATGATTTTCTTAAAGGGCTCCAAATAAATCTGTTCCGCTTTTTAAGAAGACCACAATAGTTAAGAAGAATATGTAAGAAGTTATTGGAGGACCAAAGATACAGATTCTATTTGGAATAGAATGCCTGAACTAAAAGATCAAAATCAGTGATCCCACTGATAGTCAACAGAAGTTAAAACCACACAGATGTTTATGTTAAAAAGAATTTATGACATGTACAGAATAACACAGAGTAATTCTCTGTAAGAGTGAGATGTTTAAGTGACTAAACAGCATTTCACATTAGAGGGCACAAGTTGGCTAAGCAGACCTTACTTTCCCCTCACACATACCAAACCCATAAAAAAGCCAAGAGCCTTCCGTAAGGTCAGCCAGCTAGTTAATATAGCAGAGATAAGGTCAGAATCCAGCTGCATTAACTCAGAATCCGGTGCTCCTTCCACTACAATATACTGCTGCTACTCTCTCTCATCTACCGCCATCCTACAAAGGATAGAAAGGAGATTCAAAGTATCCATTCAATGGCTCTGCACCAAAGTCTCCAAAATTCCTTCCAATTTCAAGAATGGGACTGGTCCTTCCGCTCACTTTCAGGTCCCCAAGGGAGAATCATTCATTTTCACAGGCACAGCTTTGCAATGCATTTGTGTCATATATATTTTGTCTTCCCAATTATTTTGAACGTTTCTCCAGGAGATGACAAATACCATGTCCCTTTGTGTGCCCAACACAAATGCTCAAATATTTTATTATTTATATACAAAATTTAAGAAATAATTGCATCTCTTGTTCCAAGAAACAAAGGGCTAGAAGTAACCTTAGCAGTTTTCAGAAATAATGACAAAGACATCTAAGTTAAATTATGAAGGGGAAAAAAGTAAGAAGGAAAGGTAGCTAGGGATGTAAGTTTTATTTGTGTTTTATAAACCTCAAAGAATTAAGCCATCTTTTTGTCACCCCCCAAAAAAACCAGAAAAACGAAATCTAACTTGGGTTGGTTAACATCTTATAAAATTTTACACATAATATTTAAAAGATTTTTTTTACTTAAAATATAAATATATATAGTATATTTATAAGTATATATGTCACATATGTATAAATATAGACAGACAGACAGACAGACATCTGCATGTACTATCCCTGAACACCAGTAAAAATCTTTGTTGTTTAAGAATGATCTTTCGTGAAGCTTAGAGGCTAAAGCTGTACAAGATTATCTTCTACCAGGGTGGGAGATACGGCTCAGTCATAGCGCACATGCTTAGCGTGCATGAGGTCCTGGATTCAATCCCCAGTACCTCCGTTAACAACGACGACAAAAAAGATATTTTCTCCCAGGTCACTTTTAGCCTGATGATCTTCTTAAAAGTTTCCAAATAATCTGTTATAATATATACATTTAATACTTATAGATATAATACTCATGGCATGATTTTAGGTTTATGCACATGCAGCCCTCATTTTAAATCTCTACTTAGAATGGAAGTAAGAGAGTCAGTAGCCAAAATAAAAATCTAGGGAAGAAATACAGCCCATTAATTTGGATATAAGAAGAGTAACAGTTTAGTCCTGCACAATGACAGTGCTTGGATACATCCCAGTTACTTGAAACAATTGCATACATCAACTTTTTCAGAACATTTGCTTTCCATGCCAAGAACTAACCAAAAGCTCCCCAATAAGATTTAGTGCTAACTCTCAGGTACATTACTTACAGGATATGCTAAGAATTTTCCATTTTCAAAGGGCAATTCTAATCCTTGGTTTTACAACCCATGGGGAAGAAAAGGCACTCTAATACAGTGTTGGAGGGAGTGGAAACTGGTAATTTGATAACACTGTACAAGCTATAAATGCATAAATATTTTGCCACCAAAATTCCACTTCTAGGAATCTGTCCTACAGATAAACTTGAATATGTGTGAAATGCCATGTTACTAAGTAATTTACTGCAGCACTATTGTAAGAGCCAATTTTTGGAAACAACTGAAATCATGTAGGGGCTAGTTAAATAAACTCTGGTATGTCCATACAACGGAATACCATATAGCCTTAAAAAGAGCAAGAAAGCCCACTGTCCTGATTTGAAACAATCTCCAAGACACAGTAAATGAAAAAAGCAAAGAGCAGTACCATGTAATGTATTCTGTAACATGTGCAAAAAGTAATGTGAGGTTGGGGGAGGAATACATGTATACAGAGAGATACATATAAAATGACTCTGCAAGGACACCCAAAAACAACACTTGCCTCTACAAAGTGAGACTAGGTGGGTGGACAACAAAATGAAAGGGAGATTTTTCATTCTATACTTTTAATTTTTGAATTTGAACCATGTAAATACATTACTTGGTTAAAACATTAAATTTAACCAATGTATTAATGTGTATTAAAAGTACAGAGAGTATTTCAGGATTTATTATCTGATAACACTGTATTGTACTAAACACTACAAATTAGTGTATTCCTTCTATCAAAACACTCACCAGCCCACTGCTAAGGATATTATTATACAATCACAGAACAGAGCCAGAAGGGGCTTTGAAAAATCTGAACTTTTCAATTTACAGATAAGAAAACTGTGGCCCAAAGAGATTAAATAACCTCAACAAAGGACACAATTAGTAAGAGGCAAAGTATGGCCTAGAACCTGACTCACATTTCAAAATACTCTCATGTATTTCCCCACCCCCAAACTGTTTCTTCATTACCACAAGGAGCCAACAAGTGTCATCCAAGGCCCAAGCTGCATTTTGAAGATAATATGAATGACGGAGCTAGTGTGAGCTGACATCCTATCTCTGTGAGATACTTTTCAATATTCAAAAGGGAACCACAAGGGATAAGGTCCTGCTTCTCATAGGTTATGTTTTAGCAAAGAGCCATGGGGTAGCTAAAGTCACAGGAGAAGCATAGGGATGTGTGTGTGTGGGGTCTTCCAACAAAGCCAATTAATATGAGAAAAATTAAGAAAAATGTTAAGCAACTTCACAATCAGGTATTTAAATTTATTTTTGTATTAAAACAAACACCAATCTATTGTGGCACAGAATATAAAAGATACATGAATTTTTAAGATAAGACACACAGAAATTTCGTGCTGCTTCTGACTGATCCTGATCTCAACAGCCTAGAAGTACACACACTCATTTCTCTTAAACTCTTAAGAGGCAGGAAGGCTTGAGAACTACTACACCAAAGGAATTAAAGCAGTGTTCTCAATGGCAGTGGAAAGAGCAAACGATTAGAGCAAAGCAGACTTGGATATGCAGACTTGTTCTTGCCACTGTGTGACCTTAGATCAGTTATTTAACCTTAAGCTCAGAGCCTCAGTTTCTTCATCTATAAAAACAGTCAGTATTACTTACCATGCAGTGTTGTTATAAGGATTGGAGATAATTACGATAAGCAAACGGCCTGAACTGTAGGAGTACAATAAATGATGGCCACTATTACAGCCATCACAAACCTAAAAGAATTTTTATTTGACCATCTAATCATTTATTTGGATTCAATTTGTTAGAACAAGATAATGTGGGCAATAGATATTATCAGCATCCCCAACCAGTCACAGGAAAAAAAACCAAATAGGCCAAGAGAATAAAATGACCTAAGTGAAGAGTTTATTATACTCACATATTTCATTTCAAACTTCTTAGCCAACATTTCCACTTCTTGTCTCTCTTGATGATCATCATTAAACGGGTCTTCCATGTAAATGGGCTTCTTCTGTTTCAAAGTGAATGGGAAAAGAAATAGAATTATCAGCACTACTTCAACCAGAGTTAAATATATCTTTAAATTTAATAATGAGTCACTTTTTCCAAATAGTAACAAATAAGTTGGAAGCATTAAAATGTAACTAGAAAGGAAACTAATATAACATTGTAACTCAACTATATTCAAAGTTTTTAAAAATTAAAAAATTCAAAATTCAGAAGTTTAAAAAAAAAAGTAACTAGAAAGAAACATTAATTTGTAACAAAAATATTTGCAGTTTTAATAAACCATTACACATTCTAAAGTTTTTTGGTGCTTAAGAACTCAACAATTCAAACTATCTTCACCCGCTAAATGATCTATGGTCACCCCATCCAAAATAAAAAGGCCAAAGACACCTAAGAAAATTAAGTAAAAATGAAAATCCCACTTATAACTCTAGTTTGAGATCATCCCAACAAAGATTAACCACTTTGGTCAGAAAAAGCTTCTAAAAGGATCTCTAGGTTATTAATAGAGTCAACATTTAATCGCCTGCCCTGAGTTATCACTGGAGTATCTGTAGCTTCCACAGCTTTTTATGAGACCCAGCACTGACAATCTCTGTATCATCTACATCCTGTCAATGGGTATCCATTCAGGGAATACATACTGCTTTAAAACAAAGCAGAAAAGTTAAATAGCTGCAAAGAGATTACATTATCATGGCTTCCTTCTAGCAGGGAAGAGTGGAAATCTATCATAATACATGGTTTAAAACACACACACACACACACACACACACACAGCTAGGATCCCACATTAATCATCTATTGACCAAAACAAAAAAGATAAATCACATCCTTTACTCAAGTTTACTATTTTAGCAGACATAATTCATATATATTTTGTCAATATACAAAAAAGCCCAAACAAGGAGCAACATATGGATAAGAATGCTATTTTTATCCAATTATGAACTGACTAGTTAATTTTTTTTAAAAAGGCTTTGTTTTTACTGCTGTAGCATCTTCAAGCAGTAAAAATCAAAGTATATTACAGCTGAAATATTGGATACAGATCTGTCCTGAAAGGCAAGAAAAAAATGCATGCAGGAAGGATGATTTGCACACTTTGGAACTGAGATATTTCATCCTGGATATAAAGGCTGAGATGTGATTAATCTAAAAATGTGACAGAAAAATATGGACAGAATGAATATAAAACAATTTATCATACCTAGGGCATTAGAATAAAAGGATATTTCTTAAACCTTAAAGGAATTAATTTGTAATCCATTTTTTAAAAATTGTCTATTGTAATAAGTAATATATTAATAGACTCCTTTATCCCAATAGCTACCAAAGGAAAATACAAATATGATCTGAAAGGAAAGAAACTAGCAGAAATAGACTTATAATGAAATTAAGAAATACTAGGCATGTTCAGGATATAGCCTTAATTTGAGACTAAAGTTAAGGACAATAAACAACCACCGTATCTTGCCATCATTAACTGTTCCCTCATGTCATTGTGAAGTCCAAATTCTAGGTTTTACTATCAGTCTGACTCATTTTATATGTGTAAATATAAACACATGGACACATATTTTTAATAAGAATCACCTAATATGCCATTCTAAAATATTTTATGTAGACTTTATATAGGCATCAAAAGTAAGATCTCTTATTTACTCTTGATAGTGTATAACAATAAATTTAAGAAAATGGACTCACTTTTCTTTCACAGTTAAGAAATAACAGCTACCCACAATCATGGCTATAAACTTTACATTTTTCAGGTGAAAAACAAAGGTCTGACAATTAGTATATATTAAGACTACCAACTACCCACAGGCAAAACTGAAGCAATATTTTGTCCTTTGATGTTAACTCTATCACCGCCATTTTCAGGAAATCTTTTATTTATATTATACAAAATATGCAATATAACAAGCATTGGAATACCACAGAATTCTGTGGAAACAGTATAATCACATTAACACTATAATCATTTTTCTTTTTATACTAAATGTTTGATTAATCATGTTCACAAGATGTTTTCTGGTTAACTGATCTTCTGGTTTACTAAGAGTTAAAAAAGAATTTCTTATGTATCCATTCCCCTTAGCCAGAAATGGTGAACAAATTAATCTCTGAGTCTAGAGATGACTGCAATGCCTCAATCTCAATCAGGGATCAATACTCTACAGAAATAACAATGTTAAAGGTTTACTTAACCTGTGTCCTGACAACCTAGGAGGGGTTTTGTTTTCCACATTTTGTCAACATACGCTCATTTAATTGTGTTTCTCCTTATTAATAAAAAGCACGTTTAGAAAAATTTCTGATTGCGTTTGGTTAATTGGGGTTTTAATGTTCACTCTGTATTTATGAGGGGGATGATTTAAATTCACCCCAATATAGATGGTATTCACATGTAACACAGATGTTTTTATACCTACACCTATCAACTAAAATCTTATTGGGTGACAGATGGCTATTTTAAAATTTTAAAACCTTTTTCCTTTTACAAGATCTCTTTTCCTCCCTTTTTACTCTTATATATTGTTGTCCAATTACAATAACTCAAAATGAAAACTATTTTGAAAACATTACGTCACTAAAAATAAACTGGACTCTTCACGAAGGGAAGAAAAAACAAATTTGGGAATCACCACTGTGCAGATCAATTCTATTGGACGTATTTTGCTTTTTGATGGTTTCTCTTGCTAGGATTTCCTTTCATGCAAATGTGACAACTTCATTTATAAAGGTGTTTTCTACATTTTCTTATGTAATATATATGTTCACTGGGAGTAATCACAGGAAAATCCGGCAAATCTTTGTTGCAGAGGTACATTGTATAAACAATGGATTTTTTTGGATCAGTAGAATATGACAAATGATATACAGATAAATATACAAGAAAACTGGACTAATATACTCTAAATTGATAGTATAAACAGAAAAATTAAACAGAATTATTCATCTCTCTCCCATTACATAAAAATTATTAGTTCTGACATTATCAAGTTAATAAGGTAGGGTGTCAAAATCAGTTTTATATTTATACTTAAAAGATACATATTTATTATTAATTTAACACGGCATGAGTATTACAGCATAAAGAGGATCATAAGAGAGGTCTATGTACTTCTATAATTCTCATTTCAGTTCATCTTGGCAGGACCTTCTAAAGTTAAACTATGAGTTAACTGTAAGAAATTAAGTTTTACTAAGAATTGGTACTAGTATAGGAAGAAGTACTAATAAAATTATACATGGCCACTCTGTGTATCAGCTTCCTTATTTGTAAAGTGGGGATAATGGTTCCTGTCTGATGGAGCTCTGCTGGACTAAACTCCGTAAGCCATGCACCATACTTAGAACTGTGTCTAGCACATAGTAAGAACTCAGTAAATGTTAGCCATGATTATGTTTTTCCCAAATATAATCACCTGTAATTTATCAAGTAGATTAGGGAGTAAAACTGCAAACCTACTTAGATTACAAGGTCAAATACAGTACAATTTATTTGAAAACTGCTCTAATTCAATATTTTCAAAATTCTTTTGGGGGAAAAATGGCATCACTTTACAAATAAAAAGGACACTAAAAGTGAGTCCAAAGGGCAAAATGCTTTGTGGATATGACCAGAATGATCTCTGTCCTTAACAATTCATTTTGGTTGCAAACATTTAGTAATGATTGGACCACGCAACAATATTTGTAAATAATCATCAAAAGATTAGCTGGCCTTAAAATCTAGAGATATTGTTTAACATGATATTTTCAAACTAAGTCATTCATTCAACTATAAAGATAACTGAAGATGAAAATAAAACAACTGACTTCTGGAGCCCATTAGACCTGTGCTAAAGCAAAACCTAATAAAGAGCATAATCTCTAAACAACAGAGGAAACTGTTCTCCTTTTACTGTTATTCTATCATTTCCCTTTCTAGTTGACTTCTGAAGATCACCAATAACAATAAAAATTACAATTACCAACAAACCTCTCTCCTATCCCCATTGTTCACCAGTTCCACCAAAAGCATACCTATAAATTTTCAACAGTTTCTAAAAATTCAAAGCAAAGATTTTTTTCATGATTCTCCAAAAATTACAATGCCCAAGTGCAATATCCTGTAACTGGGACCTATAAACTAACGATATACACTCAAATAAGAATACGATGGTGGGCGCCAAATAAAACAAGAGAGACACCCTTCCATTCCATGAACAAATTCTAGAGAAAACAAAGCTAAAGAGGTTTACCAATATCAACACGAGACAGAAGAATAAGGAACCAGATAACTGACCCACTTAACCTTCATTCCTGAAGTGGAATCCTTGGTCTGAAACATTTTACATTACTTTCAAATCTCCTTCAATTAAGAAAAATACCCCACGCTTGGAAGCATATCTCAGCGCGGAGCAGAATAAATAGCGATGAAGGTGAGGATGATACTGGAGGGGGTTACACAATCTCTCTCCTTCAGACTGGGGGGCGTGTCCCCCAAGGTTTTCTCTTCCTTTCTACTGTAACGACTCCTGGAGCTCCACAAGCAAAACCCAACAACGCAACTTGCAGGGCCCCCAGATTTTGTGTGGGAAGCAGAGAGAAAAGGAGGAAATCTGAGGCTTCGAAAGGTGCAGAGGAAAGCCGGCTCGGAAAGGCGTTTGGAACGGGCGCACAAGGGGGTCGGTGAGCCGGCTAGGAGCCTCGGCCAACCCTGGGGCGCAGAGGGAAGCAGGACCAACCGCCCGTCCACCCACTCGGCCTCTGCTCCCTCCAGCCACCCTCCGAGGCGACCCGCGACGCGCAAAGTGGGCGTCGGAAGGTGCAAACCACTGGGGGGGGGGGGGTCCTGAGGCTCCCCGGGTCTGGGGGATGAAGGAGGAATCTTCTATACCCGTTGTTCTCCGCACAGCAGCAGCTCCGGATAACTGAACTCCACGCAGCTCTCGTCGGTGGGATCCTTGAGCACCAGCTCCAGGCGCACTGTCTCCCTCGGCGGCCTCTGCGGCGGCTCGGCCCGGGAAGCCGACTCCCGCTGCGGGGGCGGCTGCAAGTGCAGCTGCGGGAGCGGCGGCGGCGGCGGCGGCGGCTCGGGCCGCGGGGGCTCGCGCTGCAGCGACATGGGCGGCTCGGCGCGGCTGACCTCGCGCTGGGGGAGCGGCTTCTCCCGCGGCGGGGGCTGCGCGTCCGACCGGGGGGCAGCCTCCCGCGGGGCCGGCTGCTCCGTCCGGGCTGGCTCGCGGTACGGCTGCGGCTCCAGCCGGGGGGGGCTCGCGAGGGTACTCGGGCTCGCGTTCGGCCCCCGGGTACTCGGCCTCGCGCCGCCTCACCGGTGACAGGCTAATAAACGCTACTCTGCGTGGCTCCGCCATCCCCACTGTTCTGGCCCTCTGCCTTCGCTCGAGCCGGCGCTCGGTTCTACGCCGAGTTGTTTGCCTGCCTGCCCTTCCTTTTGCGCTCCGTCGCTTTTCTTCCCTCCACCACCCTCAGCCGTCTCCGCCGACGCCACCGTGAGTGCGGACCGTGCCCCCTTCCCCGCCACTATGTTCTGATGGGCTCCACCACCATCGCCAGGGTCGCCGCAGCCGCCATGTTGGATCCCCCACATAAATAGAAGCAGGCCGCTGAGCGGGCGCATGCGCAGACCGGAGACGCTCGCATCCACCGTCGTGGCTGTGGCTCAGTTTTCCTCTTTTCCTCCCAACAGTCTGGAGTCCAGACAGGTCAGCGGAAGTGACGTCATTGAAGGGCCGGTTTCCTTGGAAACAGAGACGCCGAGTGCGTCCTTCCTAAAGGGGAGGGGTCTGGGGTTTCGCGAAAAGCTTCCTATTCGCACCCGGAAACTGGAGGCGTGCGTGGGGCTCGCCCAAGGGCGAGCGTTGGGATGTGCCTGGGACTGACCTAGCCATGGCGCCGGGTGGCGCCTGGCACATGCCTCCCGCCCTCAGCTTCAGGGAGTTGGAATTGTCAGCTGGTTAGTCAAGGCGGATGCGAGAAAAGGGTAGAGGGACGCAAGGACTAGCCTCTGCGTTTGCCCGCCCAGTGCCCCAGCAGCCCGAAGTATCGAGGGAAGAAAGGAAATGGTTAACTCCAGCCCGACTCGCCCTGCGGCTTCCCTGCGTAAAGCGCAGCACTGGCTTCCACAGGCCTCCCTTTCCTAAATCGACTTCTGTTTTTCTCTCCCGGCTGCGGCGGCGATTGTGTGCCACGGTCGTAAAATGCTGAGTACCTTTTGCAGTTGGGAAATTGAACAAGCAAATGAACAGTTCTGGGTTCGTTCATAAAGTCTAAGCTGTTTAATTGAAAAAAGAAAAGAAAAGAAAAGAAACTTCCCAGCAGAGTTTGTTGGTGTTTTAGGGGACGTACTCTAGAAAGTAGAATGTTAAAAGACCCATTTTGGGGTAGGGGAGGAGCCTTAACTGGGAACGCCTTGTAGGCACACCTGTAATAAACGAATTGGAATTCATATTTAAAAGAATGGGAATCACTGACCGTTTTAATCCATTTACTGGAAAACAAGTTTAAGGGCTTGCCCTCCAGCCTCTGTTAATCCCATTAACCGGAGTAACTTAATTTAACACCTATTGATGAGTCTCATATCGAGTTAATATGATGTCACAGACAAATTTTGAGTAGGTTCCGGGTTTTACCCTCTCATTACTTATTTGTATGAGGATAGTGTTGGAGTCAGTGGTTCAAGGGGTCCATCCCAGCTCTCAATTGCTAATATGAAAATAAGAAATACTTCTGTTGAATAGTGAGTCTGGCTTTTGAAGAGGCTGGGTAGAGGTCAAAGTCAATTCCTATCCAAAGTGAAGTCAGAATATCTTTGTCTAAGATACTGGATTATCTAAGACGTATAAGATAGTCATGTTATTATCTAACTGTAGTGCTGTAAGATTAGGCATTCTGTTCTTGTTATACATAAAATATCCTGTGAGATCAAACTACTCATACCTTTTACAGGAATAATTACTATCTAAACCATCTTCATATCAATCTTGATAATTTTACAGACTTTTAAATCTCCTGTTGAAGATTGATGTCCAATCCAGGGTGTGAAAATCTTGCATTTACAGAAGTATACTTAGGAAGAAGGGTAAATCAGTGAGACTCTTTAATGCCTATCTGTTACTGTTATATCCTAGAGGCAGAGCAGCAGAACTGTCCCCAGATCGCTGTCTCCCATCTTCCCCAAAATGAATTTAGTAGTAAGCGTAAGATGGCTGCCTTGTGGAGTTAAACAATAGGAAAAACTTAACTGGCAATAGCAGAGACAAAGAGACTCAACATAAATAGGCAGAAGGGACTGCAGTTCAATGTCAGGTTAGTCTTTTTTATGTTAGTCCTCTCTGAGGAAGACACGTTTAAGACTAGAGTGTCTTGGGAAGATCCAAAGGAAGAGTATCACAGAGGAAGAAAAGCGAGTCCAAAGTCTGTGTAGGGAGTGAGCTTGGTGCGTTGGAAGAAAGGTCAGAGTGGCTGGAGCACAGCAAGATGGGGAGAGATGCAGGAGACAGATCTACGAGGGAGGCAGGGGCCAGCTCATGGAATGGCATAAGGAATTTGAATTTTATTACAAATGAAACCAGAGCCAATGGACAGTTTTAAGTAGACGAGTGACATGATCTTAGGAAAAAAGCATTTCAAGAAAGTGGGAGTAGTCAACTGTGTAGAATCCTACTAAGTCTAGGAAGATGCAGACAGGGAGATGATTCCTGCAACTGGCAAAAAGAGCATTATTGGTGACTTTGAGCTGCTTTTTTTTTTTTTTAATTTTCAGTTCAGGCAAAGAAAGTTGAATTAATCATACTCCAGTTTGTGACACTATCATCATTGGTCTATGCAAGGCCCTTCTTTATCTCTGTCTCTTTCTCTCTGAAACATTTTTCTCTATTATCATTCTTATCTCCAATGATAAAAATTATAAAATTTAACTTTGTGTTTGTATGTGGCCTTGTAAATACACATATTATTTTATATGCATGTATATAAAATTTGTAAATTTATCATGTTACTATCCAGTTTGGTTTCTTTTTCACTCAACACCATATTTTTAAGATCCACCCCCATGTTGCTATGTATAATACACCCAGTTTATAACTTTTGAGTATAATCTGCAGTAGCACATCTTGCCTATTCTCTTGGTGATGGACACTTAAATTGCCTCCTGCTCCCCTACCACCATCACCACAGTGTGGTATGAGCACACTCGTTCACGAGCCCTTTAGATCTGTGTGAACATGTATTTGGGACATATACTCATAAGAACCGTTGGGTCCTGCAATACACATACACATTAAGGGACTGCTCTCCAGAATGACTGAATCAGTGTGGGAGAGTTCCTGCGTCACCACTGCCCTCCACCCACCACCACCAACAAATTCAGTTTAACTTTTGCCAGTCATCATTATTTTAATTTGCATTTCACTGATGACTAAGGAATTTGGTAATCTCTTCACATACCTTTTTGCCTCTTAAATTCCTTCTTCTGTAAATAGCCAGTTTATAATCATTGTCCATTTTTCCATTTATCCATGTCCTGTCTTCCTCTTGTTGAATATGTAATAATTTCAAATCAGTGAGGAAGAATGGGTTATTCAATAAATAGTCTGAGACAACTACATCGCCATCTGGACAGGAATAAAAATTGTATCTCACACCTTTCAGAAGGATAAATATCTGGTGAATAAAGTTTTAAATGTGAAAGATGAAATCATAAGAACTGTAGAAGAAATCAGCTGAGGTGAAAAAATAATCTCACACTAAAGAAGGCCTTTCCAAGTATGACTGATAATTCCAAGTAATTAAAATAAATTCCTGCATAAACGAAAAATAACATTGGTCAACAGACAAATGACAAACTGGAAAAAAAGACTGCATCACATTTCACAAAGGGTGAATTTCCCTAATCTATAAAGAATCCTACAGATCAAGGAGAAACAACACTAATAACCTAATAGGAAAATGAGGAAAGACATGAACAGATAGTTCACAGGAAAGGAAATACAAACAGCTCTTGAGTAAATGAAATATGTTCAACGACTCAATTGCTGAATCAAGGAACATGTGCATTTCTGCTTCGATACATTCATTGCCCTCCATAGACAGTATCAACTAATAGTCCACCAGCAATGTATGACGATCTTTATTTCCCAGTATCCTTGACAATATATTATGTCATATTATATGCCTTTTTGATCTTTGCCAAGCTGATATATTTGTTTAAATGATTTTGGTGTACATTTCTCTTATGATAAGTCAATGCATACAATGGAATTCTATGCAGTCTTTTAAAAATCTCATCATTAAGGTCTGTACTTAAGTGAAAAAAGCAATATGCAGAACAGTAGTATGCCACTATTTATGCAGAAAGAGAAAGAACGTTGTGTTAAAGGGGGAGAAACAATGTGTTACTTATATACACACAAAATATCTGGCTGTAGATACACACAACTGAAAAGTGATCTGGGGAGGGACACCATGTGGCTTGAAGCAGAAGAGGTTTAACTATCAGTTGGAGACAGCGTAGCTGTGCTTGTTTTGATCTGAAGCCAACTCTGGCAGCTGAACATGGGCGTCTTTATTAATTTTTAAATTAAGGAATTCTTAACATACAGGAAAATGCATACAACTTTGTGAATTTTGCTATTAGTATACACGCCTTTAACCACTACCCACTTTAAGATACATGAGATTTCCCTTAGGCCAGAAAGGTGCTTTAATGTCCCTTTCCACTCAGTACCCTCCCAGGAGTAACCCCCATTCTGACTGCTTTCACCATAGGTTAGTTTTGCCTGTTCTTGAACATTACATACATAAAATGATGTGGTATATACTACTACGTATCATGACTGGCTTCTTTCAGTCAACATGGGGTTTTTTTGTTTGGTGTATGTGTTTACTTTTTAAAAATTTTTTATTCTTGGTAAAATAGACATAACATGAAATTTACCATCTTAACCATTTAAAAATGTACAGATTAGCATTAGGTATGTTAACATTGTTGTGCAACCACCATCACCAGCATCTCTCCAGAATTCTAATTTTTTTCTTCCAGTTTTATTGTGGTGTAATTGGCATACAGCACAGTCTGAGTTTAAGGTGTTCAGCATACTGATTTGCTGATGCACATACATCATGAAATGATTACCACAATAAGTTTAGTGAACATCCATTATCTCATATAGATACAAAATTAAAGAACTAGAGCAAAATTTTTTCTTGGTGATAAGAACTCAGGACTCACTTTTAACAACTTTCGTATATAACATATCTATCATGTTGTACATTACATCCCTAGTATTTATCTTATAACTGGAAATTTGTACCTTTTGACTAATTTCATGCAATTCCCTCTTTTCCACCCCCTCCCGCACCTCTGGTAACCACAAATCTGATCTTTTTCTATGAGTTTGTTTTTGAACTATAATTGACCTACGACATTATGTTAGTTCCTGATACTCAACATAGTGATTTGATATTTCTGAACATTTAATCAGCATTATGGTTTTGAAATTCATCCATATTTTGCACATTATCAGTAGTTTATTCTTTTTTCTTGTTGTGTAGTATTCCATTTATGAATATTCCACAATTTGTTTAT